CCGCATCCAAGAACGGTGATTCAAAGGAACTTTTCGGACAGCTCTGTTATTGCTCTTCGCTCTTCGAGTACGGCCGCGCGAGATTGGCTTTTAACCTCGCGACGCCGACGGGGCTAACTCGCACGTTTTGTTTCGATGCGAGATGGTAGGTAGCTAGAACCGCAGAGCCAATTTTCTCTCGTGCTACCACCGCGGTTAGCGATGGATCTTGAGATCGGGAATACGTAACGGACCAATTCCACCGAATCGAGATTATGACGTTCCGAGGTACCGTTTCAATTTTTGTGAAACGGTAAACCGATATCGTCGTGTCCTCCCGAAAGCAATTTAAGCAACTCGATTAAAGGAACCGAAACTTTAGTCAGAAATCCGCCGATGCGGGATTCATTTGCGACCTATCCGCAAATTCCTGGAGATTTCTCTGATTGTCGGCAGCGAATGTCTCCTTTGGGGGCGAGCTGACCTATGCGAAACGAGCACCGTTAAATTAGTTAACTTAAGTCGAGATAGAAGTTCTCGGTGAATTATACGGCATGCGTATTTCGAGTTTCCGGTGCGCTATCATTACGCGAAAACAGACTCTCGACCTTGTCTTCCGTGCGAATGTAATTACCCGTTTCGAGTAAATACTCGGTAAAAATAACAAAGTCGAAGATCGCCAAATAAATGTCGACATCCGTAACGTAGTCTTTTCGCGGTCTTAAACGCGACTAGAAATAATATCGAGAACGTCAAACTAAAACGCACACCGAGAGCATAACTTATTGTATCCAATTAAAACGCAAACGCATTTCGCGTTCATAATTCTAAGTAGCTCGCGCTGTCTCTAAAGCGATTCACCGCTGAAATTCTCCGCCTCTCGTCTCGGAGGTATGTACAACGGAGTCGCGGAGTTATCATTCCCTTTTCGCTCTCGGTCGCGTTTCTCTGCCGCGAGCGCAAGGTAAGACGCGTCGAGAAACTCTACGGTTGAAACTGAAATTTACCTTGTCCCCGTTACGCTCGCTGAGAAAAAAGAAATGAACGCCATAATTCCTAATCTTTGCCTTACGATAATATCGTACAATCCCGCAGCTTCGTAACACGGACATTCTCGTTTCCCGATGAGGGATTCGTTACATTTCTCGCTTCTCGAAGAAACAGGGTTGAACGACTGTCCGTTTTAGCCGTAGCGATATATTCGACTCGGCCAGTAAAGATTCGTTTTATTGTAAGCTTGCCAGTTGTCCGTTGATTCGATTCGGTGATTTTCTCGCCTGGTCTTCCACCAACGTCGACAGCTTGCGTCGAGAAACTCCTCTCGAGGCAAGGAATAGTAATTAACAGGACATAGCTGGCAAATGTGTACCTAATCGTCTATTCGCGTGCAGGCAACCATCGCTCGACTTCCTTTACGGATATCGAGATGATCGATCCCGCGATGAATTCGTGCCACGATAGATCCTAGTATTTGCTCGGAGTGTTATCGTTTCGAGCATAGCTTACAGGATGTTCATTTTGCCGTGGCGTTATACTCGTATCAGACTCCGGTAAACGTACTTATCGTTAGATCAAAGAAATTGAATTTTCCGAAAGTCAAGCGACCGATATCTATCGGATGTAACGGGAACGTAACGACATTGGCCGGACCATAGGACGTCACAGCGACTTTAACCTGGTTAAGGATAACGGGAAAATCAAGTTAAACGACCCTCACATTATTTACCCCTTCGCAGCCAGCTGGCACGCTGCAGAATGCACTTAATTGCCGGCCACTCTCTCGTTTCGCTCTATCGTGGATATCGTTGAACGTAATTTCTTTATTCGACATAATGCGATTCGCTCGATACCGCGCTAGGTTGCGCGAGCCAACGCGTTCGATAGCTGAAGATACTTCCAATTAAAGTATCGGTTCCCAACGAACCGCGTACAACGCTAACTCGAAGGGTCGGTACGCTAGTCCGGAACCATTTTGCGCGCAACTTATTCAAAATAAATGGCGGTCCGGCGAAAACTCGAGCAGTAAGTTCGCCTAGGCGAATTAAAAGGAAACAGCTACCTAAACAAAGAGAAGAAAAGCAACGCTGGCGATTCCGAGGATGAAGGACGTAACCGAGACGACTTCTTTTTACACCACTCCTTCGCGGACCACGTTCCAGATTTCCATGACATTTGCAGCGTGATAAAGTACACTCTTGACTCGGCCTCTCTTTTTGTTCTCGTGTCAAGTTTTTCAGGTAACACACCGGAACGCTTTTTCTTCGGGTTTTATAATAATCCAACCGACGCGACCCACATCCTACGCGAGTCTTGTCTCCGACACGCTCGACTAATTGAAACGTAATCCTAAGGCAATCCAGACTTGATCCCCGCTTACCGTAAACCTGCGCCGAGTATTTTTTTATCGTTTGGAGAAAATTGACGTTCGCGTACGTGCGGGTTAATCTTTCGATCGACGAGCCGCGCTTTCCATTTTTCTTCGAAAAGATCGCGCTTACCGACGCACGAAATATTAATTAATCGTCCCGTTCCAGATTAACGAGGATCTCGAGCGACCGTATCGGTGCGTATGTGATTTTTGCATCTTGGCTCGGTTCGGCTCGACGTGAGCAAACAGAAGAGAATGAACGTTCTCTCGCGTTGAATGTGGCAACCGAACGGACGATCGAGGGGATTGCAGCCGGTCACGCGGAATAATGTGCCGGTATGAATTATGTGGCCGCTCGGTTGGAAATTTGGCGGATTATCAGCCTTGTCCGTCCAATCGCGATTATGCACGGGAGGAAGCGTGAGTAATAGGAATCGAATGACATCGACTGTAAATTAACGTTGCTTTAATACACCCGACACCCCTGGACAGCGGACAGCCATCATCTGCGACGACCTCTAATCCGACCGATGCTACGCGACGTGTCTCTCTCGATTAACGCCGACATTTTTCATTACGAAATACCCCGTGTACCGTGCAACGAACATTTTAGCGCGTAAACGTGACAATCCGTATACGAAATAAAGTGCATACGTTCTGATGTACACGGGATCCGGAGAGGTTAACTTGGAGCAACGCGTACGGTTATAACCCGATCGCGTTCCTCTCGAGCTCAAACTTTCCCCGAGACACTTTGCGAACGATAAGAAGTTTCGTCAGTTTCCGGAAATTTCAGCCGAGCGCTTGATCGTGCCGTTAGTTAATTATATTATTCGTGATAGATTGCCGTAGACGCGCGGAAATTTACCATCTATGTATATCCATTACTCACGCCTCTCTTTGCGTTCAAATTGGCGAGCAACGGAGTAACCGTCTCGCGTTTGTTCCGATGTTCGATTTATTCCACGCGAAAACCACGATAAAATTTACACGTGAAATTCGTATGACCCCGAACGTATTTAAAGTATTCATTTTTGTTCGACTGCTCGAGAACGATCGCGTTATTGGAATCGCGACGATAAATAACTGAGTTCCATGTTTCTCAATTCTCAATTTTTCACATTTAATACGGTAAAACATTTGCCTCTGTCGATTGCTCCCCTCGTTACGTGCCACTTGCGTGTGCGTGTGCGTGCGCGTGCCTGTGTAGCGTGTACCTTTCTCGTCACGCGTTACACTCGGAATTGTTCGCCGCTAATTGCGATTGATACGTTACGATCACTCTGAATCTGCTCACCTAAACAATCGCGAATCGATTGCGATAACGCGGCTCACCGCGAATCGATCCGACGTTTAGCGAAGCGTCTCGAATCGGAAATATCAACTCTGTTCCACCTAACTTGTGACACCGTATTTTATTTTACTCTGCAAGCAGATTTATGATAACGTTTCAATTTCTCAAATTTCTTGTACACCGATGGCGATCGCTTATACTTGAAAAGAAAAGAGATCGGTGTTATTTCTAAAAGGACTCGAAATTTATAGAACGCGAGAAACGATGGATCCAAGTAGGAACTCAAACAGAGGAAAGATGGTTTTATTATCGTAGCCATCCGTAAATGAATTAAGAACGAACTCGATGTATGTACTTAGATATGTACCTAGATAACAACCGTACACACGCGTCCTCTTTCGTTTTCCAACAGTTGAACCTCTCCTTAGACGTATCGATTACGCGCCGAAAATCATAGTGTTCGCGATAATCGAGGTCTCGTAGAATTTCTATTTCAACCCAGGTAGCCTGAGAATAACGATGGTCAGCGTCGGGCCAGAAAAGCGAATGCCGCGCGCTTTTCCATTTCCCTCCAATTTCCGGCGTAGAGTACATAAAGTTTCAATCCGTTTCTATATCCTTATCGCGGAGTACCGGCGAGACTCTGTAACTCTGTATTCGAAGAAAGCTGAATCGCCTAATCCCGCCTTCTCTACTCTAGATATAATCGGTGTTGAATCATAGATGTCCGATAGCGAACGGTGGGAAACAAAAATAGATAAAGTGGAACGTAATGCAATCGATGAAATTTCGATACATCGAATTTAATTGGAAATTAAAGCGGTGAACGTTGGATCGATGCCCTATCCGAGCCTCAGTTTTCCCTTTCCAAAGGCTGAATGTTAGATATTAAATTCCATACGATCCGATAGGTTCGGCGATCCATTTCGAGAGACAAGAAATTCCAGGTCCGATAGCGATGTGCGATTTAGCCGTTTAGCGCGGTTCGCCAAATTGCGTGCAATCGATTCGTACAGGTTATTTAACGAATTTTCGTTAGACGTACGTGGATCGACGACGAAACTCAGGTAAATAGAAACGAACGAGAGCGATCGCACCGAACAAGATCGATTGCCGTCGAACGTTGGACCAGCAATTAACCGGCCATTCGTCGAGCCTGGTCGGTTCGGTTTGCGTGTATAAATACGAGCCAATTGATAGGAAAAGGAGAATATCGAGTGTTTTATCCGCGAACCTTAAAACTGTTTCGAACGAATATCCATCTCTCTCCGTTCCGTTCCGTTCCGTTCCGTTCCGTTCCGTCCCGCTCCGTCTGCGCGATAGTTTATTACGGAACGTAATTGACTTGTCTCGACTTACCTGTAGGTAATGAAGGCGAAGACTAGCGCAACGAGGGATAAGCTTCCGCCCAGAACGACGATGAGACTCAAAACGCCATCCTGATCGAACGAGCTTGCGATTCCCGTTGGAACTCCGTTAACGAGATCGCCGTTCGATCGAGGGAATCCGTGGATCGCTCCCGTGTAAAGTGTCTCCATTTCTTCGTTACACTCGCATCTACGATCACAAGCGAACTCTATAAATATAATCGTCGTAAAACCGTTTCGTTTGAATCGTCCAACAAATAATTATCACCATTTCTATTTCGTCGCGCGATCGAGAAAATTGCACGAGAACCAGGTCGTAGAAATCAAACGTCTTTATTCGATTATTCGGATTCTAACTCACTGATATAATCTACCCACGCGACACGGGGAGCTTTGATTTATGGTTTCTATGGAAAGCGAAGGGTTCGCGAAACGCCAATTAAGATTTACGAGCCTGGATATTATATGTTATCGCGTCCGTAAATCGTTACTCGTGTTACATTTGACGCGCGAATGCCGGACAATTATCGGAGTCGCGAGTCGACAGATATTTATTACGTTTGTTTATTTCGCTTTCAGTTCGTTTTCAATAATATTATACAGGGTGTCCCAAAAATGTTGAAGGTCCTTAAAAGGGGTGGTTCGGGAGGTGATTTGAAACAACTTTTTCCTTTGCAAAAATGTCGGATGAGGCTTCGTTAAGTAGATATTAATATAAAAACCCCGACCAATCAGAGCGCGCGGTTACCGTTGGAGCGGCCGCGGTAGCGAAGGCTACGCGCTGAGCGGTCGCGTCAATATCCTTCGATGCACGTCGAGTCACTTGTTCGCGTACGAGAGCGGCTACCTAGCGCGTAGCCTTCGCAATCGCGGTTGCTCCAACAGTATACGCGCGCTCTGATTGGTCAGTGTTTTCCGTTAATATCTCCTCAACGAAACCTCGGACAACAATTTCGCCAAGGAAAAAGTCGTTTCAAATCATCCCCTGAACCACCCTTTTCAAGGACCTCCGACATTTATGGGACACCCTGTATTACGTTTATATACACGCTATTCCGTACGTGTCATTTAGCAGTCTATATAGTAATTGTCCGATAATCGAACGTAAAATAGCTTGAAATCAAACGAGAACGAGATTAATATTCTTTTCGCCGTGGCAGAGAAAATTCCATTTGCAACCGAGTCTTGCGTATCACGGGAAGGTCAAATTGAAACAGGCCAGCTAATTTCCTGCAAAGAGTCGAATCAAAATGGCGCCTGACACTACCAACCGCAAACTGCGACCTCCCCCTACGAAATTTCCGACTAATGGGGTACATTCGTATCTTGTTATCGCGTAATCGCCATAAGCGGTAAGCAAATTCTACAGCTAATCGTGACGTCATTTACACGAGTAACCAAGAGGTAGACTTTACAATATTGACCGTCAACTTTGATTCGAAAAAATAAAAGAATCTTTTTTCGATCTCTAATGTTCCGCGAGTAATTATTCTTTGTGGTGGTAGCTATGCTATACGAGCCACTAGTCACGAGTTATACTCGACGACCGACCACCAACGGTTATTTTCTTTTTCGAAACATCGCGTCGCTAGCAAATGAGTCCAACGATCGACGAGCTGTGCCCTGTCGTATATTTTTCTATCTGGTTTTCCGCATGGATTCGGCACTCGTTAAATGTAGTGACCTTATCGCCTTGGTTTCCAGCTCGATTCACAAGAATGATCGTTGCCGTTTACAAATAAACTCCCGATGTCGATGCACACTCTTTTCGTTTTCGCCCCGTTAATGACTAATACTTGGCTAATACTCGGATCGTGATCATTTCAGGTTGTAAACTACGCCGCCCCAAGTTATTTTCGTTACGAATTAACTACAATCGAAATGGGAAACTATGGTACGTTTGCTGGTTACGCTTTGTTGGAATTTCAGCAAACGCACGATCGATTTGAAATATTTCGATCTCAATTACGTCTAATTTTGAAATTTCTGTTAACGGTTAAGTATATTCTCCGTTGGCGAGTACGTTGCCAGAAGCAGCCATCGCTACCTGTTATTATTTCTAATACGCAAAGCATTCCACTCGAAAAGAAACTTACGATTAAACAAATAACGATTAAAAGGCTTACCTTACGAAGCAGGGAACGTTGAATTTTCAAAAAATTAGCGGACAAAGTCACGCTAGAATAGCATAAACAGCGTATCACATCTTCTTTGGAACCACGTGTCGATGGACACGTGCTCAGGGTGGGCAAAGGCGATCGCGTATTCTTAAATCAAAAAATTAAATCGCGCCCTTGTAGAGAAAGTAGCAACCGTCCTCGTCGGTTCTTGTTTCTTGCATGCAACTCCACACCAACATTCTGTCGACAATGTGCTCGCCGTCGCCGTCGCCGTCGCCGTCGCCCACGAACTCTGACACTAGTCAGACTCGCGATCGATTTCCCTACCAAAACGACCGCGATGCACGATCGTTTTTGTTTATCCTTGGTAATCACGAGGCGACTACGACTGTTTCGCGATCATCGATCATCTTTTTTCGACCGATACGCGGTACGGTGAATAGACTGAAACCATGAAACGAGAAACGTTTATTCATCGAGGTAGAAACAGATATCGCTTAAAAAAAATACCGCATAACGAAAACAACAAGAACGATAACCACAATTTGGTTTGTTATTATTTCGGCCGATAGAATCAACGTACAACGCAACGTCGCGTGTATTTGTTTAAAATACGAGAAAGTTTCTATGAACAAAATTCACTCTATCCAATCTCGAATGATACGGAAATGTGTTAAAAATAATAATCGTACGTGAAGAAGCGATAAAGTCTAACGCGTGGTCAGCGACACTTTTGTCCGGCAAACAATGACGGAGAACAAACGATACATGCAAACCCGTGAAGCGACGACGCTGAACTGCGAGAAATGGAGAAATTCGTTCGCGCTCAAGTCCCCTGCGCATCTTGTACCGCGCATATACTCACGGAATTATCTACCGAGAGAAATAGATTCGAAGAAAAGAAATATATTTTGGGTTAGGTCTGATTAACGTAAACGTAAACAATCCGTGGAAATGAAAACGAGCAAATAAATAACAAGTATTGTTATTGTAAGAAACCTAAATAAAGAAATTCTGCGTAATGCTACGCGGTACGATTCGAATATGTTGCAATGGATGCTACACGACTACATCATACACGTGTGTAGAGAGACGTTACCATGATCGGAGCGTGTCTTTGCTATCGTAACGCCCTCCTCCAGATCGTTAAAAGGATGCACTTACAACTACTTCTTCCTACGTACGATATGTCGAAGAGCTGATACAAATCTTGTAAATAATTAAAAAACAAATCTTTGTTTATTACGCGTTTTGTACATACAGAATGTTAAAATCTTGTTCTTAGCTATAAAATACGTCCATTGGAATAAAACGCAACAGTCAACTGCAGATATTCACGCAACATTACAATTAAAAGTTACTACAACTTTAAATCTCCGTACGCTTGTACGTACAATAACCGAGCGAGTACTCAACACCGTCAACATGATTCGTCCACAGTGTCGCCGAATATAAAGTCCATAAAATTGTGGACATTCGAAATTCATAAAAGAACAACGAATTGTTTCGAATATTTTGTGACTTTTTTAAACACTTTGAAATCAATTGAAACTTCCGTAGTTGGCGCGTCGAGACACGCATACCTTTTTTGTCATTAAGTCGATTAATTTACAGCAATTTACATGTCTATCACAAGAGTTGTATAATTCATACAATTACTAATCCTCGAAAAAGAAGCTAGAACTCCATCTCGTGATATGTCTCCGCTATCCACCCAAGCAGATATTTAACTTTCTCTGCTGTTTCGTCCGTTGCCCTAAAGTCTGTTATAGCTTCCGTTAAGCACACCGATAAATGCTTCAAAGTAGGCTGCAAGCAAAACAAGCAAAGTACTTGTAGTTACGCATAAATAATTTCCGTAACTACTTTTAACGAAAGATATTTACCACGGGCCAGTACTGCCTAAATAAAGCCACGCATTGATCGCTAAGGCTGTCAATGTTTAAAATGTCCTTTTCTATTAACTTTTTAATAAATTTCCCGAGAAATAACCAAACCTCCTCTTTATCTGGTTGAGCTAGCAACATAATATTTCTTGGACTGAATATTCTGTGTATAGGAGAATCTAATTCCAAAGCTTTCCAACGACTCATCGCCCATATCTTTATGAATTTTTCTTCGATTTTCGGTGTGAGGAGATCGCTCCTGTAAGCAACTATAAACACAGCAAGTTTTCATCACGGCTTAACGTTAGACCAAGCAACGATGCATTATTGTATATCGGTAGACTTTTACCTAAAAATAAAGCAAAATCCACGCTGAGAGAGTACAAAACCTTCTCGGGGCCCATTACAAGATCAGCTCTTTCATTCAAAGTTTGATACAAATTATCTAGTATAGTCGACACCGACGATATCGTTAGAGATTTTCCAGTATTGTCAAGTATATTCCACATAAGTTCCTAACAAAAATTGCAATAAAATGAATTTTGATTTTAATCTATCTAAACAATTCGTGGAGTATATATTTACTCTCAAATCATCCGTGATGGTCGTTGGACTAACGGCATTCGGATTATGCTTCTTTTCTTGTATAGAATGCAATGGTGTATTGTTTTTCAAAAATCTATTCAACTCGAGTTCCATATCGTTTATGAACAACGACCCCCCCATTATATGGGATTGTATCCATTGATGTATGCGTTCTGTAGCCAATCTCGTCGCAATTTTAATGCACATATCTTTCACGGATGCTAAAGAGTCTTCCGCCAAAAGAGATTCTACGGATTTAGCCACACGCGCTTCGCATATCGTTGGTATAAACGTCTCGCATTGATCTTTCAATTCTTTAGACATATTTGTGGCAAAGATATTCATATCATTCGCCAGGGATGCCTGTAAGGATAACAATTAGAAACAACAAAAATTATCTAAATAACAAATATTACCTTGAAATCTGTAACATCGTTAAGTAATAGTTCTTCTACTTTTTCCGATTGCCTTTCGCTTTGTTTCTTTTTCAAAAGCTTTCTAAAAGTATTCAAATTCGATTCTCTAGAGGACATTAATAAAGTATTACATATATGCTTAACACAAGTCGAGGCGACTCGTTCAGATACAAAGTCAATGGTTTTCCTGGTAGATGCTGGTTGTCCGTGAAAAAATGCTTCTTCTAATTGCAACTATTAGAATATAAAAGTTGTAGTATTTCTTACGGAATATCTATAGTAAATTATAAATTTACCTCTAAATGCTTTACACCCGTACTTCTGGCAGACTTGAGTTGACTAGAAACTGGTGTAATATGTTTATTTGAACTGTAGTGATTCGTTTTCCCGTTAGAATTTGTTACGGATGCGTTTACGCCGACCACAGGACAGCATATACGCAATGTCCTTTCATTAATAATATCTAATTTGTCCAAACTGTATTTAGAAGATGTAACAGATGCTACTGGCTCCCCTAGTAAGGCATTCTTTTGCACATAATGTTTATCGAGCTGCTTAAGACTTTGCAATTCTCTAGCTTCATATGTCTTTTGCCAAGTGGGATACAAATCCTTTGGAAAATTTGGTAATTCGAATAACCAACCTAAAGTATGTTTTAAAAGAATTGCTGTTTGTCGAGAAATAGGACTTTCAGATGTTGTAAAATCAGAATGATTTACAACTTTATAAATATAATATAACAATTCCAAGATTTGTTTATAGTGTGGCAATCGAAGCGATACGGTATCCATCATAGCCAAATATTTTGCTATCCACGGTACAGTTAACGATAATTTTCCTAATGCTATCGCATTATGCAAACAAAGATGTAAATTTACTATCGGTAATACTTTGCTTCTTACTTCCACTTGAGTTGCTATTAACTCTTTAAAATTATTTGAATCTGACCTGTATGGTAAGGATACAACAAGACCTAATACTTTTGCAAGGAGTCGCAAACTGGATAAACAGATAGTAAAATTTTGTTGCGTTTGCTCGTCAACTGTTGTTTCTGTAATAAATAAATTACATTAATTTACCAACAACATATCCATGTATGTAACTTAAACTAATACTTTATACCACAAGATGCATTAGTACCTGAATCTTCTATTTCACTGCCACTAAATTGAGTATCATTCAATTCCATTATTTCATCAACCAAACAATTTTCTAAATGAACATAAAAAATTGGATTAAAAGCAACCAATACGAAATCCCTAAAAAATTCCTGAACTCCTGGGAAGGAAGGTCCAGTAATTTGATTTTTGGAAGGCTGTGGAGTTACTAATCGTTTCTGAAGCTGATTCAACTTTTTTGGATTTATATCCTTTAAAGCTTTTAAGAAACTTATACTTTCGTCATCTTCCACTTCTGCCTAAAAATAATAAGAACAAAATAAACTTAAAATGTAAATAGTTTATGGACAAATAATATAAATATTTAAACCAACCTGTTGTCTATTTTGTATACAGGAAATTAGAAGTTGAGATTTAAATAATCGTGCAAAATGATAATAATTTATGGCATCATTGTGCAACGTCAACATACTTCGTATTTTGCTTCCCAGAGCTATCTGAAATGTCCATCCTGGCACCGAATGATTTTCTTCCCATATTCTAAATATTTCATAAAATGAGTCTCTTTGATTTTTAAAAGTTTGAAAAGCAACTGTGGATGGGAAATTTTCACGATTGTCTGTGTCTATTTGAAAACACACATTTAATTCTCCCATTGTTTATGCTTAACTAAAAAAAAAAGTAAACAATTATCCAGCTATACTTAGAAGAAATATATTTTATATTTAAAAATCACTATTTTTTGCAAAAAATATGAACAAAGAATCAATAAAAGACAATCAAATCTAACGTTACTTAACACTATATATAAACACTTCGAAGATGTACTCGCTCATAAAGGTTTTTAAACATACTTATTCACTTAAAGTGTTAAATACATGACGTCGATGTCCCAGGTTTTAGAGGGTTTAAGGTTATGTTTACAATAACTTTTGGAATTAGTCGTGAATTCATTAAAAATTGTACGATATCGATACGCGCAATCGCGATCTTTTGATCAGAAGAAATTATTAAATATTATAAGGCTATATTTTATAATATGCATATATTAATGCCATAATATTTCATATTCTGATCATTCACGGCTCTTCCAACATGCCACTCTGACTCTGACAGCATCCATCTTGTGCGCTTGGAAATCTGATATATTCATCGAACGGTCGATAATTTATACCTCTAAAATTGACTATTTTTCTGAAAGATGATAGGGTATATCATTAATAAAACTAATTTATATATTTATAAAATATATATTTGCTTTCTCAATGTACAAAGAGAAACTTAATGTATTATATATTCAATACATCATTATTAAATGAAAAATAATTTTAGATATAATTTCATTCATTCGATCACATTCTTCGACCTTTCTCCTTTAAATGATTTAGAAAACTCAATTATCCCTGAGATCCAACAAGAGGATAACTAGCAGTAGTAGCAATACCACAATGATTCATCTTGTTCCTAGCCATTTTAATATATCCCTTATCACCCCATGTTTCTCCCCAACTGTTCTTCACCAACCAGTAGTCTTGACCATCTTCATCAGTTCCGTATCCCACCGCTAATACACCGTGATCCAAATCTTCCGAAGAGCATTCAGGTTCATAATAAACGCCTATAATTTATATAGAATTTATAATTTCTTTCTGTTTTAAATGTTTTTAAATTAATTAAAATAATATTACTATTAATAAGTTAACAAACCTTCAGAATAAAACTGGAAAGAACTATGCGACGCGTCAATGGCAACAGAAACTGGTCCTACAGTAGCAATTGCTGCTTTCAGTTTCTTTTCATTTCCTTGAGGAATGTCTGTGAAACCAACATCACCAGCACCGCTGTTCTTTGGGTTATATCTATAATTTAAAAAAGAATGAAACCCAATGTTCAAAATTATTTATTTAAAATAAGCATTTGAATGCAGTTTGCACCTGCATTTGTCATTTTCAGCTTCATATGGATACGTTATCTCTGTATCAACACCTCCATTGTCTTTAATATATTGGAAAGCTTGATCCATCATTCCTCCTTGACATCCATTATTACCATATTTACCAGAACAATCAATTAAGTTTTGTTCGCTCAAAGAAACTAGGACTCCGGTTCGCCGGAAATGTTGTCCTTCCAAAGCTCCGGTCTACAATTAAAACTTATCCTTAAAAATGAGAACGATACAATAACAAAAGAATGAATTTTGTTATCAGGCCTTACCGTAGAGAATGCCCAACACGAACCGCAATGACCTTGATCTTTAACTGGAGTAACAGCACCTTGTTCTCTCCAGTCTACTACCTCTGGTAACTCCACATTTGCTGGCTCGATAAATGTAGCACTTAGAGGTAGCCTTTCAAATCTCAATTGATGATTTATAGATTTATTGAAACCATTTAATGTATTTACAAATTCATGATGAAGCTAAAAAATAAAATAACAATAGGTATAAAATTAAAAACATAATACAATTGCACAAATTGGAGAAATATCGCTTACCATGTCACCATACTTGTTCATCTTTAGTTTATATGAGACTTTCTTCATTTCATAATTTCCATTATGCTTGGCAATTTTATGTTTGTTATCCAAGAATATCTTCATTCTGAACTTTTCTTCTATGTCAGATTTGTAAACTTTGTTATGTTCCATCTAGCAATTAATGAATTTACAAATAATTCATTAATTCAAATTTATATTACTTTTATAAATATTATTTAAACTGGTGGCATGCAACGTTAAGATAACAAATATAAAATAAGGAAATACGTGTTTAATATTCTATATGCTTTATCAGTGTAGAGAATGATAAAGGTCAAATGTAATCTGGCTGATATACTCTGCATAAACAAAAGTATCTATAAAGTATCTAAAAAATATTTACTTGTTCACAGTGACCAATTTGACTAAGAACACAAAACTTTAAATGCTTTATATAAAATAACTATGACACAGAATAAATACTAATATTATAAGTTATTGTATTATTAATCTTTGTAAAAATACGACTAATAAATACCTTAAAGGTTGTCCATTCTTCTTTGAACAATTCAAAGAAAGAGACAGCTTGTGTAGTGGCAAATACTGCCACAATTAAAAATAATAGTATCCTCATGATTTTTGTATATCTGGAAGAATGTAAACAAATAAATCTTCTTTAATTAGTCTTTTTAAACATTTAATCTTTTTATTGCGAATAATTTTGAAGTAAACCCGATTATTTTTATTGGGCTATATATACATATTTTTACGACACCTTAAACAAAAATCGAATTGTTTAAGAAGATACGACGAAAACGACAATGTTTTCGTTACGAATTGATTTCATTGAAAAAAATGTTTGAGATATTTGTTACCTAATAAGACATTAATGTAACATGAAATAGTAAAAAAGAATATTTTTCCAATTTTGTAATTAAAAATGGCGAAAAGCAGTAGTCGTTGCAAATTTACTCACAAAGCAAGCGGTGTTCTATTTTGATGGAAATGTTATTGTTTTTACAAGCGAACATTTCCTATATTATTTGACACAATTCTAAAATTGACGTTTGCCTTGACATGTCATATAAATCATGCGAACAAAGATGATACTCAATTTAAACTTTGCATCGCAGTTAATATTCCCGTAACCGTTATTCATCGTCAACAAAGAAACGTGGATCGGTCTGCTAGACTGGAATTCATCGCTTAATGTGGAATCCAAGGTCTATCTTTTTTTTATTTCTGATAAGCTTCAAACAAAACGCGATTATGTTACCTTGATTAACGAGAGTCACACGAACATTTTGAATGACGTGATTCTTTTCTTTCAAATGAAATAAAGTGTGCGATAAAAGCATGATGATCAAAGGTTATCAAGATTTATAATAAGGCAAAAGATCGAATAAAATTATGTCACGTAAAAAAAGAAATTGATCGTAAAGCCTATTTAGCTTTCTTGATACTTTTCTCGGTTGTGATTGGTAACGTAAAGAATCTTTGAACAACTTACCAAGTGCCGTACAGTTTGTTGCTGAAAAAGATTTCTAAAAAACGAATGAGGTTTTCAACGTTCCTTGCTTTGTGACACTTCGGTTCGTGGTTCGTGAAGATTCGAAGTTTCGGACTAACGAGAACTGGGAACGCTCTCTCTTCCCTATATCCTATACCCTCCCTTCTACTGTGTGATTCATCGTTGCTTGTACGACAGCGTCTCCCAACTTCCGTGTTTATGACTATCTACAGTCTACACACATCGAATAACTGAAAAACAAATGCGACGAACAAAACTTTTTTTTTCTGTATCTTTTTCTATGAAATTACAGTCGTCTTTCGTTAAACGAACCAGTCATTGCGAATACTGAAACGAATTTGTCAACACATCGATAGATACCTACAAATATATCGATCATGTGACTTTTATACATTATCATGTTTTTATTGTAAATTTAATCTAGATATTTTTCTTCTTTCGAAATCTAAAATAATAATGATATGCATAAATATCTATAATAATTTCTGATAGAATTTTATGTATTGGGAAGCACTGGATAAGAAGGATATCTTTATCTAGTCACGTTTGTTTCTATACATTTGCCCCTGGTACGTATTGTACTTTGTGTGATTCGATTTGTATACGATCCGTTACATCGTGTTGTCATGTGATTCTGATAAATGTTTTGCAACCCACATTTCAAATATCTGCGTATACACGTATTTAAATGATGCAGTTTGATCGTGATCAATGTCTACGCATTCGCATAACATTCTAATCTTTCGATTTTATTCTCTGGAATACTTTATTTAATTATAACAAACAGTTATAATACTATAAAGTAAAATTCATCCTTTATTTTTTGTTCGTTTGAAATGATTTACAACTCTAATGAATATACATATACATATGTACAAATATTTCATTAGATGATCAAATTTAAAAAAGAATGAATATCCGAATGTGTATTATACGTATGCATATATTATAAAATAAAAGGCACAGCGTTGTAGGAAGAAAATGATCCTTCTTCCTTCCCATAAACGACGAATATACAACAAATTTATTTTACATTTCTGATTTATCTCTTTGGAAGGGATTATATTTCGGATACACACATTCTTGGGTAGCCTGTATAAGCTTCGTACTTGTTACGTACACATTTGTGCTGATTTGTGCAGTGTGTTGATTTTACAAGCGAAAAATGGGTTCGAACAGAATAGAGTCTTTCGATGTCTCACGAAAAGCTCGAGAAGTAATAGAGTGGAGAAGTTTGAGAAGAAAACAATTACGTCAAGAATATTTAAAACAAATTCTTAATCCAATTAAACAGCAAACAGTTGTACGTATCAATGAACATTTAACCTTACTTACGTGACTTCGAAAGTTACCGAAAACATTATCTCAAAAAAAAATTATATTCAAAGTTATTGAAATTCACGTTTAATTGAAAAATTTACATTTAATTTACATTTAAATAACTTTTTATAGTCACGTGATTAATTTCAGAACACTTCGATGATTGAATAGAAAATAAAAATTATATAAGATTTCGTTTTAAACTATAGTTTATATGTACAGAATATTCTTATTTTAAATGTACAGATGGACGATGCAACAACAAGATTTGCTGTAATGAGAATCGCGCATGAATATCAAGCAAAGTTAACTGCTAGAAGCTTCTTTGTTGGTGTATGTGGATTAACTACATTGTTTGGGGCAATCATGTATGGTTTTGTCAAACTGAAGGTAAATTATCTAACTTTTAAGTACACAACTGAAAAAAAAACATGCAACATAAGAGTAAGTAATTACCTTTCTTATTATAGGAATCAGAAGAAAATGAATATCGTACTGGAAAAGTAAGTTATGCCAATAGAGAATTCAAATTTAAGTAATATCTTTTTTTATTTGATCACATACTTGTAATTGAAGGTCATGTAAATTAAAATTTCTGTCTACTTAGTAAAATAAACACTAATTATAATAACATGCATTCAAATATATATTTAGTTACGTTATTATTTTACAAATAAAAAAGGTCTAATAGGATAAATGGGAAAACAATTGTCATCATATATATCTTTCTTTATCTCGTATATTTGAAATTAAAATTTGAAAATGTGCTTACACCAAAGTTAATTTTTTTTAAACGAAGATTCATTACAATATTTTTACTTTTTTATTTTTGATTACCGATCTTCAAGTTGTTTGTCACGGGCAACAACTGCATCATCAAATTTAACCATGTATGTTGTTCCTTTATGCCAATGCGCTGTCACCTTTGCTGGCTGAAAATATAAATAGAAACTATTTTATTTCGCAAAATAATTGATAAAAATTTATGTATTCTTTTTCTAACCAAAATTCACAAAAGCTTCTCAATGAGGATTTGTACTTACAAAACCACAATCGCAAAGAATAGCTTCGACTACTCCAGCAATAAAAGAAGCACAGTTTAAACTTCCTTTGTCTTTTGGTACAGATATAAATTTATTTACTAATGCTTCCTTTTCTATGATATAGTAAGTGCGCTCATCGTCATTTGCATGTTCTAATTTATCAGCCTCGCGACCAAATAACGATTTCCATACTGTGCTCTTAATGAACAATAAAATATTCAATAACTTTATTTCACGTTTCCCACTTCTCTCTCGAACAACAAGGAGATCTGTTATTCTGTGGCCCACTTCTGCACCTATTTCTGCCAACCTAACCAATATATATAAAAAATACTCATTCTAAACAACAATGTTTCAATGATCTCGATCAATTACGTACTTGTTTTGTAATTCTGGTACGGTGTAAACTCGATTTTGACAGTACTGGACGAGTTCCGAAAATAAAAGCGCGAAACAACTCAGGCTAACCTCTCCTTTCCCTTTGCTCAATGACTTATCGAGTATGCTTGTTCGCATTCGAACCGCAGATATTGTTATCGTAGTCATTTCTACGCGCTAACCAACGGTATAAATTATTTTTTCTTTTACGTAAAATTTAACCAACGTATCGTGATAACTGAATCAATTACAACGTCGTTTTGACGTGTTTTTCTGATTCGCCATCTGATGGTATGACGAAGAATTACATGTACCTTGATTATAATTCAGATATAAAAGACTGAACAAATACGATACATATATTACTTTATTGTCGAACATTTTAAGAATCAAAATTACCTGTTATTTTTTTGTGTGTATTTATTTATTATTAACACTGTAATATTTCAAAACCTTTACCATAAGCACATACAACCGATCCACACCTAAAATGATATAACTTTATTAATGATTTTATTAAAATGCATATTTATTATATTAAATAAACGATAAACATACTTTGGAGTACACCATAAAGTCAAGCCGCTTGCATCGGTTACGTGTGTATAGATTTTCTTTAAAACTTTCACAGATAAAGTACTATTGCTGTAATGGTAATCATATATAATGATTTGCTGATCTAGCCCAACGCTAACAATTTTGTTTTCGTCGTGAAACTTTATTCCTGAGGAAATATTATTTAATTTATTTAAAATTAAGTAAATCCTTCTAACAAAAAATTATTAACGTTCGTAAATGTTGGAAATGCACCTGTAATTTGAGTATAATGCTCTGTTGAAGTATTCCACTTTGATAATAACAAAATGTTTAATTCTTTTTCATTCGCCAATGAACAAATTTTAAAACGAATAAGATTAAATAAATTATCATCACCACCAGTTGCCAGCAAATATTCATCTTTTTCAATCATTTTTATATCAAAGGAATTAATACCAGATTGATGCAAATTCAATTTTGCTTGAAATGCACTGGTACAGTTTTGAAATTCTTGATCTTCATTTTGCGTTACTTTCAATATTTTTGACACGGTATCGGTAAAATCAATGAAACGGCAGATTCCATCAGTTGACATCGTTAATGCGATTACTCTCTCTTTATACGTTAAAATACTTATTTTTGTTATGCAACGATCAACACATTTTGCATTTACTTTCAATGAAATATATCTTGTGTCGATATCATACAAAAATATTCTATAAACATTTAAGTTGAAACTTGTATTGTATTAAATATTATACTATATAATACAACAAAATTTACCTCACAAACCCATCTGCACAAGCAACAAAAAGTAGTATGTAACCAATATTTTTGTTATTACAATAGATGGCAATGTCCATGTATCGAGTCTCAGGTTGCATAATGTAAGACTGACTACTTTCTTGCCACTGTTTCTTGCGAAGTCGATCAGATCCGTATAACATATGAGACGTAATGTCATGACAGGAAATACCTTGTAAAACATTCTCACTCTCATTTAAATCGATCTCCCAAACTTTTATTTGCGCTCTTCCACCCCCCGAAAAAACAAGATGTTTATTGCACGAGGAATTAGATTGCAAGTTCAAGGAAGCTATTGATTTTATGCTGGAAATGTGACCATTAAAAATACCTAACGTTTCAAAACTGAAATCATTTTTTATTGGTTTACTTGAAATACTTGTAACACGGAGAGTACCATCTTCTCCTCCGGATAAAAAAATATTACTGTGATCAATTTTTAATATGGGATTAACGCAATATACTTCTTTCGTGTGAAAGCCATTCTGAAAATTTAAAGATTAACTTTTTATTAAACTATATCAATTAATATAAATATACATATAAATTACTTACTAATAAAACGGGTGATTTCATAGAACTTAATGAAAAGTCGGAAACATGTACTTGTTTATTGCGAATATAGAGGAATGTAATTAATTTATCTAGTAACATACAGTCCCATGATCTATGGCCTCCACCGCACGGAATTCTTGTTATAGTTCTACGATGGAACATGCTGTATATTATAAATTCCACCTAAAAATAATAGCAAAAAGAAATAAATACCGTGTATACAACAAATTAATAGTTTGTTGAAAATTTATATACCTCCTTAAAGCCGAGTATGAAGATATCATCAGGAGTTTTTAAACTACCACTAATCCAATCCATTGGCATCTTTTCTTTGTGTAATGTATGTAACAGTTTTTTATTTTCGTGTTTTTTAAATTCATACAATTTTAACATTCCGTCGCGGCCCGCTGATATTAATTTCGACCCTAAGACTATAAAATTCTGAATACCAATGTTTCCATGAACTTTGGTAAAAGTTTGAATGGGCTTATTGTCATTGTTAGCTATATTTGCCTGATCATGCAATTCAGATCTGTCATATACATGCATATTTCCTGCTCTATCTCCGCATACCAACAACTCTTCGTATATTATAGCTGCTGTTAACCAGCGTTCCCGACTCTGTGGTAACAGACATATAGATCGCATAATTATCGATCCTGCATAAAACAAAACCAACAAATATGAAAATGGTATAAAAAAATATAGTATACAATATATCTGTATTATATTTATATGCATACCTTCCATATCAAAACCAAATATCTTTAAAATTCCATTTAATCCACAAGCTATCACATTATTGTTTCGTAACCATTGTATAGAGAATATTTGGGAATCCATAATATTTTCTTCAAGAATCCGTTCTAATTTCGTATCGCTTACGGACTCTGTTTCTAAAAATATATTAAACAAGTTACTGAAGAATGAATATATTTTTGATAAATTCATAATTTTTTTTACCTTTGTATATTGTTACATATCCATCTTTTGATGCAAAACAAATATAACATCGGCATAAAGAAACTTCCATAACACAATATGTACTATATCGTTCTAGATACAATGATTGTATCAAATTACTGTGCAATCTATTGACAATAAAGAGATTTCCATCTTCGTTAAAAACCAAAAGTTTATCGTTATTTAAATAAGAAACATATTTTGGTAAACTAGTATGATTTGTAGGCAACAATACAGCTCTTTGAAAATAATTATCAACGAGAGACCAAGTATAAACTGCACCATCAGCTCCTCCAGTATAAACATTTTTATTGTCATCTGATATATCGATACTCCATATAGCTGCTCCATGATGAGCACAAATTTTATTAAGCAATTTACCATCCAATGACCAATTGCATATGAGAGAATCCTTAAATTATGAATGCACCAATAAATTAGATTGCAGTTCATATTTTATTTATTATATTACTTACCTCTCCTATTGTAATTAAAGTTTCATTTTTAATTACAGATCTCCATACTCTAGCAGTATGACCAAACATTGTTCGCATTAATTTTATTTTTGCTTCTTTCCAATTTACATCATCTTTATCTTTAGGTTCATCATAGTTTACTGTCCATAATCTGACTGTTCTATCATCAGATGTAGAACAAATTAATTTTGAAGTTGGATCATATATGACTGAAAAAATTACACCCTGAAAGAAGTTCAATGTATACAAATTTGTCAATTTAATTACAATTTATGTACAAAAAAATATAACTTCTAAGTAATAAAGAACTAACATTATGTCCTTGCAAACGATGTAAAATGGATCTTTTGGTATAAACAGAAGTATGATTTACTTCCCATATTAAAATTTCCTGAAAAACTGTCCCACTAAAAATGATCAAGTCTTGATTATTTTTTACTACAATCGATCCAGCATATCTATATACAATAGAGTTAAGCTTGCAGAACAAAATGCTTGAACATATTTAGATTTGAAGGATACAGAATACATTTTTCTTCGCACCATATATCTTTATAACACTCATTGAATGTATCTAATAAACATACATTGTTATGAGCCAATAAAACAGCTAAACAATTATACTCTTTATGTACGAACCAGTTTGTAGTAATTATCCAATCATTAAGATACTTTCTAATAGAACCTTCTTTGATTCTAAAATAAATGTCATATTCTTAATGTATAATTGAGCCAAGTATACCATACAACATTTGTTATAGCACGATATTTAATAAATTTACGTCAGTGCTTCGTGTTTCTTATAAATATTGTAGAAACAAAGAAAGTTAGCGCCAAAAACAGCCAAATTATTATTGGGTCCTTCAACAATTCCATGTATATTATACGGATAAAGACAATTTATTTTTTCTTCTAACTTGTGTGTATCACCGTCGAAAATATGTAACGTGGATCCTATACCTGTGTAAATGATGCAGTAAGTCATAAAAAAACTCTACAGGTACTTTTAAGATGTTAAAATGAAGAATCCTGCAGTTCATTCAATTTATTGTATAATAGAAAAAATTTATGTGTAATAAAAGAATTTTGTAATTGCTAACGTTTTTTTATGTATACAATGTATATCAAACTAACCTACGAAAATCAAATTATTTACACAGCGAATAGCAAGTACATCCGTACATAAAAGTTTCGAAATCATTTTATAAGATTTTTTTAAACTACGTGCCACGATTGAATGTACAATTCATTATTTTTAACAATCATCTTACGATTGACAAACAATTCGAAACAATGATCAAAGTATATATAATATTGTTTTTTCGCACTTGCGTATTGAAAACGATATTAGTTACAGTAACGTGTCTTATCAGTTATCACGTTATTCTTTTCAAACGCATGCGTAAAAAAGCAACTCATTTGGAAACACAGCGTCCACATTGTCATCTGACGTAACTATTGTCAAGTGCACGTGTAAATTATGACTCGTACAACATGATTAAAAATTATTTCACATAAAATTGAAAAATAAAACGCTTTTTATGTGTATTGAAGCAATTATAAGCTTGTTCAAAATTATTTGATTTTATTAATTATCAATCAAAATTTCGAATTATGAACAATGTTTCGTTCCTTGCGAGTTGCATCTTTTTAAAAATGTTGACAAACAATGTGATATAGCGTTAACATCAAATATTTTTAGAGATGATACAATGCCTAATTTATTATTTATTGAAGAGTATTAATGTAAGTGAGTAATTAAAACAGTTATTAGGAAAATTACTATATACTGGCAATAATGTGGGTATTTGGTTATGGTTCACTCGTATGGAAAGCGGATTTTCCATATGAGAAGACCCTGGTTGGTCACATCAAAGGATACGTTAGGAGATTTTATCAGAAAAGTACAGATCACAGAGGAATACCCAGTAGAGTATGTATTTCATTATTTTTCTCTTAAATCTGTAGTTTATAAATATTGTATTTTTTAGCCTGGTCGTGTTGTCACATTGCTTTCTTCTGAGAATTCTGACGACGAAGTGTGGGGTATCGCTTATAAAATATCATCTCACGATATAAATAAAGTTGTGAAACACTTAGACTACAGAGAAAGAGGTGGTTATGAAAGAAAATGTGTTCTCTTTTATCCGTCTTACTCGATAGAAAATATTGGATCGCATCTATTAGCAAATAGTGCTTCCCAGGACAATCTTGAAAACGCAAAATTGTTGCCAACAACTGTGAATGACATGCCATTTTACATTACAATTTACATAGGTGGGGAAGATAATCCAAATTATGCAGGTGTAGAAGACATATCTACAATAGCAAAACAAATACTTGTATCTCATGGTCCTAGTGGAGCTAATACAGAATATTTGTATAAATTAGCCTCTGCAATGCGAATAATTGCACCAGGTGTATACGACAACCATTTATTTACCTTGGAATCAGCTGTAAAAGCATTAGAAGAGGAACAGAAAACAAACATGAAATTGGATCAAAATTTATGTAAGAATAAAGATAGATAAGGCATCTTTGTATTTGATATACAACAAAATAGACAAGTTATTTGGAATATTTATACAGCTAGATGTAAAGGAGAGATTTTTACAGTACGAAATGTGATACTTGTACTAATGTAATTTAAACGAAAATATTTAAAAGTAACGGTTTCTTTTAAATATTTTTTAATTTATGTACAAAAATAAATGTATATAAACTAATATCCAAACAAATGTATCTATTCATAATTTAGGTATCTTTATTTAATATTAGAATCTGAATTTATATATTATAACATTTTCACTGTGAACCGACCAATGATCCTTTGTGACAAATTACGTGTACTATACGTATATAATATAATTGACTGAAGTTAGTTTACGAACTATATTTAGATTTAAACGATCGTATTTGTATTAACGAGAACACATCGTAATTCGGTCTCGACTGTAGAAAATCATCAGTCTTACATAACTTCCATATCCGAAGCTTAAAATCCCTGTAATATTAATAAAATTGAAAATATTACAACCAGCGCATTGATATCGATACCTATGCCTTCTGTTAAATTTAAGGTTATCAAATCATACTTTAATTCACGTAATTAAGTGCGTGAGATTAAGCGCAAAATTATTCAAATGTTATGTTTGAAAAGATAGAAATAATGCATAACAACGATAAATTGATACATTTTCTTTGAAGTGTTTACATTCACGAAGGGACTACTTTGTTACGCACGAGCGTGCGTTGACGCGTAATGATCAGCTGAACGTACCGAAGTCCGCCATTTCTTATTGTTAGAACAACTGTCAAACCAAGTGGTTCGTACGCGGCCCTGTTTCCTATCTATACTGACGAATACGATAAAAAAAGCCAAGATTGGGTGATCCATTGACGTGAAAGCGTTTCGGACGCGTCCGGGTAAATGTTTTATTAGAATTTTATTATAGTTTAGTGCCTGTTTACCGAGTACGTTCGAACTTGGAATGTCTAACTGATACAAAATGGTGGTAAAACGCAATTCTTTGCTAGTTGACATAATATTGTTTATTAACACAAATTTCAACGTTGCAAGATAAATTTAAATTACGTTTATCTTCGTTTCATTAATACTGTAGTATATTTAACAAATGTTGTTGCTTTTATCCTAATCTACATTTTGTATGGAACGAACAATTGCCGTGAAACTTGCGTCATTCTTTTCCTTTGTAAACAATAACACGATAATATACAAGATGAGATACTATTTTCCATTATAATCTTATTCAAGTCATGCATTTACATTGAATGCAACGCTTACGATTGTTAACCAGGCTAACGTAAGATGTAATGGGGATTTAAACAAACAAAAGTGAAGTTCATTCGGCATAAAAATAGATTAAAATTGATGAATCATCCTTCTGAAATCGTATCGAAAGAAAGTTGAAATTGTATACAATTTTTCTTGTAATAGTAAGCACGTATACGAAATATTGATATTTATCGTGTATACCAAATGAATTTTTACAAAAGTATAATTTGTTGATAAAAGATTTTACGGTACAATAACTCCCAACTCTTCGCTGAGTTCGTGTGAATTCGTACGCGGTCGGAGTTCGAGTATTGTTCATCTGTGACGATTTACGAAGTAGACGCGATCTACAATCCACGGTATCAGTATTTATACGGGTACACTGGAGTATGCGTTTAGAGTGTATTTTGTTCTTCGCGAGAGCTTATTTCTCTTACGTAAAGAAAAAAAGTGTATACAGTTTTTCAAAGGTTCAACGGTCGTACAATAGAGTATCACTTGGAATAAGTTGTACGTATATACATACGCGAATTTACGATTTCACGTGAGTAAATCGTGTTTCAAATATTTCCCGCCAATAATTATCTTGAAAAAATTAGAATATAAACAGATCGCATAGTTTCGCTTATGTGTCGGTGTGTTTTTACTTTTATACACCTAATATAGTAGGATACAAATAAGTTTAATCGTACAACTAATCTTTTCAATATTGCACAACAAATTATTATTTACAATTTAATATTGTAGTTTTTCATAGATTTCGTACCATTTTGATATTTTCATAATCTATAATAGTATTTATATTCGATACGAGTAATATTTATATCACAAGGAAGAATATACATAAGAAGTTATTCCATATTTTGCATACTTCATTTCCGTAATTGTCATAATATGTATATTACAAACGAAAATTTAAAATTTGTAATCATATATCATGAATTTTCGATCTGATGAAGTAGTTGTTGATTGTTGAAAAATATTAAAATTATATCGTACGCGCGTAAATGAGACGAAAAATGTTGATATGAACATCTTGATAGTTTTTTTTTTATGTCAATTTGCTACTTCAAAGTAATGTTACGAAGGGAAAAAATTAAAACGTCGAAAGTTCCGGAAATTATTTTGAATGAATCATTTTTCTAGTACATTCTTTGAAACTTCTGGTGTCCATGATCATTATGGCATGATGCCTGCTGATACCCGTTTGACGGCGCGTGCATGATAACACGTGCGCAATAATCAGCAAGAATCAGTAGCAATCAGAAGATTCTAATTAAAATATAGAACAATAAATGTTGTTTATAGCGAATTTTTTACGTTTTAATATTTATAAAAAAAATGTAGTTTCTTGTGCTACCATCATAAAGTAGTCTGGTAAACAATATTCTATTAATCATAAACATAGAATAATATTATTTAGAATGAGATTGATTTATATAATTATGTTAATGACAATATTATTTTATTTTTATAGATACAAGGCTAGCCAGCTGCGCCATTCTTGTTGTGTGACACCCATATCACCAACCATACTACACATCTTCTGTGTTACATTATCATTTCATCGTTGCTGTAGTTAGTTGCTTGTCACACATTGCAGGAATGGACACATCGGGCTTGCCTGTACCGGATGCAATCCACCCATTACTCGAACAACTGCAAGAAGCTTTGGTTCTTGAAGTAAAATATCAACCTAACCTTCAATTACCTAGTATATCACAAGTAAGTATATAAATTGGATTGTATACTATATATCACATTGAAATGTACAAATAACATGTAGATATTTATAGGTGTTTATCTCACATACAAAATATCTCTCAATTTTTCAGAATGATGAAATAACAATCGGAGCTCGAGATGGATCAGCTCACGTTTTAAGATGTTTGAAAGTATGGTATGATTTACCATCAGATGTGTTTTTTATTGCCATCAATTTAATGGACCGTTTTTTAACAAAAATGAAAGCAAGACCAAAACATATGGCTTGTATCAGTGTATCCGCTTTTCATATTGCTGCTGTCCAGTTAGCACAGTCCTTGGATGCTGATCACTTAGTCTCTATTTCACAGTGCAAGTGCACAGGTGGTGATCTTAAACGTATGTCAGAAGTAATACAGAACAAATTAGAATGGGCACCTGGCACTCAACCTGTTACATCTTTGACTTTTCTTCGATTATTCAATGCAATGTTTCATGCAGTTGCATCTCAACTAGGATTGGGAGACATATATAACGGCATTGTTACGGTGAGAAAATTTCATTCGCTATATAGACATAGGTATTATTGAATAAGTTTGAATAATAATATGTATGATTACAGGAATCCGAGCTTTTTCTTAGGTTAGAAATGGTTGCTTGTGATGGAAATTGTGCAAGTTTAAGGCCATCGGAAGTGGCACTCGTTCTACTTTGCACATACTTAGATAGTGCAGTTAATCGGCTGGATACTAATGTAGATTCTACCATATCTACAACCGCTATTCCTAGTTCCTCTATCATCAATACATCTGTAGCACCAAGACCACAGATGCTAAGCCTGTTAGAATTTGCTGTGGAACTTCAGAAAATATGTAAGGTAATATTAGAATGATCCGATAATCGTCAAGTATTTACATTACGCTATTAAAACCACAGTAATATTTATTTTATACGTTTGTTTTATAGATTCCAGATACAAGTTTTTTCTCTGCACATGATGCTGTAGGTGCTATATTGAGCAAATACAATGCTCAAGAGCAAACTCCTCATAAACAAAGACTGATATGGAGATTGTCCTCTCGTACGGCGCGCCTTTTACGTCCGACTGATAAATTCATTTCTGTATTACCTGTTATCGCCGAACATGCTCCAGTTCCTTCGCCAAGTAAAATTAGGTATATTTTTGTCATAATCTGTTATATCTATTTATACACAATTTTTTAACTGCTTAAGAATTATTTTTTTTTTTACCTTTACTATTAAATATGTACCTTCTTTGTTTATAGAAAAAATCGTAAATTTGGTCGACGTCATGGGAACAAGAGACGTTAAGTGGCAGTATCGAGGCCTTAAAGTACGTTACTATTATAATAATTACAAATACAAATACGACTAACGAATAGGACGGAATGTGTTGGAACTAATTACTGTGTTATTTATCAGCTGCTGGATCCAGAAGTTCAATGTTTATCCGTCATATGGAGCAAGAACAGAAGTTTGACTTTAGTTTGAGGTTCGAAGTTTAAATAGAAAGTACAAATTTCGATGTATTTACGTCGTACGGAGAACTGTCTGATATCTCTTTTGTAGCACTTACATTTCATTGCATTATTCTAAATTCGTAAATGAAATCTATTCTATATATATATATGTATATGTATATACATATGTATATAATATATATATGTATATGTATATACATATATGTATAATATATATATGTATATATGTATATTAGATCTGTTAAAATAAACTTTTTTTTCTTAATTGTATCATACATTTTATAAGAAGAGACAAAGATTTCCGTTAATAAAGTTAATATTTTATAATCATTGCTATTATGCATAGTACACGAGTGATGTGAAAAAAGAAACGGAAAGAGATTGAAACAGCAAATCGTATTTTAGTAATATTAAATATGTGATACAGTGTCCATTATAATTCGTATGTTATATGGATAGAACATCACTATACGTACATTCGTACGTTCGAGAAACATGTTACAAATGTGAGGAAATTGACTATTACGCAAGTATAAATAAAAAATTTAAAATTATTTAAAAAATAAATTATAAAAATTAATAAAGCTTATTAGGATTATTAAAATGTTCAATCTTAATTCTTAAAATTTACCAACATTGAAATTACTGTTTAATGTTTTGTCGAGAAACAGTATTTAAATTATATATTGTTCAAGAAAGGAACATGGATGAATGTGAATAAGTTAGTTTCTATCGATGTTTTTATGGTATGTTAATCAAGTAAATGATGCAACGCATTTATATTGAACAATCTAAACTGATTAACCTTTTGCACTTTAATTGTGATTTTTTATAAAAAAAAATATATTTTCCTCCGATTGGTATTTTCCTAATTTTTTAAATATAGTTAATCCACATTTCATGAAAATTTCGGGACGATAGATAGCATTTGCTAGTAACCTAAATAATATTTGAAGTAATCGGCGAACGAGTTAAACGTATGTAAAGTTTGTATAAAGTTGTTGAGGAAAATTTGAGGAATAAGATGTTTATATGTACGCGCGCGTGTGTATGTATGCGTATGTGATCAATAAATACAATTAAGAGCGCAAAAGGTTAAGAATATAATCATAAATGCTTCAAACCTTCTTAAAAAAACAAAACAAATGTCAGCTGTGAAAGTATGATTATTACACGTAAAGTTAAATTAAGGTATCTAGTATTATGTAATTACTTATAAGAATAACATTTAAAAGCCACAATTTGTGATAGAATTTTTTACTATTGTAGTTTTCAAATGTGGCCATTATTATTACATGCGAATAGTCTAGCGAAATTGTCTAGAGCATTTAAGAATTAAATATTTGTCTATAACTATTTATTATCTATTTCTTCTTATATGTTAGATTTTGTGGTAATCTCATAGTGTTTAAAAACACAAGAAAATGAAACAAAAAATACTCTAATGTAACTATAACTAATTTATGTTGAGTAATAATTTCTAATTGTAAAAAACCGTAACAAAAACGATTGATTGTAAAAATATGAAGGTATTATGTTCTTACTTTATATGTATAAAAAATGCCTAATTTTTAAACCTAGAAGTATTATTGTTGCTTATTACTATAAAGTGATGATTGCCTTGAAAGAAAACTCAGTTTTCAATGTCTCTCTATACTTAACCAATTTATGCTAGTCATAAGTCGTATGCCTTAAATCTTTATTTCACTTTATCTTATAAAAGTATTGTTTAATATTACGTTACTAGAATAAATAGTAAAAAATAATTAAAATTACATATCTTAGGGTAATACTGGAACACCAAACTATCATCCAAAAATATATTTAGGCAGATTATAAGGCAAGAACATTATTGTAAAAAATAGCAAGTAAGAGACATTAATTCTCTTGAAATTTTCTTATTCGTACTTATTAACCAGTATTACATGAAATTCTTAACTTTTCCATAAATTTCATAAAATAAAAAATGTGAAAAGATAAAAATCTGCACGGGACAAAAAATACGGTTAATTTCATTACTTTTTTTATTATATAAACAATTTTTTCACAGAACGAGTTGTATTTATGTGCACAAACAATAAGACATTCGGAAACAGGATGTTGAATGTTCTATGGAACATTTAATCTTGAAATGTAATTATTATGTATATTGATCTCCATTTTCAAATTATACATATATCAAAATAAAATACTACAGTGTTATTTATTTTACACATAACGAATTTTTTACTGTATCAACTGAATATATGATTTCCATAGAACGATATAAAATCAAGGAATAGTTGAATTCTAGTTACACAAATAATATCTATTGTTATCTACATTTAAAAGAAAGGCTAAGTAAGAAATTACTTTTCACTTTTTATTCACACATAAATTACTATTATTTTGAATATGAAAATTGCATTCGTAACATACAGAATTTCTTTATAATAAACATGAAGAAGTATTTACATTGTGAATTATATTGTCGATATATTTGTTCTTTTCTATTTAATATTATTTTACTGTAAATAAATTTTATTTTTATGAATAGGATTATTTCCAAAGAACATTCAACATTTCTTGACTAGAACAGTGTTCTCCAAACTAGTTTTCTAGTTTACCAGTTGGTAGAATAAGACTGAACTGATAAGAGTATGAGTATCGTGTGTTGTGTGCAGTTGGTTGGTGTGTGATGCTCGCTTATTCGCGTCATTTGACGGTATTAAATTGTAGGAAAGGGTTACTTATGTCAACGCCGCAGAGTACGAATATGTCGTCTTTAGTACAAATTGACGGAAGCTTGGGCGAAGGGGTAAGTATTTTCTAAAATAATTTATTATTAACGTTTTCAATGCAAAGTTGTGAGAGTTTATTTATTTAATTGTATAGGGTGGCCAAGTATTGAGGATAGCACTTTCTATCAGTACACTATATAAAATCCCGATTAAAGTTGACAATATACGAGCAGGTCGTCCTAAGCCTGGTCTTGCTGCACAGCATTTAAAAGGTACACTTTTATAATGTAAATAACAGCCATATTTGTAATTGAATTAATTTCTAATCACACTACCGTGTATAGGTGTGGAATTATTGAAAGAAATGTGTAATGCAGAAGTTAAAGGAGCTCATATAGGATCAACATGTTTAGAATTTAAACCAAATCAATTAAATGCTGGTAAAAAACGTACATTCGTTGTAGACACAGGAACTGCTGGTTGCATTTGTTTATTAGCTCAAGTTGGATTGCCCTGTGCTCTTTTTTGTCCAGATATGGATACTATTACATTAATTCTTAAAGGTGGTACAAATGTTCCTATGGGACCACAAATAGAATATCTCACAGAGGTGTTCAAACCATTACTTAACAAATTTGGTGCTGATTTTGACTTCTCATGTGTAACAAGGTATTTATACATATGGTACAATATAAGTAATGTTACCTATGATAATGTTTATCATAATCTATAGATTATATCCTTCAGAGAGTATTAATTTTTTAATAATCAATGAAGGGGTTATTATCCAAAAGGAGGTGGAGAAGTACATTTGTACATAAAACCTGTACATTTTTTGAATGCTGTCACTTTACTTGATCCTGGAATTCCTTGCGATATAACAGGATGGGCAAGTGTTGCAGGTGTTGTGAGAATTGAGGTATGTATGTTTTTTTTTTTATAATACATCTTTAATGTTACATATCAAATTTATTCTAAACAGCAAATTGGTGTTTTTTTTTTTTTTATAGGAAGCACAGAGAATGGCAAATGATGCAAGATCAGTTTTAACAGAAGGCTTAAATAAAAATAATATTTGTATCCCACCTATCAAAATTAAGGCTTATAAAGAACATAGATCTGTGGCCATCGGCAATGGATCTAGCATTAAGTAATACATTTCAGTGTCTCAAGAAAGGTAAATTATATGAATTACGTTTAACGACCAATCATAATCTTTATTAGTATAGCGTGTACTACCGATAACGGATGTGTGTTTGGTGGTTCTGGTTTGGGTTCTGGACGTCGAGAACAAATACCACCAGCTATACAAGCCGCTAACGAAATTTTGGATACAATTTTAGCGGGATCTTGTGTTGACAAATATGCGCAAGATCAGGTATAACTTATCATAAAATAATTATTGATAATTTATGAATTCTATAATAATACTTTTACCGTTTGTGTATTTTAGTTAATAATTTTGATGGCCTTAGCACGAGGTATTTCTAAAATTAAACTTGGAAGCCAAAAACTTACATGTCACACCGAAACTGCTATAAAAGTGACAGAGATGATGCTACACAATCATGATCTTTATTTTAAGTTGCATGAAAGCAAAGATGTTGACAACAGTATCTCTTATACTTTAGAGTGCAAGGGTACTAGTTACCAAATTCAAGGTATAAGATAAATATAATATATAATAAATAATAAATAAAAACGAAATAAATTTAAAACATTAGTTTTTATTTATAAATTGGTACTTAAAAATTATTTTTCCATGTGAAACAGTCATTCTTGTTTTTGCCTAAAAAATGGTTCTATCGTTCGTGAAAATTCCGTTTCAAATGCTTCGTCCGAAAATCGACTTACGGATGCTCTAAAAAACAGTTATTTGATGTTCAAAATATTGTTTGTAAAATATTTGAAAAATGAAAGTATTTTCAATGTGAAATTAAGAGTACCTGGCAGCCATTTGAATAGCATTTTTGTCTTCTGGGTGCATATTTATAATATGCGCTATTATCGTTGCGTATTCTTCAGCTTCTTCAGCTAAAAATCCATTTTGTGATCCAGGCTGTGTCTCTATTATATCAGCTCTGTAATTATTAGCTAATGTATTACAGAAGTTTTATTTGTGTTTAATTGATAACGCGATTATAATAAGACTTTACTTTGGACCACCGGAAGAATGAGCCACTACAATTAATCCTGCTGCCATACATTCAACAACACTGATACCAAAATGCTCGTTCCACATTGTATGTAGTCCTATTGTTGCTCTTTGAAGTTCTGAGATAAGCTCCGAGTATGGTATGTTTAATTTGAATTCCACATTTTCATCTAATGCAAAGTGCTTCGATAAATCCTGCATATCTTTTACGCGTACTTCGTCATCTGCATTTCGACAAGAGCCAACAAGAATTAGTCGAATCTGAAAAGATTATCTAATATAAATCTTTTTATTTAGTATATTAAAATAAACTTTTATAAAACATACTTTCTCCCACGTTTCTTCTTTAACAATCGATCTAAGTTCATACATTATTCTCAACATTAACGGGTGATTTTTTTCTGGCCTAAATTGTGCAACCGATACTATACGAATTTTATCACATTTTTCATCATCGCTGAGAAGTGGTAGTTCCGTTAAGTGCTTCACATCGCACGGCGGATAAATCCTATGAGTTTTTAACGGACACTTCCAAATTGCGTTAATGTGTTCTTCGGTCCACGAGGAATTAACCATTATAATTTCTGCGCAACTGCCAACCCAACCATAGAGCTGAAAAGATTGTTATTAATCATAGCGTTGAACGATAATTATTTGTTAACTTTACTATACTTACAAATGCAAACAATTTATAGTAAACAATTTTGGCTGCCGACAAAAATGGGTTCCTAGCTATAACTCTTCTATTATTATGAGATACGACTCTTCTATAAATGTGTCTGAGCATATCTGTTGAAATTGTGGGATAATGAGTGTATGTTGCTACTCGACACCCACCGATATATCTAAATAATGGATATGTAAAGGCATAACCCATAGTATCAATGTAAATATCTAAAATAACATTTTATAAATACATTTTAAAGATGTATGTTAAATTTAATATGTAAAATATATATAAAAATGACACGAGTTTATACCTGGCACAAGACTGTTTAAAGCTTCTATACCCAACCAAATGGATCCTAAGCTTTGACCCAAAAGTGTAAAATAAGGGTACATAGAAGCTTCCACCCATTTACGTCTATGCAGGTACACAAATTCAATTTTGTGCTGGGTTTTAAAATTAAATACTTTCTCTGTTTTGCTAAGAATCTGTTCTGGGTCGGCATCTAGATCTCCGGTATAAACTACTATGTGTACATTGGAATATCTACAAATAACCATTTGTACTCTTAAAGGTGATAATATATTCTCAATTACTGTTTATTTAAAATCTTCATACCTGGCTTGTATGGCACTAATCACAGCCCAAAGTACTCTTTCGCCACCACCACCTGAATTACAATAAGGATGAAAGATGCCTACAACTATTTCCTTTCTCGATCTTTTTGCTCGTTTTTTAGAATACAGTTTTCTCGATATTATTAATAAAATAGGCAAAACGACTAATATACATAATGCTTCAAAAATAAGTACTACTGCCAACATGTTTAAAAATGAAATTGTATGCACTCTGAAAGAGTAAATGGTTGTTAAATGTATATACATTTTCTACATTAAATTTAATAACATATACGATTTTTAATTGATAAATATAAATCTTACATGAGTGGATTAAAATTCATGTTTCTGTCCTCGGGATGATTCAAAGTTGAAAAAGCTGTCTTTCACATTCGCGTGCTCCTTTTCAAATGTATACTGTAAAATTGTTGTAATTTATAGAAAATTATATCGACGATACAAATAGCACATACTAAACGTTTATTAGGATACAAGTAGCATATAAGTCTTTAATTTATTTACATCGTTTTTGTCACTATTACATCAGCAAAGGTAACAGCTGTGAATTTTTCTGATAAATTGTGTTCATAGCTGGTCCGTTAAAATTTGGTTTATGTTTACTTGGTTTACTGGTGGGAGAGCATAGTAAAAAAGTCACCGATTACTAAGCCGCTCAGTGAGCGGCAGTGGGTTTTAGTAAAGTATTATATAGATAACTATGAACTATTTTCACTACAAACTTGGACGTTTTGCCACCGATGCGCCACTGACGCAAAACTTTGAGGGTTCTGATCCAAGCTTCCTAAAATTAGTTTGCCCTCGACCGTTAGATGGCAAATACGATTTGTTGGTCCATGAAACGGTATATACTATGTACCAGCCTACCACAGTCCACCAGTAATCAGTGATTCAGTTCAGTGTCACATACAGTCACATACTTCACATGCTCACATCACGGATACGTACAGAAATCCATTGTCTTTCTATTGCTTTCGTTGACGTACACGTATTTCGTTGCTTTTCTAGTTCAGCTATTTTTGTTCGATCGCAAAACCTTTATTAAGTTGCGTGAAATTGACCAAATAGTAAGCGTAAGATAACGTTATTGTTGTGTTCATTCGTTTGACAATACCCGGCGAAGTTCTCGAAATAAGACAAGAAGAATCTTTAACCCAAGTTTTGCTTTGAAAAATCACCTCCTTCGATCACGATCTTTGTACATGTATTTGTTGTGTGATTAATTTGGAACAAAGTGAACCTCGATACTTGTTACCGTGATCAGTGAACGCGAAAGTCCTGCGAGTAATGTATCCTCTTTCAGTGTTGCATAGTGTGCACGAAACAGTGAATAGATCGAAACATAAATTCAATTTTTCACTTTGATGTAAACATTTGGCTCGATCTGTAAAATCTACAGGTATGTATTTCCACCCTTGCGTTTTCTCTCTGTCGTAATAATTACACGCATTTTATAGTAACGAGCAATAGCTTTGATTAATAATAAAATTGTTAAACAATTCCCGAATTTTCTTTATTACTTTTACTTTTCATACAACCCAATGTAGCTTCTAAATATTTATAAAAAACAAGGTAGTTAAATATTCTTGCGTTAACAACATATATCTGTCTAATATGGATTATTCTTTAGCAGGGAAAAAATGGACACAATTAATGCAAAGAAACACGTACAAGATGGATCTCAACCAGATAAAGTGATTGCAAGTATGTCGATATCTTTCAAACAGGTTTGATTAAAATCTTATCAAAAGTCATTGTCAGGTATTCAATTTTATTATTTATTTTTCAGGACACACAGATCGAGCAGGAATAGCAAGAGTAGATGCTACATATTCAAAAAATGGGTAAGCAATTTGCATATACTATCTTTATCCACATCAAGATCTATATTTTTTTGTTTATAAATCAAACTTTTTAATTTTGTAACTGATTTTAAACAACGTCTCTAATAACAGGTTACTTATTATTATCGCCTAGTTTTTTTTTCTTTTCTTCCGTCAATTATCCGCAACGGAGGTCGAACAATTTTCCTTCGAAATCGTTGTCTTTAATTGTTGTTATTAACTTATCGACAATTTGAACGCGCTCGAATTCAGTAGAACGCAATCAGTTAGCTTGAAAGTGGAAGAACTCAACAAGCACTTTTCTATTGTTGTAAAATTTATCCGAGCGATTTAACGCGTACCGTGTATGATACTTAAAGATCTACTCGATTTAGCGAATAGTATAAAACTCGATCGAATTACAAAGGTTGATTATCCCGTCGTTGTTTTGAAAATTGTACGGTGATGTTTGAAAGGAAGACAAAGGAGAATAAAGAAACGTTATCAGCCGATCAAATTACAAGAAACACGTTAACTCGGGGCTGAATTATTTTCTAATCAAACGAAGACCGGATCGATTTTCGAAATTTGATCTTCGTCGCTTACTCTCTCGAGTCAAGGGAATCGTACAGAGAACACGCTATATTCGCGTTTACTTCCAGTGGAACCGCGTCTTTGCCGTGCCGTATTCAAGCGAAATCGTGTGTTTTAACGTGGCGTTTTTTAATTATAACTATAACTTCTCCGGTGCGTTTTTCGGTTCGCGATGCAGAAACTTTTGTCTACGTGGAAATATAAGTTACTGAGTTCTTCTCAGAATGTTTGGTAAGTTAGAAAAAGATATACGTTAAAAAAACTCGAGTAACGTAATTCGTAGATAAATAATTAATATAAAAGATTTAAGGGTGATATCATTCGATCGTTCCAGTTAGGAATTTTGAATTTAGCGTAGACGTGGATAGAGTTCCGAGCCGCATATGCTTGGAAATTGCACGGCAGAAAAATCTGGTCGCGATATAATCGGAGCGGGCCTTTCTCTCGCCTACGTGGTACTCGACCAAATCGTGCTCTCGTTCTCAGTTGTATCTCTTCCCATCGAACCGCGCATTTCCGTGTAAGCCTGAACGTGTTTGGTTCGAGAGGAAAGAAATCATCGTTGATTCGCGATTCGGAGTAGTTGTTCGCAGCGACGCCGACGATTCTCTATACGTCGCGTCGCATCGATTGCATGTGCTACAGTGACACTCGAATCGCTCTTCAGGTTCAACAGGCTGTATTTCGCGATATCGCGAAACCATTATCTTTCGTCAAAAGCGAAAAGTCGGAATTACAGAAATAAAGGATAAGAGAAGAAAATGAAATAAACGTACCGAAAGTTCCGAGGAAGGTAGATACGTTTGATATTTCGTGCAGGTACAGATTTGCACGTGACCACTGTGCTTCGTCTGAATTTTCTGTATCGAGTTCTTGGATGGAATCATCGAATCGCTACCGTTCAACGACTGTCGATCAACGTCAATAAAATTCAATTAATCTACGCAGGCCCGCTTTTAACTACGTGCCATTTAATCACGGAAAGTGTCGTAGGTAGAAAGCGTAACATGTTTGTTTCCTTTCTAAATCTTCTTTCTTTCTCGGTTACCTATACGCGAGAGCATTCGAACTAAGCATCCGCGTCGCGTATCTACCTGCATCGTCATCGAGATAACAGAAATATGCAAATAGGATTTTCTTGCTCGATATCTCGTTTGTCGGCGATTTAAAAGGAACAGTTTTGCGAAAGGTATAGGTAGATTGTTTACAAGTTGAAAAAGAGAAGCTATGGTTGGTCCTAGATACACACACAGAGAGAGAGAGAGAGAGAGAGAGAGAGAGAGAGAGAGAGAGAGAGAGAGAGAGCGATAGCGTTCGAACAGGCTTGTTTTGAAATTTTCGAGCGAGTAGTCGAGCCTGCGGAGCGTTAAGCTGGTCGAAGAAGCTGACCCGCTAGAGTGTCGTGAGCAAAAAGATGCGAGCGAGCGCAGAGAGCGTATAGTTCGATAAACGAATAGAAGAGTTATCAGTCGGTCGGTGGTGTATCAAATCGAGTAGACCAGGCAATTGCGCGTTTAGTGTTAGCCACTCTCGCACGGCCGCAGGAATAATCACTTTGCCACTCGGAGGAACCTTGACGCGAACAAGACGAAGGATTCGACGAGCCTCCAAGCTTGCGTCGTCCCGTCGCGATCCTGATGATCTCCTCGATCAACGAAACAACAATTTTTTTCTGATAAAACCTGATCCTACTTTATCACGGCAAGCTCATAGGGATCAACGGTGTTCTACGTCGCGATCAACATCGACGCATTATATAATATACACATACATCTCTCATAGAAATATTTAACCGGAGTCTTTCTCGATAATACGTGACTATCGCCTATTTTTATCGACGGGTCGTGACACTTGTCGATATCTAGGCGATCATCGAGGATTCGTAATCGTTTAACAGCCTCGACATTTTTCCATCGATGCCGTGATCGAATTTTTGGTGCAATCGTGACCGAGCCACGTCGAAAAGGTTTTTCGTTCTCAAAGGACGTTCTTTTTGTTACTCGCAATGGACGAAGATAAGCAGCCTCTAATTGGAAAATCTGACGAGACGGTGAACGTTCTCTGGTAAGCTTCGAGCATCTTTCGTATCGAATTACCGTTCATCGTACGCTATCGTAGTAATTTTATCGTCAACGATATCTTTTCAACCCCCGTTCCACGCGGAACGAGTATTTCACTCGTTGTCTATGTAATCTCGACGCTGACGGTTCAAACGATTGCGCGTCGCTTATCTCTCTCTCGGTGAGACGACGGTGATTGACGATCTCCTCTTGTACTTTGTTATCAGCATTGTTTTTTTCATAATTAGCATTCGAAGAATTTTAAACTCCGGAGAAAAACATTCGTCGTATCTAGCGTTCTTGTTTTCTCTACGAGATATATCAGCTTGTTTTCAGGTGTTTTCAGGAAAAATTGCACTGTTTTAGCATTCAGCTGGTCGAGGAACTGACGTAGGCATCTAGAAACGAACGCGCTTCCACGATTACGCTTCGGTGTTTATCGATGGTGTGGTTTTCAAGCTTAACGTTCACCGATAACGAACAACTGTTTCTCTTTCTTTACGTCAAATTATCGATAAGCGATTGGCACTCGCTCGCGATTAACATATCTGCAGCGAACGTCTCTTGCGGATAATATGTGCGGTTCTCGATTGCGAATTTAAAAGGAAAACTGGAGCGAAATGTTTTGCGATAATCGCGCGCGCGCGCAAAAAAAATAAAAAAAAATAAAAACGAATAATGTTTCGAATAACGCAATTAAGTAGAAGATGCGAATTGTTTAGGGACGACGACGATGACGACGACTACGAAGGCACGACGACGCACACGGTTCGAGTTCCTCGGTCGCAGGAAATTAAAGATTTCTCGAATGCCATCTCCGAGGTGAAAATTAATATCGAAGGAATGAGATGTCAGAGCTGCGTGAAAAACATCGAAGGAACCGTAGGCAGTCGATCAGGGGTTGTAAGCATCGAGGTAGTATTGGAGGAGAAAATTGCTTCCATCGAGTACGAAGTGAACCAAGTTACACCCAACGAATTGGTCGAAGCTATAGAGGACATGGGGTTCGTAGCTTCTTTGCACGGGGACGAGAGTAGCTGTGCCAATAATAAACAAAACAGTCCTCCGTTGGAATCCACCCTTAGCACTTGTAGTATACACGTCGATGGAATGACTTGTATGTCTTGCGTGAATACCATTACAGGTGAGAATGAATAAAATCATCGTTAAATCAATAGAATGAAAAACTAAAGTATATTCGATAAAAAAAAAAAAAAATTGCGTGTTTCAGGACTTTTATCGGAGAAGTCGGAAATAAGCGAAGCGAACGTCAGCTTAGAGGACAAGGAAGCCAAAGTTTCGTACAGCAGCAAGGATATAACGGCTGAACAAATAGCCCGGTGCATCGAAGAAATGGGTTTCGATGCATTTGTCAAGGCAGTAAATGGCAAAGTTCTCGTGACAACGACAGACTCGGCGTCGAAAAGTAACGCAACGAACGGACAAGTTCAATTGCAATTGAACGGTGTCGGCGGTGGCGGTGGCGACGATGCGAAAGCTCAGAATCAAGTAGCAAAATGTTTTCTGCATATAACGGTGAGTATATGCATAGTATCCGCGGCCGGAAGCCCCGCGTAGCGTCAACTGTGCGCGTGAAAAAATGCATAACTTTGATTTTTGAAAATGATGTCACGTAATCGATCCACGTTCTCATTTTGACTCTGTACGTTGATCGAAGGGGATGACTTGCGCTTCCTGTGTTACTGCTATAGAAAAGCACTGTAAAAAGTTGTACGGCGTGAATAGTATATTGGTAGCACTGATGGCTGCCAAAGCAGAAGTCACGTTCGATCCAGAGAAAATAAGAGCGGCTGACATTGCCTCTAGTATATCCGAATTGGGCTTCCCTACCACATTGATCGAGGAACCTGGAACCGGGGAAGGAGAGATTGAATTAAAAGTGAGTTGTCCGTCGTACTTTAGCGACGTGGTTTCTAACTATGACTGCTTAGATTACAGGTATGACGTGCGCATCTTGTGTAAATAAAATAGAATCGACCGTAAAGAAACTGCCGGGTGTCCATTTAGCTGCGGTTGCACTAGCAACTCAGCGTGGTAAATTTAAATACGACGTGGAAAAAATTGGCATCAGAGACATCGTAGAAAGTATCAACAAGCTTGGTTTTACAGCGACCTTGTTTAGTAACAGGGATAAAGAAAATCGGGATTATTTGGATCAGAGGTAAGAATAATATTTGAGACGGGATAAAATTATACCAATTACGAAATGAAACTATGCTTTGTTCTGCAGAGAAGAAATAAACAAATGGCGAGCAGCGTTTTTAGTGTCTCTAATCTTTGGCATACCGTGCATGTTAGCCATGACATACTTTATGGTTGTCATGTCCATCGGTGGAAAGTCGCACGAGGACATGTGTTGTGTGATACCTGGTCTTTCTTGGGAGAACTTAATTCTTTTTATCTTTTCCACGCCTGTACAGGTAACTGTGGATAAAATTAATACTCTCCTATGAAAGTAATTGAAAATCAATTATTAATTTGGACGATATTCACAGTTTTTTGGCGGTTGGCATTTTTACGTTCAAGCTTACAAAGCTTTAAAACACGGTACAACCAATATGGATGTTTTAATTTCTATGACCACTACGATATCTTACTTGTATTCGGTAGCCGTGCTTACAGCGGCCATGGTAATGCAAGAGCGCGTTAGTCCTCAGACATTTTTCGACACGCCTCCGATGTTGCTTGTGTTCATCAGTTTGGGGAGGTGGTTGGAGCACGTTGCAAAGGTTGGAATGTTTCGTTGAGAATCGCATTTATAACGTTCCTGGTGGTGGTGTCGCGATAACGAATGAAATAATACGGAACGATTATTGTTTTCAGGGAAAAACGTCGGAAGCGTTGTCAAAGCTGTTGTCGTTAAAGGCAACGGATGCAGTTTTAGTCACCTTAGGTCCAAACAATGAAATATTATCCGAACGTTTAATCAGTATAGACCTGGTACAACGGGGAGATGTATTGAAGGTAGTGCAAGGTACCAAGGTTCCCGTCGACGGCAGAGTTCTCTCGGGACATTCGACTTGCGATGAGAGCCTAATAACTGGAGAAAGTATGCCGGTACCAAAGAAAAAAGGATCGGTCGTGATCGGTGGTTCGATAAATCAAAATGGCCCGCTACTGATTATCGCGACGCATACGGGAGAGCACACGACATTGGCACAAATTGTTCGATTAGTAGAAGAAGCGCAAACGAATAAAGCGCCTATTCAACATTTAGCTGATAAAATAGCGGGTTACTTCATTCCCCTTGTTATAGCAGTTTCTATAGTGACTTTGTTCGTTTGGATACTAGTGGGATATTTAAATATAAATCAATTGCCGATTTCGCACAACGATCAGATTAATACAAATGGCATGAATAGGGAAGAGATCATATTCCAGTACGCTTTTCGAAGCGCTCTCTCCGTATTAGCAATAGCCTGTCCATGTGCGTTGGGATTGGCTACGCCAACCGCTGTCATGGTTGGTACCGGAGTAGGCGCACTAAACGGTATTTTGATAAAAGGTGCCGAACCTCTAGAAAATGCGCATAAAGTTAAATGCGTTGTATTCGACAAGACGGGGACGATAACCCACGGTGTGCCAGTGGTGACAAAAATAGGTCTATTCGTAGATGAAAAAGTCTGCTCGTTAGCAAAATTTTTAGTTATTGTTTGTACAGCCGAAACGAATAGCGAGCATCCAATTGCATCCGGTGAGTTTTAAAAAATGCGTGCGTTAGTCCATTAACGATGTGTTGTGCACAGTTTTTAATAATTTATCGTTTATTTTTTCGTCTTTTTTTTCAAGCAATTGTTCGCTTCGTGAAGGAAACGATCAACTCCGAAGCAACCGGGAAATGTTCTAACTTTCAGGCGGTCGCTGGTTGTGGTCTCAAGTGCAAAGTTTCGCACATCTCGACTACTTTGGCAGATGCTTCGAAATCTGAAAAAATTATCAACTATGTGAATCAGGAAAAAAAATTGCCTTCCGGAACGTATACTTTGAACAACGTGCCGATTGACGTTGTGCCGTTAGGGAGCGCCAGTCAAGAAAGGCAGAATATAAATCTAGAATTATTACTGAGTCCCGATTCTCACGGTGACCAAACTAATACCGACGATGTATACGAAATATGCATCGGTAATAGGGAATGGATGCGAAGAAACGCTGTAACCACATCGCAAGAGGTAGAGGCGAGAATGGCTAGCGAGGAAGATTTAGGTCATACCGCGGTCTTGGCAGCAATAAATAATGTGTTAGTGGCTATGATCAGTGTGGCTGATACAGTCAAGCCGGAAGCCCACCTAGCAATTTATACTTTAAAGAAGATGGGTTTAGAAGTGATTCTTTTGACAGGAGATAATAGAAAGACTGCAGCCTCTATTGCTAGACAGGTAAGCAACTGTTCTAACGTTCTTTGTTGAAAATTAACAAAATAAATACCTTAATTATTATACGAAGATGTTATCGATTTGTGAATTATTGGAATAGGTTGGTATTACCAGAGTGTTCGCGGAGGTATTACCTTCGCACAAAGTGGCCAAAATTCAACGCTTACAAGACCAGGGTTTAAGAGTTGCAATGGTAGGAGATGGTGTCAATGACAGTCCTGCTCTTGCACAGTCGGATGTTGGTATCGCGATCTCTTCTGGTACAGATGTTGCCGTGGAAGCTGCCGATGTAGTTCTCATGCGGGTAAGTTACGAAAAATACCTATGCGCTTCACTCTTTTACAGCAACAATTTGTTTTAGAACGACCTTTTGGATGTGATCGCGTGTCTGGATCTATCTAGAAAAACAGTTCGTCGAATAAGACTGAATTTTTTATTCGCCAGTGTTTATAATCTGCTGGGTATTCCTATCGCCGCTGGAATATTCAGTTCTTTTGGATTCTTTTTACAACCTTGGATGTCATCGGCAGCGATGGCTCTAAGTTCGGTGTCTGTAGTTGGAAGCTCTTTACTATTAAAATTGTAAGAATCAGTGGGAGAATGGGTGGGTCTGGTTTACCAGTTAATGCAGTTAAGAAAAAAGTTACGAGATATTCTGGCATCTTTACAGATACCGTAAACCAACAAAAGCTACTCTAGAAACTCCGGAGTATATAACAGCTATGCACGCTCATTCCACGGCAAGAATGATCGATTTAGACACGATATCCCTTCATCGTGGTCTGGACGATTCTGTAATGCCGATTATGCACAGATCTGCATCAACGTTGTCCAGGTATGCTCAAACGAGTACTATGCTTTCAAAATATGTACGGAATTGTAATAACCCCACTGCTTGATGAAGTCACAATAATATTATTCTTATGGAAAAGCGTTGTTATCTCCTTAATTGTAACATACTAATATTCAGGTGTTAGCTTTATTTGATCTTTCGCGCCTATTCTTTATCATTTATGTTACGATACTGTATAATACTAACAAGAATATTAAAAATTATTAGGTCAACTAACCGAAAATTGTGCATAATACTACTAACTCAGTTGAATAAAATAGACTGTCAATTTAAAACTGATTTTATAAAAAAATATATTTGTGCATATAAAAGTTATAAATATTTCATATCTGATTTTTGCTTCCTTGTAATATAATGTAAAAATGAACAAAAATATTTTTAATCTTAATTGTATTAAATGTAAAATGGATAATGTAATGTCAAAGAAGAAATATTGATTAATGTCAATTACCATCGTATATTTATTTAAATTATTGTACAGAGAAATTTTATAAATAAATACTTGTACTTTTTCAATAGACAAATTATCTGCTAGACATGTGACCCGATCCTGGAGATTTGTTCATCCTTTGGTTTTTGGTTTGTATATATCTTTTTGCACGCTTTTGCAACCTTTATTTTCTCTAATACACATTTATGTTGATTTGCAACTTTTCGAAGATTCGTAGTAATCCAGAAATGTTTCAAGAATCATCGCAATAGTCTTCTTCTCTACACCAGTTTGACAAAATGTCTGCTTCAATTCGCTTCCAATAAATATTATCGATGTATATAGTTGACTGTGACTAATTTGCCTATCGAATTCATGTTAAATACGATATTTAGCAATATATGATAATATCCTGTACTGCTTCTCTTATTTATCTGGTATAAAAGTGTTTGAATTGTTAGATAATGGAATGATTGCTTGTTAACAGTACAGTATGTAGATTTATTACGTTTAATGTAAGAAAACGTGATATAATTGCATAATATTATAGATTAAAAATAAATTCGCTTAACAAGGTAATATATGTATCAATCTATATAGCGATGTTTCAGTATTTCTATAAATAGTTTAACAATTTCTTCGTATTAAAAAATTTAATTACAGGATATTCAGGAGATCTAAAGACGATGTAGAGGGTCGACTTCTCGGTGACGATGTAGACGAAATTGATTTAGTAACGGATTTCTCTGGCTATCGCAAAAACGTAAAGGACCATACAAACATAACTCCTTTATGACTTGTAAGATAATCTTTATTAAAATATTTCGCTCACTTATACATATTCTCCGCCAATGGTATTTGCTGATAATAATGGTATTTCTTATTAATAGATACCTTTCACTAATTTCAAAATTACATACAAATATATTTTATTTTCATCGTATAATTTTCGTAATATTACGAGGAGATCGAAGAAATCATTACAAAAAATAGTTACGGTGCTTTTATTGAATATTCGTAATTTGTAATATTTATCTTTTACATAAATTACATTATTAAATTACTTTTGTATATTTCACCATATGTTTTATACTTATGGCATTTTAAAGTTTATAGGGACCATGTTTTGATTCAAGTACATATAAAAGACTTATTTATATCTCTACAAGATATTTTTGAAATTTACCTAAAGAAAATATATGTACTTGTGCGTGCGTGTGTAGGTATATATATATACTTTGTGCCACGTTTTTAACGTAAAAATGTATGATAATGTATAGTAAATATTTTATATAATATATATGACAACTTTATTGTAAGCAATTAGGTATTACATCCTTATGAAAACTTAAGAAGATAAATATTTGTTACAAAAGTATTAAATTTAGCATAGACTTCATTTACTGATGTTATACAGTACTTTACATATATTAATCAATAATGGTATGAGGTAATAGATATGTATTAGAGTTTAGAAAATTATCTGATATATAGCATGAGTTTGAAGCGTAAGTATTAAAATTTTGTTGAATATTAATGCTACTGTTGCCTGCACTATACATCAAATTTTCATTATCTGTCAAAGGATACACATTTTTATGAATGTGTGAATCAAAAATACTTTGGTCTTTTAAATTATTTTTTGTACCATAGTACAATGACATGTTATTTGTTCCAGAAACACAATCCAAGTGTTCATTTTCCCATGATTGAAAGTTGTTACATTTATTTATTGAGACTGTACTATTGTTATTCCATTCGTTTAAGTAACAATTATTATAAATATTCAAATTCAATAAATTTTGATCTGTCTTTTCATATTGTGCATTAAAAATCAAATCTTTGTTTAAATATTTTAAACTCTGATGTTCTTCCATGTCAGAGATTTTATTATCATTTAAATTTGATTCAGACTGAATTTTGTAATATCCATCAGTTAGTATATTTTCACTATTACATGCGTGTATATTGCAATTTGTTGACATATAATTAAGATTATTGTGCATGCTTAAATTGTTCTCTGTATATGGTGTTTTACCATAAAGATAACTGTTTGCATCAATTACATTATTTGTATTATTCAACAGACTAGTAACTGGTGGTAAATTTGTATTAGTTCTATAATGTCCATCCAATTTATATTTCATGAATAACAGTTTTAATTCTTCTTGTGTAAGCGTTGGACATGTACTAGTTTGTTTTAAAATTTGGTTCAAATGTTCAATTTGATGCTTACATGTATCTTCTTTATTTTTTAAAAGCTTGTTTGAATCAGGTAATTTTTTAGGACTTTTCTGACGTTTTGTTGTATTTTTTTGCTTTATTGTTTGTTTAAAACTTGCCTTTTTATGATGCAGTGATACATTGTATCCTTGTTTTTTTCCCATATTCTGAAAATACATGATTTACATTATAATTTGTCATTGTAATCGGTACATTTATTAATGAAATTTTATTATATGTTATTAATATATCTTACTAAGCTTCTTCTTCTCGTCGTTACATTAGCGTCTTTGTCTATGTTAAGTTGTGCTACTAACTTTGATTCTTTCTTTTTATTCATATTTATACTTAGTAGTGAAAGTATTTAGAAATAATGAATTCTTTATTTTAGACTAACTACCAAAATATCGCAATTTACGAAGAAATTTTACATCGAACAATAAACGAATAAAATACGGAACGTAATACTATGCTTGTGTTAAACAAAAACCTTCGTCTCGAGAAACAACTTATTTTCTGTCATTTCGAATTTTAAGACCACACGAGGTGCACGACTATTCAATAGATAACCATCAGGCTAATATATGTAGGTATCTATGGTTTAAAGAGACCGCTGCGATCCCTTTATTCATTTATAGTGATAAATTATTTGATAAAAATAATTTCTCATGATGTATCGAAAATTATTATTGTTTTTTTTAGATTATTATAAATTCATTGAAATTATGATGTTTTATGCCACGCAGTTAGCTGAATTATACGTTTTCCGTGGAATTAGATCGGCGGATATAAGATCGGCCATCTATTAGTTTTTACTTTTTGATCTATATAGACGTTCGAGAACGAAAAAAAATATGTTCTAGGATTAAACAATTACGCTTTAAATATCGTGTGACGTCTGTAATGTGATCGAAGCTAAACCTTCTATTTATCCGAGATGTTGTGAAGTTTTGAGCAAATTCGGTTATTCGTAAACATTTAAAAAAATGTTTTAACTAAATTTTTAAAAAAGAATCCAGTTTTTTACAGAAGCGTGAAATAAACAAGTAAAAATACATAAACTTGAAAAAAATTCCTCTATTTTGTATAAAGGGTATGATGTGTATCTGCCAATTAGTATAAAACTTGCAATTTCAGTTTCTTTATTTAAAGTAGCAAAATCATTTATATAATACAAAAACTTAATATAAATACAGGATACAAGGAGATTTTATAAAATATTTTAGCTTTATTTGTAACAATTAAGGCACTTCTTTTGCTCTTCGTAATCATACCTGTAATTAAAGAAAAAGAATGAAATCTTGATACTTTCAGATGTAATAAATAATAAATATATATAGTAACTTACACAGGCAAGGAACAGTTTTGACAAAATAACTGCAAACAACTGACACATTCGAACAGACAAGAATTACATAATACTTGATCACAATAAGAACATTTGCAAAATGTGTTTTGATCTATCACCCGGTTGCATTCGCAAAGATCATACTTTGGATGAACATCCTTAAAAAAATATATAAACTAAAACTTCTTATTTTTATAGCATTATGAAGTTTTGATATGAAAAGCAACAAAATAAGCAAATACTTGGAATGGTGCATTTTTATGCATGGTGTTTCAAACAAAGTACATGCTATTATCAAAAAAGTAGACGACTTACTTTTATAACTTTATCCGTTTTCAATAATTCTAAATTACTATTCAGTACCATTTGTTTCGAATTACGTTCCTGTTTGATTCTGCAAGAGGACGATGCCTTTGACGAAAGTATATCGTCAAGATTCATATCCATCGATTCGTTTAACTTACGCGACAGCGATTTGACACCCTCTTTTAATAAATCCATTGTTCTGCCTGTACGAAAAACCAAGTTGCAATACAAAACGTTCGTATCGTTTATTATCATAACCTCTGTACCGTAAACAGTTTTCATTCGTTCTTCTCGGCAAACACCGTTGTCGACTTGTTTTTGACCTACGTGTACCTTTAGTTGAGGGGGTAAATCGTCTTCGAACATGCACGGACGTTTCGGCATTCTTTACAAGTACACTATTTACAAAGCTAACAGCTCGATTTTAAACAAACCTCCAACTTTTCGCGGAATTATCATTCGACGAGTTCAATACGATAACGTACGGTATTCATACGAATACATCAACATGATATATCAACATGGATATACATCATTCGTTGGAAAAAAAAACATCAAAGAAAAATTCATAAAAATGCTACGACATAAAGCCATATACATTGTTTATTTTGAGCTACGCGTTCGTTTACCTAGTAAATAGATTATCAATCCAAAGAATGGTATTTATAGTATTACGTTCAATATATGAATTATATGGGAAAGGTGTTTACATTCCAACCGGATTATTAAGTTTACAAGGAAATTAGTAATATTTGTTTATTATTAATGTTGCATTATTATTACTTTTATACATATTTGATATTGGCCATCAACAAATATGTTACAATTTTTATCTCCCCACTGCCCTCATCTTTATTCGTTTGCTTGAAAACTAACGATATATTTTATAATAATACAGAATAATTCATAGCCATTGCGTGACAGATTTCAATAGTAATCGTTAGTTCGATAACTGTACACTGTATTTGTAGCTTGCTTCACAAGTAAACTATACAAATGGCAATCGAATCATCGAAATAATTTGATAAAGTATAATTAAACGAAATGATCATGACTAGCAGCAATTAGTTGTCAAATATAATATTTATTCGAAGTTATTCGAAAAAAGATTTTTTCTTCAGTTATAGAATGATGCGTTTGAACAAAGATGCTAACATTTATGCTACGCGGATTAGGGTTTACAGGTCCGATTATGCTTTGTTTTTTTTTTCCTCGTAAAAAAATAGATCGATGCAAGTGCATTGAATTCTGCGCGAATCACCACACCCGCCAAAATAATCATCAAACTTTCACGAACGATTTACCGGGAATGCCATAATTAAGATTAGCAGACTTGGGTACTTTCGAAGTTAATCGTTATACCGTTTATTCGAAACATTTTTGTATGCGATTCAAGTGACAAAGAAACGAAATGGAATTTCAAATGGCATTATTACAAACAAACGACAAAAAATGTCATTTGAAATCATTTTTTCAAATTTTAATTTCAATTCGTCCAGATCTGCTTGTCAGTCGATTTCACGATCGAGCTTTGTTTAATTAACTTTTAAAGCTGCTCGGTGGGATTCGCTTGTCTTATGGTTACGTCGTTCGAGTGATATGTGATTTAAGAAAAGAAAAAAAAAAACAAAAAGTAACATTTAATTCATAAATTTATAGAGGAAAGTGCGTACAGGTCCGAAAAGTCCATGACGCTTATTCTTAGTGGAGTGGTGGGGATAGCGGACACACTTGGCAGCCATTTTGAACGCGCATGCGCGAGAGTACCCCACCGCAGCTCCGTGAAGTCGGCCGTAATGCCCATCGCCCACATTGCCCAAGTGACTCGCGTAGTGTTCGTTCGAATTCTTCTTCCGCTCGTCTACCTTTTCTAACATTCCGCGCGTTGTGAAATTTCTTCGTTTTAGTGATTTAAAATTAGTAACACCCGAATTGACGCAACCATTTTCTTATCGGAAGTGTTCTTTATTCACAAAATAAGCGACACGTGTTTGGTAACATTATCGTATTCGGCTGCACAGGGTAAGTGCCTAAATGAATGTTATAACAGTATAGACGCATGCACCGGTAACATCAATCGAGCAGAGCGTCGTTTCCTTTGCTCTCGAAATTTCACGTGGAAATCGATTAAACGAAAATTATAGAACAAATTTGTCGATCAATGCGAAAAACGCGAAAAGAAATTCCAACAACGTAGATTTGATTGCCTTTGCTTTTGCGTTACCAATATTTCTATCGAATGATATTGGAAGATGTGGCAAGGTATTTTGCAGTTTTCGTTGTGTGTAAACATTCGTACAATCGGTTTCCACTAGAAATTTGAGGCAAATCGAATTTGGCTCGGGCAAGTCGAGCGAAATGGTTTCGATAATTTTAATCAAAGCTTTGTGTATGTAACGTTATCATAGTACATATATACATACATATATGAGCACTATACATCTGGTGTTGCGTTATACACACTGATTCATTAAAAGCTGTCTAATAAAAATGTTTCTGTGTTATTCGTTGAATTTTAAAAACAAATGTTTGTATCGTTCGTATACCACAAAGTTATTGGAGCAAAATAAATGTCTTGTAATATATTTTTCTCGTAAAACGTTCAGATCTACGAGTTATATTTCAAATGACAGTTTCTTAATGAATCACGCTGTATACATATGGGCTCGATGCAAACTCGGTACAGCACATAGAGGGAGACAAACTCGTATAGGAGGCTCCACCCGTGTACAGGACTGGTATAATGAGAAATATTCTTTGGAGAAAAGAACATCTTCGGGCTCACAGCCGTTATTGTCAGTTGTCATGGACGTTACTAAATATTCGGTACATACAACGCGCAACTGGTAAATCGAATCGCTGTACGCCTGGGATCCTTTAATCAGAATATTGATTATGTATCTTTGATATGAACTGTTTCACTCGAGTGGACCGGGATCGTTATGATCGACCGAGCGTTCGGCCGGTAATGGTTTACATTATCATGCGCGCATTACCATTGGCGACGAGCATTCAATTTTCTTTCTTACAAGTTTCTAAACAATTTAGTCACGATAACGACTCGAAATATATTACGACTATTAGGCGGATACAAAAATGTTTGAAAATCTTGGAAGATATCATCGATAACGTCAACGAAGTCAAAACACTCGAAGGTTTTGAACGCGTCGAAACATTGAAATTTATCAAGAGTTTCGCGTATAATTCTCATACGCAGCGGTATCGAATTTCGAAATACCGTAAAGTGGTAAAACAATCGCGTTACTTGTTAACTCGTTCAAACGCTGTTGAAATGATTTATCGTCGAGCGATAAATGGGCAACTTTGAAGACGAATCGCGACGTTTACCGCCGTCTCTCGTGCACACAGATTATCGTTGAAGCTTATAGTGAAAGATTTCACACGAAACACATATAATCGATACTCGGAATCGCTCGCTCGTACGAGAAACGACTCGTGAGTCGTGGATCCCTCCCGTACATATCGATTTGGAAATCTTTGATCAAGGTACGAAGAAAAAGAAAAGAAAACCGCGATCGTAGGGTTTCCGTTGGTGGATCTACAAGTATCGATAATTCGGCGTTAAGAGGTCTTGTTAGATAAAAGTGTCTTCCCTTTTTCGAACAGCAATTGAACGCAATGACATATCGAGTAACGGTTGCGTGTCCAAGTTTCTTGATTATCAAGCTGAATTCGTCTACCAACTTTATCTGGTCGTTTACGAATACTTGTGCACCTTGTTTTCTGTTCGCACTATTCCTTATTGCTTTATTGCTTTGCGTTGGAAAACTTTGAAGTAATCTTAGAGATTATAATGTTTTGCCGGGTAATAAACTAAGAAACGCTAAGTAGTTCGCGTTTGCATCGGAATCCATTTAGATCGGCTAGGCAGTTCAACCCATTACCACCGGGTAACGAATGAAACAGTCAAACTAGAAGATCGGACGATCGAATCGTGACTTTACGGTGGTGAGTGCGGATGGTGGCGGTGATTCGAACGAAAGCGATAAATCTGTCGTTTGAAATAACGTAACGAAACGTAAACTAGAAGGGTGAAGCGTACAGTGTAACCTGTATACTTGGAAAAGGCATCTCGTATAGTTTTTTAATGTTCTGTTTTCGTGCTGTTCTATAAAAAAATAACAATTTGGTAAACATTCTAGTGTCGTACCCCGCGGCCAACGCGAATCACCGTTTCGATCACAGTGTCGCCTACTCGATACGGATTTTGCGTTGCTAAAGATAAGATTTTGAAGACGAAGCGGGTGATGTCGTTACGGAACGCGAGGTGTTTGCGGCTAATTGGAGCAGTTGGCGAGCTCGAGTAGTTGGCAGAGATTTTGTTGATTCGTGCACAGAATGCAGAAACAACGTTACCCAGGTGTAATTAGCCTCGTTTCGGGGAGAGAGACGCATCGGTGTTGCGCATCCGAGCGAGCATTGTTCTCGCGAACGGAATGGTTGATGGTCAACCGAAACGATATACGTGTATGTATGGACGCATTTGGGCAGCTTTCGAGCATCGAGTATCGCGTTCTCTTTGTCGTATCGATTACTTTGGATTTCGAGCGACAAGAGAGATCATCTTAGGATACCTGTCGGCGACTCGCTCAAAAGATCCAGCGGGAAAGCTTTCGCGATCTGTGTAGGTGTTCCTCTTATTATTACGGTCTAGGCTTTTCGGTACGATTTACTTTTGGTTATTTGGTGTTTGGTTATTGTGAGTCGCAACGGGAAAAATCGATTGAATCGATCGATGTTCGACGTAATAACGGTATTAAAATTGCACAACGTTTTAATTCCGCTAATCGGATTTCTTGAGCAAGGCTGCCGCGATGTACGCTCGAAAGCACAATTCGCCCGTGCGCGTGTCAGTGTACATAACAGAACGCCAACAAGTAAACGTGCGATAAATCAATCGATTGCAAATCGCCTTATAAATCGTATAAAAATGTCCTCTATCTGCCTAGCTTAATGCCTTACGGGTACGATGTGTCGGGGATCTGTATAATTTCTACGGTTCTACGCCTAGTCAAAGGGATATTCTCCAACTTTCTGCTCGCAGACTTGTTTTTGTTCGTCAGGTGAAGCACACACGTGCTCTCTGCACACGGAATCTTCCACAAACATTTTTCTCCCCTTCAACCGAATCGAGTTGAGAAAGTTTTCGGGAGATTGGCGAAAATATCGCGCAGATTTGACCGTTTGATATGCGACGTAACCTACACCTAAAGTAACGCTACGTCCACGGGGTAGAACGGAACGTGTATCGGAAAAGCGAACAAGCTTGTAATTCATCGTGTCTTAACGACGCGGGTTAGTACCCTGGTGCTGTTTATTATAGCTTTATCGGTGTAAAAAAGAAAAGAAGAAAGACCGAGTTTTGTAATAAACAAGAACGAGGCCGTGTTACTTGGGAACGACGAAAGAATGTTCGAATTGGTTGGTCAAGGAAGGTTCGGCTCTCCTCGATAGCTGATAGGTGGGGTGGTTTTGCGTCGGCACAGAGTCACCTGTCGCGTAAAAGCGAGTCGAAAAATAAATCGTTGACGCGCGAGGGGTAACAAGAATCGTCAATTGTCCGCAGAGCTGTACACGTGTGACATATGCGCGCGAGTCGAATCGTGCGCATAAATTATAATGGAAAAAAACGAGAGAAAGAAGATGATCCCGAGGTGTTTGACGCTCGAGGATCGTGATCCATTAACTCGAGTATTCATCGAAGTACTTAAAATTTATTTCTCCCCACCCTTAAATTCGCACGATATAAAATCCTAGCTTAGTATGGCCGGTAATTTTTCACTTTCGCACAGCAAACATGCGCACACACACACACACACACACACACACACACACACACACGCACACGCACACTCGCTTTCGTCCTCTTCGTCCTCTCGACTCTTTCCCCACTTCCATAATTATGTCGCATTTACTTACGTCGTACGAGTAGCTTTATGTTTATCCGCAATCGGTAAATAGATAACCGCAAGCTTACGCCTATTCTCAATTTATAAATTAGAGTTTTTGTGTAACGTATGTGTGTCGCATACAGCACTAAAGATTCGTTTCGATCGTTTAACGTTAAACTCGTTTCTTTTGTTACGTTCGTCATTTTCACGCCGACTTTTATCCGTTTCTCGCGCAACCAAGCAATAGCTTCCGGTCTCGCGATTCTCGCGTATCCCAAAGCCGTATGCGAAACGCAACGAACGATCTCTTTCTCTTCCTTTTTATTTCGCATGGAAAAAACGCCGTCCGTTCACCGATTACGACGCCTTGATATTTTCTACTTGCAAGCTTCTTAATGGAATGCTGTAGTACAAATACGAGATATCGTGTCCGTAAAAACGAGTAACTCTAATCGCTCATCGAGCCAGGCTTAACCATTTTCTTCTATCTAATTCGTTCGTATATACGTCGATCTCATTTCGTCGAGATGAGAAAACTCGACTCCACGCACGGGAACCGCGAACCACCGGATCCTCTTTGCCGTTTTCGATTCTCTCGGATAAGAAAAACGCAACGTAACCGATCGAAAAGAAGCAAACGTCGTTGCAACAATTCACGATAACATCCTCGAAAAATACTCAACTAAGAATACGTCTCCTCGACGAAACCAACAACTATCTCGACTAGAAAGCACAACCTCGTACGAACAAATCTTACCCTACAATTTTGATTCGTTCGTCCATAAAAAAAGTCTCGTTACTTGTCCTCGTAACCATCGTTTCCTTTTTTCTATACCCTGTGCTATACAACGAAATTACACGAGCAACGGAATCCTTGTCCATGAAGCTTTTACGACGAAAAGAATGATCCGAGTTCGTTTGTCGAGAACACCGTATTCGTCTCCCTCTCTTCCTGCTGTGTTGTTATTTGTTACGCGTTACGTGCATATTTAGGAACGTGTCCGATACGACGCACAGATATACCTAAAGCGAGAGCTACCCGGGTACCACCGGGACTTTGACATTATAATTTTTGATTCGAAGGAATATTTCGAGATCGAATTCTCTCGCCTACGTCTATCTAGCCGCAACAACATTAACCACTAACGCGTCGCGTCGCCTTGACTGCCGGTAAGATTCTTCGGATCGAAGTTGCTACAACGATAAACTTTCACAGATATTTGCGCGAAACGCGTTACACCGAATTACATCAACTTAAAAGGATGTTTTTCACTTGCGTCGAAACGATTCGCTCCTCGTCGAATGGTACTTTCGATGATTCTACTTTGGCGATTTTGTTTCGCGCGAGACGCTCGTCCCGATGAACGTTAGAAACGGTTAAAAAAAAAAAAAAAAAAATAGAAACGCTAGATGCTAGACAATTCCTACGAATACAACGGTTTTAACATTCCAGAGCTTAACTCGTTCGTTGTATGTACGCTGGATTCTGTCGACTCGTCGAGAGCGAACAGACTCGCGAAGATTCTTACGATCGGCAGGATTCGACTTTGTTTACATCTATAACGAGCCTTCGGTTAAAAATCGATGCTAATTCGCGTTTACAATGCGTTCGCCGTTCCACTAAGAAGCCGGGACAATTCTCGAGATATGTCTCTCTGTGTGTTTGTTTTCTGTGCGCTAGCATGCGCGGGTGTGTATGCGTGTGTGTGTGTGTGTCTTTTGTGTTTGTTATGCGTGTGTCGAGAATAACGTGTACGATAAGTATACTCTTTTATCGCTTATCTTGATATTCTACGCTTCGAAGTGCTAGATCCTATCCTTTCTCGCCAATTACACACTTTTCACCCTTTTTCTTCTACCTTTGTTCCTCTTTCAAGCAGACAAGAAGCCGTACGCGACGTTTGTAACTGAAACCTACTATTTATATGTGTACGGATGAGTGTATATATATATTTATTCATTTATTTACTTATTTATTTATTTATTTATTTATATATTAGTCTTTTGAAATGTTTTCCTCGTGCGTGCAAAAAATAAATCTCTCGACGCGATCGCTGCGTCGGGAGTGAATTTCTTTTATTTTCAACCCGTTTGTTCTCGTTAGTAGTGTCTTTTTTGTTCTTTCTCACCGTTACGCGTTTTACGAAAGTTACGATAACGTTATCTCATTTACGGATGTAGTAGCTGTAAACAAGAACTGGCTACGGCTTCGTCGTAACGCGTTTCGGTACGAGAGTCACCGAGAACAAGGTGGTAAATTTGATGATTCGCGACTCGAAAATTCGTTCGTTCCCCGAAGGTTCGACGTTTCGATTTCAACGAGGACCGCTTCGAAATAAAATTGAAATTCTCTGTCACGTAAACCTAATCACGCAGGATGAGAATGGAAAATATTGGTGGCCGAGTATCGAGAACTGCGCGCATTCTTTTAGCACTAAATACGCTAGAAAGTTCTATTTTTATTGCAAGGAGGGTGTAAAAATAGCGTCGCTGTAAACGTTAATCGCAGACGATACTTTGCTCGAGTTTCCATTCTCACTCCACGGTCGGGAAGCTGCGTTTATCAAAAATTCATGTTTCGTACGATTTAGTGGAACGTTGCTCGCGTTACTTGGCGGCCAACTGCTCGATTAAGGCGGATCGGAATCGAGTATGGCGTGTTCTCGCGTATATAAGGCATATCCGGCTCTTCGCTGTACGTAATAAAACATCGATTTTCCGACGTAAACGGAGAAAGGATTTTGTTTTTGCGTAATATAGGAGAACGTGCGTCGGAAACGTATGAGGGGAGAATAGGAGAGATCGTATACTGTATTATACATATATGTACGTTTATTATGCAACGTAACAGAAACTTTTTGCGATAAGCGTTTCTCGGGAATACTTTCGAAAGAGGTACACGGGTGAAATTTCTCTAATTCGGCGTATTCGATTCGTCCCATTTATTATTTATTTTCATTTTCTTTCGGTAATCGAGTTTTCCATCGATCGACGTTCGGATAATCGACGTTTTACGACGCATTTTCGATTTCTGAAGCGACGAGAAAATCGAGAAGACAGTTCGAGCCAATGAAACAGAATCGTTCGCGATGGAATCGATAGTTTTGAAACTTAACGCATATGCAACAAAGTCGTCTAAAGAATCGCGTAACGATGCAATTAATCCATACCTATAACAAACAGAACCCCCCTCGACGAAAAGCGGGAACAATTCTAAAGCTTTAATTTCCGGAGAGGTTAATTGATTAGAAAACTGGCGTCGGCGAGTTTCAACGTAAAATTTCGCGCGCTCATTCAACGAAAACCGAGAGAATTTCGTGAAAATCGTCGCGTTTGGTCGATAAGAACAATTACACTCGGTTTCAAAATTTTCAACGCCTGGTATAATCGATCTTATCCACCAACGAACGTTCATTACCTGTTCGTGGGATGTGTTTAAGACGCGAATAGAAAAATACGCAAACGTTGATCTCCATTTAACTTCTCCGGCCTCAACTGTCCTTTCGTCGTTTACATACTACGAGAACGAAATCGTTAATTGGTGGTACACAACAGGATAATACGTACCAAGTAAAACACTCTTACAACGACACGATCCGGTGTACACTGATATCAACGTCACTATTGCACTTCACATTCGCGTCAAGTTCGATTTCGCGAATCGAACGCGATTATCACTGGAAAACGAGACGCGAAAGGCGAACGATCCACGTTCCGGCACACGTTTATCTTGGTCGTCGTCGGTTTCTAGTCGAATATTTTGTGCACACGAGATGCGGCCGGAAATCGGAACCGAGATCTCTCCACGGTTCCCGAAAGCTATCTTCGCGAACGTTTCCCGCCGATTTTCTCACTCTTGCATCGCTAGAGACGAACCTCGACCCAAGCTCGTTCCACCTCGTCGTTCGTCTTCTCCGTTTCAAACTTAACCTTTCACTCCGCCGATCGTACAACTTGCTTCGCGTTCGGTTTCGGTTTCGACGGCGAAACGACTATGTCGATCGATCGATTCGCCGCGAAAGTTTGCTCGCTCTCGGCCGAAGCATCGTTTCAGGATTCTCCACGTTTCTTCGGCGTCGATCGTCACTGGATCGCGTTCGCCGCGTCAAATTCTAGATTCACCAGAATCTCTGGGCGCTGTCCCACAGGTTCTTCAGGCTGGATCGAAACTCGAAACGAAAGTTCTGGTAGTATCACGCTATGTTGTTGCCGCTCATCGTGGTCACGCATTTCTTCTCCGGAGTGTTTTGGCTCTCCGAGTTGCTGCGCACCGCCTTCGTCGGGCTTCCCGGTGTTGGCGTCACGTCACCTGGTAACGGGTTATTATTGTTCGTCGACGTGGAACTTCGACGGCCGTTCTCGCGTGTCGGCGACTTCACGTCGAATACGGACGTGTCGGACTCCATGTCGGAGTCGATCTGGAAACAGTACAAACAAACGTGAAACGTCGCGTAATTACCGAGACACAGGTATTGTAAGGTAACAGGAGAGTTTTCTAACTGTGTCGGTGATGGTTGCGGTGGCGGTGTTGCTCGAAAAAGCTGACTAAAGCTTTCTGTTTCTGGCAAGCCGCGACGAGGCGGATATCGTCAAAGTAAATTATATATAAATATCGAGAAATAATATAATCGGAATGATATGACCACGTGGTTGGTTATTAGGACGGTCATAAGGGGTGGTCGAACGTTGCGTAACTTCTTTCACCCTTTCGCGTAGGTACTTGGTTTCGAAAGAGATGGACGTTTCGAATAGAATAAAACAAGTATCGCAACGATACGATAACTAGGAGGAGGAAGATGATGCGCTACCTTGTTGAAACAGACTACCTGTCTGGTAGCTGGATGCGGGCTGACGAACAGTCGTTCGCTGGTGTCGCTGCCGCAACTGGAACTTTCGCTCATTTCCGTAGCAAACTTTCTCGAGGCTCGTGGACTCGGCGGTGCCGGTCTGCTCTGTCCTCCTAAGCTCAATCCTACGTTTCGCGAGCAGACCTGCGACTGAATGTGCTCGCAAACCCTCCTAAATCTTCGAATATTACCTGTGAAAAGTAAAACCAAGGTCAAGTATTCGACGAGGTTAATCAAAGGTTGTTCGGACGCACGACAGTGCGCGAAAGGAAAGCACGATAATTCTTCGAGTTGAAATTATACGCGCGCACACAAGTAGGAAAGACGTAAGGTTCCACTTGCCAAGGTAGCATCGATCTAGTTGCGCTTGGACGACTGCCAAATGCTAAACGCCACCACCTTGCGATCTACCGTTCTCCGTGGCTTGGTTTCGTGGGGGCTTTGTACCCTCTGCTCTTTATCTCTCGTTGTTTCGTCGAGCGAAAGCTCGACGATGCGCTGCGCGACGCTCGCGATTACGTTTCCGTCGACTCGCGAGGCACGATCGAAGTTTGAAAAACGTCGAGATCGAGTACGTTTCCTTCAGCAGACGGAATCGTTACGGTAGAATCGGGAACTTTTACTTACCGCTTAGCAGGGTAAAGGTAATGGCGAATAACGGTTCGCTCGGTTGTTTCGAAATGGCGCTGATTTCCACTTGAAAACGCACTTGTCTTTGGAACATCGCGGGTCCCGTGCTTCCTCGTTTGTATTCCACTTTGAAGGACATCGGCGAGATGACGCTGTGAGACAACTCCGCTATCTGTCGAGTGAAACTTGCTTTATTCGCGGAAAGTCGCGCGAAACGCCGCGATCGTTCGACACTCACCGATAAGAAAGCGTGAATCAAGTCGGCTTTGACGCTGGCCAATACCTTCCCCTTAACGAGAACGGTGAACGTTTCGTCTTTCTCCGTAGTCATCAGGCTGCCGAACCACGATTTCTTCGTAAGTTCCGGAGATGAATCCGGCGTGAGGTGTACCTGTGAACCGGAAACGGTGTTTCTAACGTTAGTTCGAAATGTATAGCGCGGAAAGGTTTCCACGTGGCTACTCGTTGCAGCGTTCCAACAGATTTAAACGTTAGCAGCGGTAGCGTTCGTATTCTCATTTTTTACGCTATTCTCTCTTTCCTGGGCTAATGCGAAATTCGCGCGTTTAACGGATACGTTCTGATCTTGCTTGCGAACACGTACCTCCTCGGTACTTGTGAGCAGTTTGCGGCGATGAAATCGAGGGCTACCCAGGAACGAATTCTTGATGGTGGTTAGCCTCGATCTCCAGTGATGGGCGCCGGAACCAGCTCCCGTGTGCGGTGATCCTGGCGGTGTAACACCGACCGCGACTACTGCGAAATTAATTGTCTCTGAATCGAGCCACGACCAGAATTCCGTTCCGTTCCGTATAGTTGCTATTGCGCGTACGTCTCTCGTAAACCGACGAAAATTTCTTACGTCGCCGATATCGTTAACGAATTTATCGTCGCTGTATCACGAATCGGTTGTTGTTTTTAACCGCCCTGTCTTTTGCGCCTAGCGAGACGAGAGTCGAGAAGTGTTTGAACGCGTCGCACTGTCCCGAACAAAGAGACATTTTTCCCCGTGTTTTTCAACGCTGTGTTCGTTTTTGAAATTCCTCGACTGAAAGATGAGAAAGAAAGCACAAAAAAAAAGTGGTAAAAAGAAAGAAGCGAGCGTTGCACGCAAAGACCTCCGAGGGCGGATGCACGCGCATTCAGCCGTATTAGTCTCGTCTCTTTAACAATGATTCGTGCGCGGGGATGTGCTCGTTACGCGGCGTTCCGCTCCGAGCACGGAGGTCAGTTGCATTTTTTAAAACCGTCCCAGCTGCCGGTAAGCCCTCGCAGCTAAGACAAAATGCCTACTCAGACATCGACGAGGGTCCCGATGACCGAAGCCTTTGTCTCGTCTCTACAAACGTTTTCAACGTTCGCAACGTTGCTCGAGAAATTGTCTCCGGAAAGTCGTAACGCGACTCGTTCGCGACGTTTAACCCCGTTTCGGAATTATGCTAGTCGACGTAAACTTTTGCGTCGTTGCGGGGCGAATCGAAGATACCGTCGCGGAATGTTGCTCGGAATGTTGCCGTTACGTAATCGTATCATCGGTCCGCAGGAATTTCAATATCGCGTTCGTATTTCCGTTATCGAGGTTATCGTATTCTCCCACGGGCGCACTTTGTACCCGATTTAACTCACCCTGTTGGACATCGTTTATTTCTATTCCCACGTTGGGCAATGTCGGAACCGGAGCTGCAACAGCCGGACTGGTCGTGTTTCCGTTGCCCGCAGTGGTCGTGATAGCCGACAGTCTGTGAGGGCTTCCCGTCTGACTTACGATCAGATGCGAGCTCGGAGGAGTCCTGTGAGGACTCAGGAGTCCTGCCACGGCGTTCGAGCCGTGCAACGGCGAACTGCCCGGCGTTGACGCGTGCGAATGGGACGCGTGCGTGTGGCATCCTGTGCTCGGCGATCGACGAGCGTGGTGTCTCGCGCTACGACCCAACATTTTCACCATTTTCACCATTTTAATAAATAGGATCGATGACACAGAGTCGAGCTCGATCGATCGGTTCGTCGGATCAGGAAAGAGAGGTTCGTCGCGGTTCGACGTAAGACAATTTTAATCGAGCGTATCATCGTCCGCGTACAACTCGCACGTGCCAAAGATTAGGGACGACCGAGAAAAAGAGTAGGAGAAGCACGTGCGATATCGTGCACGCGACACGGTCACGCGATTCGAAGCTTCGACGAAGAGCTTACCGTTAAATTGCGAGACGATTCCGATTCAGCGGGTCGCTTAAGAGAGCAGCGGTTGTCTTTAACGATAGGAACGAGATATCGAATCGATGGCATCGATGTCAACTCGTCGTTTGAAAAAAAATTGTTGGTTTCGTACTCACCTCGACTGTCTTCTAGGAGTCAAAGGTGAGCCGTGGCTAATTTCGCCGAGATTGAGGGCCGTGCTGCCGTTGACTCGGCACGTGTCGACTCGTTTCCTAGGAGGATCCGCTTCCAATTGTCCCGTAGATCCCCTGACGCCTCCTCTCATTACCTCCAGCTCGTCCTCGCACGCCGGTCTTCTTCGTTTCCTCTCGAGCAACAGAAAGTAAATCACCTTCTCCGTGTTGTGGCTGCATCGGGAAAACCAAGGTGTACGTAAAGGAAAAGTACATCGACGAGAAACGAATACTTTTGGATACTTTGTTAATCCTCGGAATCCTTTGTTGATCTTACTTTGGGCTGAGCAGTTCTTGGATAAGTTTGTCCCGCTCTTTGAAGCAGCCTAGGCTAGCGATCGCCTGCAACACGTCCGGATCGATTGCGTCCACGGACGGAATAACGTGGGTCTGCACAACGTCCATCATCGACAGTTCTAACTCTAACTCGCCCTTGCCCGCCGCTGTCACCCACACGTGCCTGTTTATCTCCGCCAGCTGGGGGAAATCGGTAATCGAGATTTATCGGCAGCCGGTCTCGGTGCGCGCAACGCGACCGCGCCGTTTCTCGCCTTACCGTTAATCTCTTATCCGGATCGACCTCGATCATTCCCTTGAGCAGATTCTGACACTCGGGCGGCACAAAGTGCGGAATGTAGAACACACCGCGCTTCACTTTCTCCAGCAGCTTTCTCAAATTGTCGTCGTCGAAGGGCAACGCGCCTACCAGAAGCGCGTAAAGTATCACCCCGCACGACCATACGTCCGCCTTCCTGCCGTCGTATTTCTCACCCTGCGAACGCGCAATCGTTCCGTATTTTTCTCCCCTTCACCCCTTTAATTAAATTCTCGAACGAGGGTTTGGCTAACGGCGAAGCACGAATATCGGTTTCGCTCGTTTCCTTTGCGACGCGCGCGCGAAAGAAAGCGCGAATTTGAAAACGCTACGATTACTTTCGCTCGTCGAGATTGCCAAAGGTGAAAAATTAAACATCGTTTCTTACTCGAATAACTTCGGGGCAGGCGTAATGAGGAGATCCGCAGCTGGTCTCCAACATGGAACCCGCGGGTTGCAACGACGCCATTCCGAAATCCGCGATCTTAATGTTGTTCTTCTCGTCTAGCAGCAAGTTTTCAGGCTTCAAATCTCTATGACTGGAATGCAGAAAACGCAATACGATTATGCACCGCGAGGACCGTTTCGGCCGCGACGAACGACTAGCCTAGTCGCGGAACGAAGGGTGAACTAATTTCGATGTCTGATCGATCGAAGCCGATGTTTCGCGGTGTCCCTCCCGTGAAATTAGCTCCGTATATCTGTATTTATTCGATTGGGGTAGGTTTTCCCTGATGGCCAACTAAGCGCCCGACAACAACCCCTCGTTTACATGCATCTCTCTCTCTCTCTCTCTCTCTCTCTCTCTCTCTCTCTCTCTCTATCTCTAATTTACAACAGGCTACTCACCATATACTATGACTATGGCAAAAATCTAACGCGGAAATTATTTGTCGAAAAAATCTTCTCGCTTCCTTTGGCGTTAGTCTACTCTTTTTCACTAAATAGTCGAACAGTTCCCCGCCCGATACGTGTTCCAGAACAAGATATCTGAAAGAAAAAAGTACAATTTCAGTGGTCGTAAACATCCGTGTTCTTCCAACCGTGAATAGGGCCCGCGAGTAAAACGCTTTTGTCTAGCGCGTGGTTTTCGCTGCTCTTTTTCCTTTTATATTTTTAACGGCTCGACAAACGCCACTCTTCGAACCGACGAATTAAACGTTCAGCGACTCGTCAGAGCCGCGAAAAATTTCCGTGTTGCTTTCTTTCTCGGGTACTCACAAATATTTCTTGTTCTCGTATACGTCCGAAAGGCCAAGCACGTGAGGATGATCGATTAATTTCATAATCGCGATCTCTCTCTCTACCTTCATCAGCACGGATTCCGACAGCTTTTCCCTGTTGATGATTTTTATCGCCACCTTCTTGCCCAACACGCAGTGGACCCCAAGTTTCACTAATCCTGAAGCAAACAATCAAACATTTTGTACATTTTTTTTATCTCGTCTTTTCGACTTTCACCGTTCCATCGACGCCACGGAGAAAGTTTCGCTAGCCGACTCGAACTAAAGACGATAGAGGAAATGGACGCGTTACGCGGGATGGGACATACATATTTGACCTATCGAAGATCCTTTTCGAGGTCTGAGTCACTCCTCGGGGACATCGGGATGTGTGTACATATGCAGCTACTTCGACGAGCAAACACACTGGTTTTATCCGAGTGGTATCAAGTTGCTTCCACTTGGCAAATCGCGGAAAGTTTCCAAGTAAGGACTACAGCGTCGCGTGGAGACCTTGTCGATGTAACGCGCGACTACTCGAACCTAATTTTGTCGATTTGCTGCGAGCGAAATCCGCGGAGCTTCCACGCGAGTTACCTAAATATTCCTAGCCGCGATAAACACGGTCCGAACTGGGACGCGCGAGTTCCCCGTAGAAAGCACTGGATTCCAAAATATTCATATTCGCGGCATAATATAGGACTAGGTCGCGTTTGTTGTACCGCGTATGTAACATAGAGTGTCGCGTCGTGTCGTATCGCAATCGTTGCCATCGTAGAACGCGGTTCGTGACCATGATCCGGTAACGCGATAATCGTGGTTAAATGCCAATTTTTTCGTTTACGACCTCCGCGTTTCCGCGTTCTATCTCGTCGACTTTTAACGACGGAGAATGCATTCGAGCGAAAACACGGAATTTCGAGGAGAAAGGAGAAACAGAAAACGCTATGAAATTTTGCCCATCTCTGGTTTTCGGTCGCAACGAAAGGTAAAGAAACGTGGACTGGGAGTTCGCAACGGACCGTGAACTCGGCAGGACAAGCTCGAAACGTTTTGACTCCGGAACCCTCAATTACCGCTGTTTCTCCGTGTATTTACCTACTCGAGATATCAAACGAGCACGCGAACTGGTTTACAGGGCGCATAATTAATTCGCGAGTGCGCTCTCGTTCGTAAAATCACTTTTCGTTCCGGAGATATTTTGATATTAAATACTCGTTAGGAGAGTCGAGTGGCTCGCGTCGAGGGCACGCTCCCGTGCTTAATTTTTGCTTTTCGAAATACTCCGACTCGTGCTCGAACTCGTGGCCGAAAGTGTCTACGAGTGTTGCGCGATTACGCGAAGAAAGGGTTACAGAGAAAACGTGTAATTTCCTTCGTTCGGTTTCGTTGTCGTAAAAACGTTACAATTTGAAAAAAAAAAAAAAAAAAAAAAAGAAGAAAATTGTTCGTCGACGAACAATCGATAAATCGATAGTATGGGAAGCGAGAAACGAATAGACGCGACGCGTTTTCAAAGTTGAGATTTATCGAGCCGTTGCGGGGTGATTCGTAACGGCGCGTCGCGGCGAGGAAAATGATAAAATACGACGAAGCGGATAGGAGGGAACAGCGAAGAAAGCAGAATGTATAGGAGCGACTAAATTGGCTTAAACCGACTCCGAAGACCGGAACGACGCGATGTCTTTATCCGTTTAAAAACGTCCGTTGCCGACTCTTCCTTTCCTTTGTTCTCTAAGTAGATAACCGAACAAAAATAAAAGTGAATGCTAAAAGAATCGGAGCTCGTTGCGCCGGCGATGGCGCAGAAGAATCGAGCGCCCTTCGTCGATTAATTAATCGAATGCCCTTTCCGCGAGGCGGCTTTTACGATTTTCCCGGCGATTACAATTCCTCTTCCAATTTATTGAGCATTTCATAACGCTCCAGACGGTTCTCCTTTGTCCCTGGTATACACACCGTGCGTTCGTTACGACGACGCTCCACCCTGCTAGATCGGAATTTCGCATCGAATTAAACGCGATCAGATTTAGTGAAAATAAACGTACCATCGCGCGAGACCATTTTTTTTTCCGCCTATAATTAACCGCAGACAAAGGCGAACAAAATTTTCATTCGTGTAACGAATTAATGAGAAACAACTTGAGAGTTGTCGTCGATTATTAGAAGCTTTGGACCATCTCGATCGTTGCGAGGAATTTCGACAACGACGGACCGAACGAAAATTTCGCCAAGAGTATCGCGACTGGCCCCGTTGCGCGTTTCCCGTCCGATCGCCGGACAGAAATTGCATCAACGCCACTACGAAACGTTAATTCCCTCGCGGATATCAATTTTTCGCCAGCTTGTATTTCGACCGTTTTGTCACGGAGTCAACCCCAACTTTTGACATATCTCGTCGCCGTTCCATCGCCATTTAGCAGTTCTCGTATCCGTTGCTGTTTCGCGTAAGCGAGCACTCGATGTACCGGAGCGCATGTAGGTAATCATTCCTACTACGATATAGAGCAGAGAAGCCCTGTTTGCGTTTTACGATGAGTCGTTCGCCACGGGCGATCCTACATCTGTCAAGGTGCTCCTTCAAACTAATTCGACGAATCTATGTCAAACCATCGATCATCCTCGCTCGTTACCCCACGGTTCAATTTTTCTTTTCTCTAGCTCGCGAACGACGCTGGGAATACGCGTATCGCCCACGAGGTCGACAAAATACACCCATCCACGATCGGTCCTCCGGTCGTTTCTTCGAATAGCATAACATTTTCGCGCGACATCGTCGAAGTAATACCAAGCCGACGTAATACTCGAGCTTGCTGTTCCGTTCGGTCGATGACCCGCGTCGATATGCAAATGTATTCACCGAAATCCCTTTTTTCGTCGTGAATCGGACCGCAGCGTCAGCGAAATCGAATTATACGTCTGGATATTTCGTGGATTGCACGCTCCATCGAATTCTCGCGCGTTCGACAAACGACGGAATCTGTACGTACATCTGTCGGGAAATCATTTCGAACCGTGGAAAAAATGTATAGCGTAATGGAAATAACGTAGAAGCAAGTTTTCCGCGTTGCATCGGGTGTACTCGCATACTTTGCTTCGATGCGACGAATCGAAAATGAAAATGGACAAGATTTCAAGGATTTTTGGCAACCAAAGTAGGTTGAATAGTCTCCATGGGAACGACTCTGGTTCCTGGCAAAGGGTACAGCCGAAAAAGGGGGTCAAATGTTCGATAAAAATTCGATAGCTCGTCGAAAAAAAATACACACGATACGACCAAGTTACGAGTCATGATTTCTTCTACAAAGATCAAGTATCCGAAAAGCGTTGAATGTTCCAATACAATTTGAGGATATACGAAGAAAATATTTCGGAGACGTCAGCTTATACAACGATATTATCACTGCCGAGAGGTCGATCGTATCGAACTGTCACGCCCTACGAACTACCTTATGCATTCTTCGAACGCTTCGGCAAGAAGAAAAGGTATTATACGAGCGTCTACCGGAACCGACGCGAAAGAAGATAAACGTCGCATAGTTGCTCGTCTAGTTGGTTTACACGTTGGACTTGGTTATCGTGTCGCGAGAGTCGACGATTGTCTCTGGACGCTTTGTTCGAGCGAGTCGAGTTCACGGGAACGGTCGCAGTCTTAAAGCATGGAAAACTATGCAGCGTGCACGCGACTAATGAAAGGCTCATTCTCTACCGGGGAACGTGTTTCTGGTCGCTTTGGGGGCAACGGAAACCGGTGAAGCGGCGAGTCGAAGCGGAGGGCGGTTCGCTCCGTTTCGCGGTTCTTTTCACTCGGCCGGGACACCTTGTTTCGACTCGCGTACAAAAATTATGCATCCTCTTGCGCAGTTCTGCGTCCGCTGTGCTTCGCTTGGCATGCTATCAAAGGATATCTGGACGATTTTTCAGACATATCGAAGATCAAACGATACGTAACGGAGTTTCGTTGCGTGGATCGTGCAGCAGTTGGAACGGAAATAGATTTATCGTCACCGAAAACGATTTAATCGTTGCAAACAGCAAGTGTTGCACGGAATGCGCCACGAGTATGACAACGACGTCGCAACTAACGATAAGTTTAGCATTGGAAATTATTTCTGAAAATGATATCGCGCGTAGAAAGTCGTATCAATCGTAGGACGATTAAAACGTTTCGGCAGACGTTGTAAGCGGTACGAAGGGTGTTCGGGTCCATCGGCGATAGCGAGAGACGACTATATCGTTAAATCGTAAAGAAAAATCTGGAGCACGCACCGGTTTGCCCCTTTCCCAAGGTTTTCTCGAGCCGATAAGGGCCGACATACTGATGGGTCGTCTCCTGGGTGTTGGACCCGACGGGGCTCTCCTTGCCCTGCATCGTCGCCGAGCCACTTTCTTCCTGGTCCGCCAGGTTGCTAGATTATCCTATAAAAACACGCTTCCTTGGCTTCCTTCCGTCTTTCGCCTTCCGCCTTTCGCCCTCCAGCCACCCCCACCCAGCCCGAGGTTCTTGCTCGGTCGTTTCTTTCAGCTATTTCCACGGGTCTCGTATCCGGTCCGTCCGGTTCCTCGGTTTCTCGTTCGGTTCCGTCCGACGCGATCACTTCACCAAAGTGACTCGTTCTCCGTTCGCGACGCGAATCCCGTGCGTTCGCGGCATGACGATCACTCGCGCGATCGCGAGGCGACCGGATCACCGAGTCGTCGAAGGGAAGGAAGATCCTCGTTCCCTTCGACGTGGACGAATACGAATACGGTGTAGGAGTCCACTAGGAAACTCGGCCTTCGCTCGGGTGTCGCACATGCACGCACTGTGTCACTGACACGACCGGTCCTTGATTTTCTGCGGCTGCCTCTTGCGGATCCTTTTCATGGTGGTCGCGCGATGGTCCGCGTTCGCCGCATGGGAGGAGGCGACGAGAAGGAAGCGACGTGATCGCGAGGGAATTGGCCTCGATGGAACAAGGACCGCGAGGAGGAGTCCGGATCTGGAATCGGTTCGATCACGAGGTGACGAGGACGGCAGCGATTCGAGTAGCATGGGGTGGGCTCACGTGAATTTGGCGGGCGCCCAACCACCATCGAATCCGAGGAAAACTAAGCTCCTCGTAGGAGTAGTCGCGTTCGGCGCCATTGCGATTGCGACTCCTCGGGCACCCTCTATTCCGTGACTTCCACTTGGACTTTTCGATCGACGATTCACCACGCTCGGTTCCTGAAACGCTGCAGTATACTCTCCTACCAGTGCACCCTCGCGCGCTCGTTCACCCTCCAGACGCTTCGACACGTCTCTTCGGTACCACTCCAGCGTAGCACCGGTCAATTTTCGATGTTGTTTCGCGGTTTCTTATCGAATCTCGCGCGATTCGATGCCCTTAAAGCGTGTACTCGCGACCTCCAGCTTCCGCTACGGAGGAAAATACGAACCTCGAAGCTCGTCGACTGGCCTTCGCTCCGCTGCTTACCTCCACCCTACGCACTCGCACTCATGCACTACCACCGATATGTCACTACATCAGCCAGAACACCTAGACCGATGTCCCTTGGTTAACCGGAGACTCTCGACAGGGATTCTTTTCGATGGTTCGAATCGAGGACCGTTTCAACGCGGATTCTCCTCTATTTCCTCGATTACGCTGATTTATCCCCCCCGTTTAGTTGGCTCGTTTCGTCAAAGATTCAGCCCTGTCTTTCGCGGATGACGGAGCTGACGACGAACCGCGGCGCTCCCAGTTCGATTACGTGTTACACGAGAGTCTACAGAGGGGGTAGCTTGCGCGCGCACTTCCACACCCGCCACCACCTACAACCTACACCCCTAGCTCGCCCCACTGGCTGAACCGGTGGTAAGTAGCGATCGCTACGAGCCTCGCCGAACCTCCGTTCGGACCAGTCGATCTTTTCGAATCGTTCGAACGCGCACGAAATTCGACAAACCAGCCAACGAACGAATATCGATCGTGCCAAACATACTTTGCCATGGTCGAGAGAAAATTTGTCGATACTGGTTCGAACGAGCCCGAGCAATCGAACCCATCGCTGAAAGCAAGGGAGTCGGAAAAGGGAGACTCGACTCTCTCGGTTTATCGTACGTAGCACGGGGTTAGGTCGGTGTGTTCTCGTCGGTACCAGGATGGCTGCTCGTGGTTCGTGTCTAAGGTGAAAAAGGACCGTGAGCTTTCCGAAAGATTTCCAATCCTTCGCGTCGCGAAGCTGGTTGCCAACGATAGCTCGCGCGCGCGCGAAATAGAGACAGAGAGAGAGATCGACGCGCAAAATCTAGCAGCAAATTATTCCAAACGTTTGTATTCGCCGAGCGTTCATTTTTTTTTCGTTTTTCAAACAATCGGTTCGTAACGCGTAACTATCAACGGTACGTTCGAAAACTTGCACTCGAACGAGCGAATCGATCAGCTCGTATTCGTCGCGGTGCAAAGACCCCGGCTAGATTCATCTAAAAGTTCTGTCAACAGATGCAGGCGCAAAGTAGCGCGCGGGCTGTGAACGCTGCGAGAGGTCGCTTTCGTTGAAACTTTGCCGTAACGAACGAAAGAAGGTTGAAAGGTTCGCTAAACACTCATTTTTACGTGCAAACGCAACCCTTGTCGCACCCGGAAATTACTTCACCTTCGCCTGAAAAGACAGTTGCAGACCTTTAAACTACATTTTCCGCGTGGAGTTCCTGCCACGGCACGCACTCGAGATGCCTTTGCGTTCTCATTTTAAAAACCAAGCTTTTTCGAGTAGGGCTTTCGCGAAGGGTATCCGATCGAACCGAACTCCAACCTTACATCGACCTAATAAATTATTCGCGACGTAATCAGACAAGTTAAGTCAGTCGGTTTGGCCGGTCGGATACTGATTAATCATTCAACGGATTAATTATTGACCGAAGAGACAGACCATCGTCATTCCTGCCCTTCTCTAGTCAAATTCCTAGGTGACGCGGGTTCCTCTGTACTTATCATCTACGGGACTCCCTCTTGATCGTTCGAAATAATCGCGTCGAGAAAGAACGAGACGTTCGCGGTCGTGGAACATCGAACCTCGTGTGACGGGAATCAATTAAGACAGACGTAGATAGATAGGTTGATGGATGGCTAGATAAAGAGAGAGACAGAGAGAGAGAGAAAAAGAGAAGAATGCAGAGCCGAGAAGAGGAGCATTTAACGGAGGCACTTTTTTTCGATGAGACGTGCGTATAAATATGCAAGGAAAATTACCCTGAGCGTTATGGCGCGAGGTACGAGCGAGGACACCTCGCGTAGAGGGGTACGAATGCAATATAGATCGAGCCTGGAGGGACGGAGAGGACGAAAGGCAGACGAAAAGAGAGAGGCGACAGTCGGATGGCACAAAGAGGAGGGTGCAGGCCGAGGATCGATAGGTATATAGAGGCAGATAGGAACACAGGAAGCGTCTGACACCGGAAAGCTCCTAGGGGATGGCTTCTTACGAGCTAGTTCTGATCGAATGACGACCCAACTTTTTTTTCGACCCTCCTGTTGATATTTTTAAATCTTTCTTCTGTGCCTGCGGCGATCTCGCTTCCTATTTTTATCGATCGTTGATAAATTCGCCATCGCGAATTTTATCTTACTTTTACGCGATCGTAAAAGTTTACTTCATAACGCTCGTATCGTATACACGCGACGAAATAAACGCGGATTGAACTCGCGCGAAAATGGTAAACCGAAAAACCGCATTTTCGATTCACAGGAAACGAAGATCGATCGATCGTTATTAGCGAGAAACAGCGCAGGAAATTTGTCGATGCACGTGCATCCGTGGCACAGGACACAGGAGTGCTCGGTTAATTGTACGTAAATTAACGGTCTTCGCGTTTGATCTTTCGCGCGTTGCTCGAGGGTGACGGGAATGCGAGAGAACGGTAAACAACGACCGGAGTTCCCTTTATCCGTCCTACGTTAACGACGGTTCGAGTTAACCGACTCCCGACGACGCGATTTTCACGTTCCTCGCGCGTGGCTGACACAAGGTTCGAACCAAACTAATAGGAGACTTCCCATTGAATTTAGACGCGGCCGATTAATCGACTTTCAAACATGTAATATTTTTTCTTCGGCGCGTAAATTGTGACACATCGAGGCGAGATACTCGGCCGAAAAGCCGCGAGCCACGGAACGCTTCGGTCATTAAATCTCCGGGGTTTAAAGGTCGATGCACCGTACGCATAGACCGTACTCGCACCCCTACACATGGATCGAGTACATTCATTGCTGGCAGGAGGTGGTGTTCGACTAGCACCGGTGTTTACATTATTCCGAGAGATTCGCTCATTGAAATCGCTGTCCAGCGGTAGGTATTCGTTCGCGTCTGGTTGAGCGTTGTATGGTAACGCGTTTGCTCGCTATATCCTGCATCGCGAGTCAAGCTGCAGCGCTGCGTTTCCCGTTAACGTCAAAGCTTTCGCTCTTCGTTCGGGACGCTCTTTGAAGGATCCTTCATCGCCCTTCTCTCCTCTAACCGGAGTTTCGGGACGACGGCGATGTAATAACGTCAAGTGGCTCGACGTTGCTTTACGAGCGAACAATTGAAATCATTTTCTCTCTGCAGAGTGTTTTGTTTGTCTCGATCTACGCCAGTAATATTTCTACCGTGTCTACATCGGCTAGACGACCCTTCCAAATGATATTTTTTCCGAGAAAAAAAGCTTGCCTTCGAAGAAAGTGTTTTTCTACGATACGAGTTTAACCTTTTCGCGAAGAGCCGACCCTGTTCGTAGTCGCTGCACAATCCGAGGAACACGGTGTGCATCTCTGCGAGTTTCATCGGGGTCGGAGCGATTTTACCCTCAAGCGTGCACGCGCTCGTCTATTCGAGTGCAAGCGACGCAACGTGTTGCACCAGGAGGGAAACGTCGGGCTCGGCGTCGGAGCCGGTCCACTCGTACGCTGCGCTTCGCTTTATGCAGCACGATGCCAGTTGCGCGGTGGAACGAGTAAACAGAGTTCGAGGTTGGCACTTCGCCTGAGCCTATTCATTGCACCGCAGACGACACACGCCCGCCCCCCCCCCCCTCCCCCGGCCGCCGCCGCCGAGCTTCCTGTGGAAAACTCTCGGAGACCGGAAACCAGAAACCGAATGCAGTCCGAAGGATCCAGCGGAATCGCGAGTCCCGCAATCGAATTTCTATAACGATTCGAAAAGTCGGATGGCGCGAACTTGTTGTCCCGGCGACTATTAAACGATCCTAGAACGAGATGTCTTAGCGAAGGCAATTTGATCCGCGGCCAAGGGAGACCAAATTTTAGGGGTTTCGAACTTTTTTCATTTGAACGTTGCATGGCGTATCGCGTAAGAGCAGTTGCGGCTGTATTTTATGACTCAGACCGTCCAAGTTCATGCGAAAGTTTTTAAGTGGGGGTGGTAATACGTAAAAGGGAGGCGTGAAGTGTTAACACAGGCCGGAACAGCACCAGACACTCGACGCACCCTTCTTCGTCCTTATCCTCCGGCTACCTTCCTTTTGCATCTTTCCTTTCTTTTCTGCCTTCGTTTTCTTTAACCTCTTTGACGGTTCGTTCTTATCGGCATTTTTTTTTTTTTTTTTGCTTATCCATCCGTTTCTCCCTGATCACCGCTGTTCCGCGTTCCTTAATATCCCGTTACCTTACATTTTCCCTAATATTTCTTTTTCCGGGGCAAACGACGTTTTTATCAAAGGTCGGCGCGGCGGCGCCTTCTTCTCCATCTCCGGAGAATTTTTCCCGACGAAAGTCGAGGGTCTAGACGTCTGCGAAAATATTGTGTCATATCGTTCGAAGCGATCCGAGGTTTTAAACGAGCAAATTTGCGGAAAAGTTGCGACGAGAGTTGGAATCGAATGTCCATCGGCATTCGCAACGGACGACCACGGACTGTCGTGGTCGAGTTACGGATGTATGCGGTCGAATGAAATATACAAGGATGACACGAAGCTGACGTTCGAACGTGGTACAGTCCACGTCTGCGCCATAGTTTGATTTATGTAGTTGTAAATGCGATCTCTATTAAATGTGTATTCCGTACATGGACCCCGGAGCATGGTAAATCACGAGGGTCTGCTAGGATACTCCCGTGGGGCACGATACAACCACGGTTCCTTTTGAGTACAAAGTTCGACACGGTACACGGTATCGCTGCGACGAGTTTATAAATAAATTACCACCGTTAGAATCATTTAGGATAAAGGATTTAGGGCTACGAATGGAAATTATTTGTCGTTAACGACGACAAACTTGCAGTATCTTTCGAGGTAGACAATTACGCGATTAACCCTCGTTTCGCGATAACTCGATGATTAAAGGCGTGCGAGCGTAACAAGTCGCGAACGCACGGAAGAAAAACACGAGCACTCGAGATGAAAGTAATTTAGTACGTTCTACATTCCGGTATCTCGCATCCGCGGCTCCCGAAACCACCCTTCTTCTTTTTCTCCCTCGTTCCGTCCGTTTTGCGCGCTCGCATCGCGCCTCTCGCCAAGAAAGAAACACGTCGAGTGGCTGGAACCCGCGGAGGAATCGCAAAATTACCGTCGCGATATTTTCTACGATAACCGTTCGTTTAATGGCCGCGCGATAGAAAGAATTTGAGAAACCCTGCCGCTCGACGAGTTCTCGGCCTCGTTTACGCAAAGATCGGAACCGCGGGAACCGGTGAACGAGAGCTCGGCTTTCATTGGAATCCTGGTCCGTCCGTTGGTTGATTCATTCGAGGATGTCAAGGGGTAAGGAGAGTTTTCGAGGACCGAATCGGCTGGCGCAGCGTCGCGTCGCGTCGAGTCGTTGACGAGCCACCGAAGAACGGGAACGGGAACGAACGAGAGGAAACGAGAAAGGGTAACGAAAAAGGGAAGGCAAGGGAGAAGAGAAGAGCGGGTTCTCGGGCGATAGCTCTAACACGAATGCAGGAGACCTCGGGGAAATCCTAATATTTTAACCACTGGCGAGGAATGAAAGGACCCGGGTGAGCATGAAAAGGGAAAAAGGGGTGCGCGAATCATCCCTGCGTACCCTTAAACCCTACTAGATGGGGTGGAACCTGCAAGGTGGGTGGAACTGTATACCCGTTGCGGTACCCCGAGGGAAGTACTTGCAATTAACGCGGTAAGACTCGGCTCTTGCACGAGGTAGTATACCCTTCTTACCGCACCCTTCGTCCTGGTTCTTTCCCTCTTCGTTTCTCCTCGAATCCTCGGTCGTCGTCTTTGTATACCTTTCTCCTCTCGTCGCCTATCCTGCCGGCGCGGCCGGTTTCTCGACGTCCATCTCTCTCTCGGACCGTCCCCTGCGAGCCCTTCGAGAACCCTCGTAGGGGATGCCAGAATTACTGTGTTCGGTTATTTGTCAGGGATACGCGTAATCGCGCGCACGCGTGTTGCCTTGCCACTCTCGTGAAAATCTACGGCGTTAGTCTCCGTGTACTTACCTAGTCGTTCGCGTCTGTATGCACAAGTACACACGTCGCCCTGGAAATACGGTACGCCGATCCCTTGGCTTCTTTAGCACACCTTCCTATCTGAAATTTTCGCTCCAATCCGGTGTGCGATAGAAATCTTTCCTTCTACTACTCGACTACTGATTTCGTTCTTACGAAACACAATCCGCATTTGCCATACAAACGAATCGACTCGTTTAGCCTCCCACGTGTACGCCAGCGAATGCGATTAATGTAAATTAGCGTAACCGTAGATGTAGGCGATTAGCATCCTTCTGAGCTACGTAAAAACTAACTACCCAGGATCCTCGATCGATACGGTTCACGATTTTGTTCGGTTGGTTACGCGATACGTCGGACCGGGGCGATTGATTTTTCGTTTACGTCCAACGCGTGGCTGTGCGTCACGCGACTAATAACTCGAGGGTCCGTCAAAGGCTGGCACGAAAGCCGTTTACTCAACGGATAACGTAAAATTGACGAAAAATTCGATGAAAAGAATGTGAAAGAAAGGGAATCGAATATTTCGTCTTTCGTCTCTCGAATAAAAAAAAAATTAGGCCCGAGGATTTCCAGCGACGCGACGAACCGTTCATTAATCACACAGTTGTCGGTGGAACAGTAGCACGAAAACGGTAGCTCGAGCGAACGCAGAGGGAGAATAGAAGATTTCCCCCGTATTACGGAAATGCGGCTTAGTCACCGGGGGTTGTCCATTGTGCTCGACTGAGTGCACATTCGTGTAAAATCCGTGAGGAATGGTTGTACGGACCGTCTAGATAGCTCGTGCGGCGTTCCCGATAGATTTCAGAAGTGCGCGTCACGTAAATATCGCCTCGATTTGGTTCTCCCACGCCGCGGCGCTCGCATAGAAATAAGTATTCTCGAATCTATAAATCGTGCATCGCAATTACCATCCTCGATCCGCTAACCAGTTACCAGATTCGCCTGCGTGTTACTTCCGCGCGAATTCTCGGTGAAACTCGGTGCGCTGGTTCCGTTATCGAATAAATCGCCCTACTCGTAAAAAGAGTTAATATCGTCGTTGTTCTCGTTCAATTTGTCGATAGTTCGTAGATACGTATCGGGGGACAATGTTGATTCACGTATCGCTTCCTCGATACATCTCGAGCGTTCATTGATAGAGGGAATACGCGAGAAAATAGTTGGCGGAATAGGCCTGCCGAATGGTACTCCGATGCCTCGTATTTCTACGATATTTCTTTCGCTCGTCCAGCTCGATTACTCGTTCCGCAGGAAAATGCCGATCGTGATGTACCGGTCCGAGAGGGTTCGGTGAAGTATCATCGTCGATAAAGGTCAAACCACTGGCCCGCCGCGCCGCACGGCAAATCAATCCTATCGGCCTTCCTACCAGAGCTGTTTCCGCTTCGAGTCGATCAACCGCGTCTCGATTACGCGTTGCGTGTATCGCGAGAAGAAACGAAGGAACGCGTACCGATCAATTGAGAGATATAGTTTTTTTTTTTTTTTTTTTTATTCGCACCGAAGCTTTTCTTGTCTTCGCGTAACACGCGTTTCTTTGACGCGTGCTTCGCGTGTTTGGTTCAAATTGAAAGGTTCGCGTTGCACGTTTGTTCTACATTGGCGTAGCATCGTTTTTCGTGACGTCGCAGTTTTACAAACCATTTGCGTGGTTGTTTCAGACGTGCCTGTCATGTACACTCTGCCGATCCGTTACCGACACTCCAAAGGGCGGGGATGAGGGTCGACGGAATAATTTCGCCCCGTGTATCTCGTCCGATAGGAGAACACAGCCTGACAGGTCGAAACGGCGAGATTATACGTAGCAAGAGTCGGATGTGTCGCTGCTCGTTCCTACGATACGAACGAGTCCGAGGCATCGTCGTTGTAATTTTCCGCTCGCTTTCTTCGAGGTAAAGAGTAAAATTGAATTCGTTGACGTAAACAACGAACATCTTCGGCTATAGAATCTCGGTAAATCGCGTATCGCAGAGAGTACACTTAAGAGACTCTAATAATTCAAGAAACCCTCTGTAAATACGAACAACGTGGCTGGCAATTCGCACTATTGTACGCCTAAGTTGCTTGGAAGTTTGCAGCGGTGAGAATACGGAATACTCGTCGGTGGTTGGCGGCATTGTTCTACGCGCGTATTGTTCTGTGCAATTTTCCATCGACTTTCGAATAAAGTAGTCGCGAAGTAGCTCGGCCTGGCGTGAAAAGTAATGCCTTGTGAGCGGGAAGTCGTAGAAAAAAAAAAGAAAAAAAAAAAGAAAGAAAAGCACCGATGACAGATGTTTACAAACGTCCCGCGGCTGTAGAGGATTTCCGAGAATTCGATTATTTCTTTCGAGTTACTCTTGCTTCTATTTATTACTACGCTAGATCGCTACATCATTGCTACACTAGAGCGAGTACTTGGAGAGTTTTTAAGAATTGTTTGATATCCGTTCGAGGTATGTCCCGAAATCTGCGAGTCTGTCGCTAACAACAGCGAATAGAGAGCCGAATAGAAGCCCACAGTCGTTCGTTCCTCCTCCAATCTCTGAATCCTTTCACTTTTTAACCCAGATTCAGCATTGTTAGGGCCGACAGGCTGTTCCTGTCACGCCCGCCGACCACCGAACCAACCGTAATTAACGCTATATCGTCTAGTTCTTTTCTCTCGCGGCTTTCTTTCGCGGTTCCACGCGTGGGAAGAGGTTTCGAATCCGCGGAGATCTGTCCGTTCGGTCCATCCGAGGTAGCGTGGCAAAATCGTGCGAGTCGAGAATGCTCTTCGGAGGCATTCTTCCCAGCTGCCAATGATAAGTACCGGTAGAGTTGCTTCCACAACCTGCCATTTATTTCCGAGATAACTTACGAGATACTCGAGAGAAAATTAAGATACTCGCGACCAAGTTTTCATACGGTGAAACGACGTTGCGTAAATGGGACCGAGTTCCGGCCGATCAGGAACGATGCCGAGAGAAAAGGATGAAAATCGCGCGCGTTGAAGGTGCGAAACGGCAGGTACGCCGAGATTTTTCCGTGTGTCACGCGAGAGCCTCGAGGTTCGCTTTGGTTGTGTTTCTTGGTCGTTAGTCAGGAATCCGCGAGGCGGATCGCGAGCTGACGAACACGAGGAATGATTAATATAAATCCTTGACGCTCCTTTGCGATTCTTCGAGCACGCCTTCGCTCTCGCTCGGCTACCTGTCTCCTCGGCCTCGTCGGTGTGTCGTGGGCGTGCCTTCGTGTTGGTCGCATGATTCACCTTGGTTCCTTTTTTTTTTTTTTTTTTTTTACAAGACATTTTGGAAATATAGCTCGTGGATTACAGCCTATTCTATCAAGTTTCTAACGACCGAGCGCGAAGACGCTTCAGTGGTTTCTCGATTCGCGCGTGTTTACGAATGCCTGATCATAAAATGCGAAGTAAAATTCTACGTATCATTAAACGATGGGAATAATCACGGTTACCGGTACTACCGTTGACACCCGTGACGTACCTATTTTCTCAAAGAGTCATTTAATCGCGATGCGTTTCTTCCTTATTAATTCAGAAATAAAAAAAAAAAAAAAAAAAAGGGAACCTTCCGGTCTTCCAGTTCGCGAAATCGCCCTGAAAATCCGAAGGTGTACAGCCGTCAGGGAGCGGCTATTCTGTTATTTATCCGCAGCTTTCCCCACTCGTGGCAAGTGTTTTCACCTCTTTAGTCTTTGCTCCGTGTAGTGCCGGTCCAAACATCGTCAAGGCAAGAGCACCGCCGCGACTTTGTTCCGCGACGATCGACTACGTTCGCCCCGTGAAAAAGGAAATCCGTCTGTTCGCCAAGCATGTCGCCAGTTTCGAAACTTATCTTCGCTCTTTTTCTTATGACGTTCGCGATGACTTACGCGAAACCGACGATATATAAAAGAAATCAGGACAACGTGTTCGAACCAGGTGAGTTTTTATTTCGTTTCTCTCGTTCAACGATCCGCGTTCATTTTTTTTTTTTTTTTTACATTTACGTTAACGTGTTCTCTTCGGTCCGCGACGTCACTCGTTCTTTCGTGATTCTAACGCGACGATGTTCCAAAGCCGACTCGCGAGCCGAACCACCTGGTAACGACGTTGCTTCTCGACGAAACTCTAACCGATTCCCGTAACGAAGCTTTCGTTTCGCGAAAGCACTCGTTGATTCTCACGAAAAAAACTTTCGTATAGACGAGTAGCGAAAGATAACGAGCTGGTCGGGGCGGTTTGAAAATAAAATCGAAAGTCTCGGTTTCTCTTTCGCCGATCTTGACGGAGATCGAGGTCTTGGTCGCGCGTGGATCATCGCGGAAAAACTTTCACCTTAATTATTGCCACTGCAAACTACCGCATCGCGTATTCCGTTGTACGTCTTCTCTCTGTTGTCGGAGGATATTTTCCGAGCAACACTTTAAACTGTTTCGAAACTGTTGGACGCGCGACGTCTTTGTCGATTCGTACAAATCCCCTGTCCGGTGGTACCACCTGTCGCGCCGCACCCCGTATAAATGCGTGTTAATCGTCGAGTTTTACTGTACGCCCGGGACATCGCGTAACGGATTGCACGTGCATCGTGCAGTTTCCTAGCGAAAATCGATCGTTAGTGCGGCTGCGATCGCGCTTTACCAAATAAAGCGCGATCTCGAAAAGCCGAAATTTCCTCGAGGCAACGTTTGACAGGTGGGAATAACGGAACGATGACGTCAGTCGACGTCCCGCGTGGGCTTCGATTACAGCGAGGCCGTGATCCGATCGTATTCGCGATGGAACAGCACCTAAACCCCGCATATTTACCTTGTGTCTGCTATGTCCTACTTTTCTACGATAAATACGTAAATGATCGTCTAGAAAACTAAAGTGCTCGCTTGAAGTTTCGATATCCTTATTCGTATTCTCTCTTTGGCGTTCCAAATTAAAACACACCCCTAACGTCATTAATAATAGTACTCGATTATCGGGTTGTTACGAAAATTGAGTTATCGGGTCATTACTATAATCGAGTTATCGGGTCGTTAACGGCATCGAGTTATTATCGGCTTCTTAATAAGACAGAGACGTTCGATTATTTATCAGCGGTAAGGTTAAAATTCTAACGAGGAATAAAAATGTTCCTAATTTCCTAAGATCAAAGTTATCCCGACAGTCGCGTTACACGTGGCCCGCGAAACGATAAGAAAAACTTCGCGGGCCGCCCTTCGCCGTCGTTGCAAAGCCGAGCAAGAGGAGGAAACGTAGAAAAAGAGAAAACGAGAGACCGGTGATTGCAGCAAAGTGTGTTGTTGTTGCACAAAGTGTAATCGCGTCACGCGAGCATGCGATTCGAAAGGATTTGCATACTCTACGCTACGATAGGGGAACTCGTGTACATCTAACAGATAGGCGTGTCAATTCTTACGAGCGTCCTTGTCGCTTTAAAACCTACCGCCTGTAAAACATTGTCGAAAATATTCTGGACAGCTTTAATATCTCTCTCGATATGCGAAGAGAATTTGTCTCCCGAATAATTGTAATCGGTTCCGTACCTGGAAAGTACATTCCGGGCATGGTACGATAATTACTCCAAGTAAATATCAACTCGATAGCCGAGTGTGACATTCCAGTCGACGGAATAGTTGCGCGAATGAAAACCTCTCGCCAGGTTTACCATACGCACGCTTTGACCTTTCAATCTTGCCGCGCCAATTCCGATTACCATAACTTTTGCACAGAATATTTAGTTCGTCGTATATAAAACGTTTTCTATTTATTTTGAATTTGTAACACGATTTAAAAGTTACATCGGAGTGCATTTTCGGCGCCGACTATAGACCGAACCAACATTTAAAAAGCGTGTTCCGATCACGACGATGAAATCGTGGAATCCCGACGATCGGACGCCGCGGATTTGATTGAGATTTCGCGACGGTAGCGAGACACGAGATTTTCATTCGGCTGCCAACAACCCGTTGAGAGCCAATAATTAAACAACCGACCGATGTCGAGGCGGACGCCAGCAGACGCCTTGTATAATGAATCGATATTCGATTAAGAGCGATAAGCAAATATTCCCTATCGAGTCTGGCGCGGGTGAACGTTTAATGGATCGCGATATCGTCTCGCTTCGAGTCGTTTTTTACTTTCGCTGGTGTGTATGAATCGCACCTTCGCGTATATGCGCGCGCGAAGCATCGTGCACGGTTACATTGCTGTACGATGCTTGAATTTTTCTTTACCGCAATCGAATCGAGAAATCTTACGCAGAAGCATGTGTTTTTTTCTTTCGCGTTCAAGTCTACTTACCCTGTAACGCGTGGCCACTGAACGAAGCGTTAATCATCCGACAAGAAAAATATAGTTAAAATTGTATACATATAGCAAGATTTTGTTCTTCTTTTTCCAGTGATGGTGCCGGTCTCTTCCACGGTAATTCCTCTTACCATGTACAAAGGAGAGTACGACTCGAGATTTATATCGAAGAATAAAAAGGCTCAGTCGTTGAAGCCAGAGGATGGAGCGAAATTGATAACGAGTGAGCGAAACGAAAAACGTTCATCTCGAATACCATGCGTACGAATTAAATGTTAACGTAAATATTGTTTTTTGCAGTGAAGAAAAGTCAAGAGAAGAAAACGTAAGATCATCGACGTATACCAGCCGACCTCCTCCGATTACATCGTGATGTCGACGGAGCGATTTCGATTTGTTGGCGTCGTGCTGCAATGTACGAGAGCATTAGCATAGAGTATAACCTGACTTTAGGATCTTTGTAAATTCGAGAATTATGCGTTTCACAGGGTTACGGAAACTTGACGCCAAAAAATAATTTACCTCTCTTACTTGATTAACTTTAGTCGATCGTTTTTGTCGGTATGAATTTATTGACAACTGTAAGGCTGCGAACACACCGGAGGCAAATTACTAGTCCGCGCGAGTCTACTTCGATCAGCGCCAAGTCGGAGCTCGAATTTACCTTTACCGTGATCGTGGCCTTAACGCGTAGAATACAATCAAACGTTACAATGTTAAACTCTAATCAAGGTAGAAATGGGATTTGTTAAGTTTTTATATTTAATATGAAATATAAAGTATCATTTGTCACAATGTGTTTACACGTAAGGAGTACTAGGACAAACGTGATGGATATTTCAAACAAGAAATACGGAATGCCGAAGTAGAAATAATGACTTGTCGTACAACGCTAGAATTAAAACGAATCGTTTATTTACCTATCTATCGTTATGATATTTCCATGGCTTCCTCCTCTGAAACAAAAAACAACCGATATAGTTATATAAAATTGCGATTAATCTTACGAACGTATAAATTTACTTACGCGTTTCGTTAAACATAAAATCGTCCTGATATTCTTTCAAAAACTGTGTAGACCTATTTTCATCGAGAAACAGGGAATAGACGCGTTTCACATCATCGATATTGACCTTAAAAAAAAATGTATATATATATTAAACGAATTGCATAGAATTTATCGTTCCGCAACGGTGAAAAATAATGGTGTAAGTATAACGGTAGAATCGCGTGATATTTACTTCGGTACTCTTTCTTCGTCGGCAAACGAGAGATGCAGTTGTAATTAATTGAATCGCATATCTCAACGACGTTTCCAACGCGATTCTTGTAAGTACCGTTAAAGCATCGTCCGCCATTTCACAGTCCTCTTCTTCGCACCTAATTTTCAAAATTTCTTTCAATTCCTTTTCCTGATACGGACTCGTTGGGACGATGATCATACGATCCAGCAAGTCGATAGGAATACCATGAGGACTTTTATAGTTTGTTCCTCTGATCCTTGTGATACCTGTTCAATTCAGGAATTACGTTTCGCGTTAATCGAAGTAAACCGTTAGAAGACGTACACATCTTAGGTTATTATATACATATACCTCTGTTTGTAGCCATAATCACGACTGGTGCCATTTCATTCTCGAGTGCTCGATTTAAGAATGAAAAACATTCGATATCCAGCATGTGAACCTCGTCGATAAACAGAACTCCGGGAACGATTTCCGCCTTGCCTTCCTCCCGCCATTCGGCGACCTTCGCGTTTATTTGTTCTCGTACTTCTGACTTGATTTCTCCCGTGTCACCGGAGAATAATGCCAAGAATCCATGAGTTCTACTATTTATAACGTCGACTTCGTGCAACGTTACTGTGTGAACTACTTCTTTGCGTTTCTGCAATTCACCCTCGGGACATTGTACGAAGCGAGTCTGCGAACCGGTTGCATCGTAATCGCGAGCTCTGGTAAACGAGCGTCCCAGCCTGTTAATTTTACCCGTAGCTTTGTCGATAGTTATCACGTCACCTGCTTGCACCTTGAACGTACAAATAGTTTATCAAATCGATAAACGATATTTCGAACTAGATACCGGTCGATTATCTTTACTAACTTTCTCCTTCATCAAGCTGTCGATCATTTTATTTCCCAAGTCGTAAATCGTTTCCATTTCTGTCGTCTTCAGTGTCAATTTACCAACTTTAGCACCAACTCCTGTAGCTGGTCTATCCACTTGGATTTCGACAACCTCTCCCTCTATAATTTCCGTTTCTTCTTTGATTCTGACCCCGATAGATTTTCTGATAGCCTGAGTCAAAGCTTCCGTTTTGCTCATTTCCAATGAATATATTTCAGAACCTGCCATTGAGGTAAACGGAGTATCCAAACCTAAAGCTTGAGCCATTGCCATGGCAATGGCAGTCTTTCCAGTGCCGGGTTGACCTGCTAGCAATACAGCACGCCCCGCTATCTTACCATCTTTAATCATTTCTAAGACGATACCAGCAGCACGACGTGCTGTAGGCTGACCAACCATGCCCTGCGAAACCTAAGAATTGTATTTAATTAATAAAAGTATTTCAGAAAGTAAATAAACTAAACGAGTAGTATTATATGATATATAAATGTATTACATGGCGAGGTTCCAAGCTATCATCCAAGCCTAAACCTCTGATATGAGAATGAGCACCAATTCTTTCTATTCTAGTAATTTCTCTGACTTCTTGAACTTTTGCAGCAGCAACGGCCTAAAACAATAATGCGATAATGATAATATAACCTTAAAAAAAATTTACATTTTATGTATGCTACAAAGCAAATATAAAAATCGATCAAACACTTAGTTACCATGGCAATACACATTGCCTGCACCATAAAAAAAGATATAATATATTGTGCGCGCCATGTGAATACTATTTTCCTATGTAAAATATCGTACAATGGTCCTATACATTTATTTAAAAATATACATTCTACGCGTATAGGTTAGCCGGTACATACGAAACAGACAAAAAATAAATGCGATACCATTGATAATGTCATTGTTGACTATAACCTTAAAATATAGTAATAGTTGGTATTTTTATTTTCATAAATTAATATTTACCGCCATGTTTTCTCTATGTGTTTACGCTTGAGATGTTAACGAAATCACCACAATTATACCAAAGTATACTGAGCAACTGAGCTGAGCGCTAGGCTGGAATGCCAAAATCCCGGATATTCTCCGCGTTTCCACAACACGCTGCGACACGCGCAGATTGTGCGGAGACTACTGCACAGCCCGTTTGCGCATACGACAAAGAAAGAAAGATGTTCCGTCCTTGTAGAATTCGGGTCGTTCTAATATACGATTGTACGGTCACGCTGGGTATCATTCTGGGAGCACTACAAGGCATAAACTGAGAAGCAGGAACACACCACACGACGCATTGTGATCCAGGGCAGCAACCATGGAACCAGGCAAACATCATTTCCCGCAGCGTCTCCTCGGATTCCATCTACTTACCTACCTTCATTATCTCTGGCATATCCTTTTAATTCCCTTTATGTCCAGGCACATTACTCTTTAATTTTTCTTCAATTCCTGACACATTTCCCTTTAATTTCCCTTCATTTACTGAAACTTTTCCCTTTAATTTCCCTTCAATTCCTGGCACATTTCTCTTTAATTTCCCTCCATCTCCTGTCACATTTCCCGTTAATGCCCTTCCCTTCCTGGTACATTCCCGTCATGTCTTCTCGTACAAGTTAAAGAATTGCAAATAGAACATCTCAAAAGTTCAACAAAGTTGCAACGCGCAGAAGTACAATAAAATGGCAACTCAGATGTTCGGCAATATGCTACCAAATCGGAAAATCGGCTTCGCTCTGAACATCTGAGCTGCCACTTTGTTAAATTTTGCTAGCTCAAAATATCACAACAATGTGCAAATTGAGAATTCGGGCAACTTTAAGGGAAGGATATCAAGAAATAAAAGGAAATATAAGAGGAAATATGGAAAATTAGAGGGGACAGGAAATTAGAGGAAATGAAAGGGAAATGTGAGAAGAAATGAGGGGAAATTAGAGGAAAATGTGCCAGGAGATGAAGGGAAATTTTAGGGAAATGTCGCAGTGAATGACGGGAAACGTAGCAGAAAAGTATTGTATACATACATGTACATATATATATATGTAAATATATTATATGAATAAAGCACGGTTTATTGACACTTCTAAATATTTCATACTTCTTATTTACCAATGCTCGTTAAACTTTATCAATAAGTACCTGCATGTCCGTCATGGAGCAACTATTCGTATCGCCATCTCGCGGCTAAAAGAACGAACTAATTTTGGAAGCTTGGATCAGAACCCTCAGCATTTTGCAGTAGTGGCGCCATCGGTGGGAGAAGACCCAAGTTTGTCGTTGATTAGTAGTTCCCTCTCGCAACGCTAGATGGCGCCATTTACTTACCGAAGATGCTGTCGCCATCTAGCACTAATATCGGGAACCATTTTCACTACATACTTGGACGTTTTCCCACCGACGGCGCCACTAGTCCAAAATGCTAAGGGTTCTAATCCAAGCTTCTAATACTAGTTCGTTCTTTTGACCGCGAGATTGACGATACCATTTATTGGTCCATACAATATTCAACATTACACGAAATATTCTAAAAGTATTATTTTAAACGAATTTGTCGTAAGCATAAATAAAAAATATACCACCCTATCTAACGTTTATGTACACTGGCAGTAGTAGAATTTAGGTAGTTAAATGGATGATGTTTAATACTTGTTATTAATTGTAAGAAAATTTGCCGACTATGGCACGCAAGTATTTGTCGGAAGAAAAGACGGAGATGTTGATCATGAGCCAACAAGAAGCGGTTTCGTATTCCCGAAGAGATATCTCGTGCCATCTGTAGTTGCGAAAGAAATCCAAGTAATGCGTTTATCAGCGAACTGACGAGGACTCGTCCGTCGGGTTCAAAGTAGGCAGAGTATCTGATTCGAGGTCCCGTCAAACCCTGTGACCTTTCGTAGTTTGTGGTGAACTTCATGTGCGCTTGACCGTGGAACTTGCTTGGTTTGTCCACCCACTTACATCTCGCCGCTACGCTTACCTCTCGTGAAACATTATTTCGAGCGAAAGTGAGTATTCTCTGTGCCTGAAAACTTCTGCTCGTCCCGCGTTTTCGTCGAGTACTTGGAGTAAGTTTTCTTATTTTGTCCTTGATCGTCGCATAGTTCAACAGATCCAGTAATAAAAATGACAATACTTTGTACTGTCAGTGACCTCTGATAAACCTCTGAACGCAACATGCTCTCGAAGACTATGATATTCTCTCACCGAACTTGAATGGATCTCGTGGCCGTAAATTAACGTGCAACGAATTACAATCGGACCAATCTTGATATTTATCTCGAAACGACCTAATCCCTATTATCGTAACAACTCAAAGGTGTAATAATACGTCCTCGATTACCGTAATTGTAGCCGAACTGTTTGTTATTCGTATCTTCGCTTGTTTCAACGTTCGTGTATTTTATTGTTATTACGATTTTAAAGGGACTTAACTTAAGTGTATCGAAAAACTAACGTTACTTGCGCGAGAAGGAAACTTACGACTTTTAAAAGCGATTTACGGTAGATGTATTTTTTATTAGCATTGCAAAATTGTACACTTTCCAAGTTATTTTTCTATTTTTAAATTGAACGTTTCCGAAAACAAGCTGTACGTGCATCGCGAATATTTTAATATTATTTTAGTATTATTGTCAATAAATAATTATGCAGAAAATATTGAAGTAAATTATTTTCTCGTCCATTCATAAATATAGTAACAATTAATAATATTCAATGTGTTATTTGTACAAAATCGCGAAGAGTTTTGTCTGTATTCTTATTTCCAAGAAATAGTAGTTAATGTAAATATTCGCGCATTTACATGTATATCATACAAATATAGATCAAAGAGGGGTCAACAAAATGTCAAGAGAACGTGCATCAAGGAGATTTTACCGTGTAGACAGCAGCAATGATCTGCTGGAATTTATGGATCGTGGATATACAGCACAACACGAGAACCGATGGACTTTTGAAGTTGCATGGGAGGCTGCTAACAAAGGTATACAAAATCTAACAAATCAAAAAATATTATAACTCTCCCAATTTTGGTGTGTTTAGTTGGCGGTATATATACCGTAATAAGATCCAAAGCTTATGTCTCAACTGAAGAAATGGGAGATCAGTATTGTCTTATTGGCCCATATAAAGAAACTTCTGCCCGTACAGAAGTTGAAGAAGGAGATTTCCCACGTAATAGTCCACTGCATTTAGCTGTTCAAGTACTACGTGATCAAGGATTCAAAGTAAGTCTAGACATAAAAATTTCATATTTATAAAAAAAAAAAAAAAAAAAAGAGAGAGACAGAAGAAAGAATAAAATAAATTGTAAATGTATCATTCAAAATACTGTCCCTGCAGACAGAACAAGTTCACAGTTGCTAAATGCGTTTATTGTATGTCAAAAATAATTATTTGGCTAGAGTCCAGTTGCAGTCAAAATTAATTCAAGGGCAATTGCCCCTGAATGCGGATCGCGTATACGATTAGTTCTTGTTTTGTCCGACTCTCCGTGAAATCGGTAAAAAATAATATCGGGAAATTTATGCGATCATAAAATAAGAAATGTTATCGAGGTGGTAACAGGAACATGGCTGGTGGATGGAAATCCGCAAATAATACTCTTCGATATTGGGAGCGCGGCATGGAAGTTAGACGAGTACAAGCAGGAATTATGGAACACCTGTCATCTTGGTATTCCTCATCTTGACATAGAGGCGAACGATGCAGTTATCCTTGGATATCTCGTTTGTCAATTTATTTCTGAATTCAGGTGAATTTTGTACTTTTAGAAAACATAGAGTCTTCTCGTTGTATCTTCTCGCTCGCTAAGTAAGAATTTTTAAATTTTAGAAAAGCTGCCGAAGGATATTCCGATGTTCCACCTCGTGTAGTTATCCAGTGTCACGAGTGGCAAGCGGGTGTCGGCTTAATCGCTTTAAGAACTAGACACGTGGACGTTGCTACAGTTTTCACTACGCATGCTACGCTTCTTGGAAGATATCTTTGCGCAGGAAAGACTGATTTTTATAATAATTTGGATCAGGTAACGTATCGATGTCACTGACTACATATAAAGTACAGTTTTCCCGTCGAGCGTTATCCGAAGATATATCACTTTGATGTATTTGCGTAGTTCAATGTTGACGAGGAGGCAGGAAAACGGCAAATTTACCACAGATATTGTATGGAACGTGCAGCTTCACACTTAGCGCATGTGTTTACAACTGTTTCGGACATAACTGGTTTCGAAGCCGAACATTTACTGAAACGAAAACCCGACATAATCACGCCGAACGGGCTCAACGTGAAGAAATTCGCGGCATTGCACGAATTCCAAAATTTGCATGCCGTTAGCAAAGAGAAAATACACGAGTTTGTTAGAGGTCATTTTTACGGGTGCGTAATACCATTAACGCGATTACAGTTGTTTTATTTGATATAAGAATTTGTACACGTATGTCTATGTCTATAGTCATTACGATTTTGATCTGGATAAGACTTTGTACTTCTTCATTGCTGGACGTTACGAGTTTGGAAATAAGGGCGCCGACATCTTCATCGAAGCTTTGGCCAGATTAAATCATTATTTAAAGACGTCTAGACCGGACATGACTGTAGTTGCTTTTCTCATTTTTCCAGCACGAACCAATAATTTTAACGTAGAGTCATTACGAGGTCATGCTGTAAGTCGAAGAATACGTTTAGATCCGAAGAGAACGCGATGACGTTTCATGTCTGATTTAATTCTTACGTTAAAGGTCACTAAATCGTTGAGAGACACCATCAACGACATACAACAGAAAATTGGAAAACGCATGTACGAATTATGTTTGTCCGGTCGTATGCCCGACGCTCAAGATCTTTTGCAAAAGGACGACACTATTAAAATCAAACGGTAATACCTTTATTACCGATTATTCTTTGTCGTTTATGTAAATTAGAATACAAGAAATGTTGATTGTAACTTCTTTTCTCGGCAAAGTTGTTTATATGCTCTACAAAGAAATGGTTTACCGCCGGTTACCACGCACAACGTAGTAGACGATTGGAATGACCCGGTACTGAACGCTATCAGAAGATGTAATCTTTTTAATACTGTTAACGATCGCGTGAAGGTATAGTCTACATAATTTGGCTAGTTTTAGTTTTGTGATGTTTCCTAGATAACGTCTCTTTACAATCGTAGATAGTTTTTCATCCAGAGTTTCTGTCGTCGACGAATCCACTATTCGGGCTCGATTACGAAGAGTTTGTTAGAGGGTGTCACTTGGGAGTGTTCCCATCCTATTACGAACCTTGGGGATACACGCCCGCGGAATGCACAGTCATGGGTATTCCTAGTATCACTACCAATCTATCCGGATTCGGTTGCTTCATGCAAGAGCATATAGCTGACCCGATGAGTTATGGTATTTACATTGTGGACAGGCGATTCATAGGCTTGGAAAATACAGTTCAGCAACTTGCTCAATACATGTTCGATTTTGCACGACTTAGTCGTCGACAGCGTATCATTCAAAGAAATCGCACGGAACGCCTCAGCGATCTTCTTGATTGGAGAAATCTTGGAATCGTAAGTATATCAAATGCGCCACTTTTGGCTTCCTCTTATTATTTTTCATTAGTTTCCAATCCAAATAATTTTTTATCGTAATGTTTTGTACAGTATTACCGTCAAGCCAGAATAAAAGCGTTGATAAAAGTTTATCCAGAACTGGCCTCGGAATATGCCGAAGGTGGTGTAGGTCGTTTCAGTTATCCAAGACCCATCAGCGAACCCCCATCGCCTTCTTCTTCGCGGCACACCACTCCAGCCGCTTCGGTTCACGGTTCCGACGACGAAGATGAAGACGAAGACGAAGTTGACGATGAAAAAGAGGTTAATTGATTTCTTTATTTACGTCTTAATTTAAATATTCATTTCACAGTTTGAATTACCTTTAAAAATGGAAAACTATCCTTTGTTACAGCTAGAAGAGCTGCGCCAGTCGAACGGAAGATAAAAGGCTGAATAGAATGCGATGAATTGATATGTACACTAGCGGATTTTTGAGACTTTGCGATGGTAGTGCCAAATATTTTGCTTATGCGTACCTTCACGAACAGTTGCTCCATCGCATTCTTTTATTATTTAATTGTTCCACACATTACTCTCTGTCACTTCCATACTATGCATTCGCGTAAAGCTCAAACATGACAAAACATCAATATGTAGAACAGTATTTACACGACACGCAAAATCATTACCAACAACAGTCTTCCATCGATCAAACTCCCGTGTAATATTCCATACATCAAATGATATTGTTATATTTTGAAAACTATATTTCATGTTATGCATATACACATATGTAGTGAGTGGAATGTGTTCCTATTGTATAGACGCGGTTATATTTTTATGAGAATTAGTATATGAATAAAAGTTTCATAACATTTTTGATCATCAAATGACCTTTATGCGTTGTGAAATGGATTTCTTTGTATGCAACTGAAACAGTTTTTGCAGAGCCAAGTAACCATCGGTGACTTCAGTTTGTAAGAATTGTTATATTATTAATCATTAACATAATATACAAAACAAAGTGCTAAAAAGTTACAATTCTCTTAAGGCGAAATTATTACGTTTGGCGTTCACGATTACCAAATTGTCTTGTTTCCTGCGAAATTCAAAATAAATATATACATAATTAAGTAAACGAATAACACATTACATAACAATACGTCGTAATATAACAAGTACAACAATATACAAATCCACTAATAATCTTTGCGACTGATTAAAAGTATCTTAATAATGTTTTCGATGATTATTACACTGATTGTGAGGGGGAGAGAAAGTGAGACAGAGGGAGGGAGATGAAATTTTGGAATGGTTCATTACCACGCGAAGCTTAGGTAAATATAAGGAGATGTATGAGACGAGATTCGATATTCTTTTCACCTTTCACATTTAACGTTGATTCTACGATTTACATGTCAACATTAACAATGTACATTACAAAAATCCTAACCTTGAACACAAGATATTCTAGTCTTTAGAGCATGCAACGATATTTTAAACACTATCAACACTTTTACTGTCGAAGTCGAGAGTCGACTTAAATTTTGTAAAACAGTTTTCGAAAATAATAAGCGGTACTTGTAAATTTTCGACATAGTTGTTGCTGTAAATACCATCAAAAGAAAATTTGGGCGACGGCAAAAGTGTTGATCCGTGTCATTCAGGAATTCAATTACCTCCGTAAAAAATGTTTTATTCCGAAAGAAGTACTATTACCTCCGAAAAGAAGAACGAAACATAAACGCTTCCGATGAAATCATTGTATATAAAAAAAAGAAATGATTTTTGGAAAGCATTCAATTAGCGGCCGGCATCGGGTCGGTTCACCTAGTAGAAGCCTATAAATTATGTAATCGACGCGAAACAGTTTTGATGGTTAGATTCTCGTAAGCGAAAGACTAAAGATATGTTACGCGTTCGTTAAAAGATTAACGATACGCTAAAGATGCAATCAAAACGTCTCATGATGAGAGTACACGTAAACGACGATCAATCGTCATAACCTAAATGGCACGTTTTATACATTACATACAATCAGAAATAACTTTACAATGTGGATGACAAGAAATTAACTATGATGGTTAAATGAAAAAAAAAAAAAAACGAATCGAGCGTACTGTTATAAACGTTAAAATTCGTTAATAATAATACGTGTTCGTAATACTTTGATTCTTCGATGCAATTCCTTTCTTCGAAACATCTGTACAGCTCGAAGCGTTCAGCTTTCGAACCCAGCGTAACGATTCAACGAAAGTTTACAACGCTTTGGAACTTGTGTCTTTTGTCTCGTGACGTTATTTACGGTGTAAAAATATTTGTAATCCCTATGACAAAATATGCAGTCGCTATGTAGCACAGCTTCCGTCGGGTATCGACCGTGGACTTCAATTTAAATCAATCCGTCGACAAAAAATCAATTCCTCGCATCTACTGTTTATCGATTTTCGTACAGTATTCAATTCAACGGTCAGGAATTATATTTTACCGAGTGTTTCTGTCAAGTAAAATTTATAGGAGTCGATATAGTTTCATACATCGATTCGAAAATATATTAAATCACATATTCGATCCCTAACCCCGATGCGTCGGGTAGATCTACGAAGCCCTTTTTTCTTTCCTTCTTTCACCTAAATGTGCCAACTAATAGTTAGATATTCTATTCCTTTCGTACTGGCAAGTTTACATCGCTTACTGCATACTTTTATTATAGTTTCGTCCAAGTTTTTTAAACATCGGGGGAAGGAAGAAAGGCTGACTCCTTTTAGACCGTAGGTACAGACAACCTTTGGTTATACAACGAGAAGACTAATATTATGATATAATATCGCGCACGAGTTGATAAATATTACGTATGTATATATATATATATATATGTGTATATATACACAGCCGCGAGCACGCACACACACACACACATATACACTATATACTCGTTTGAAAACTAATCTAAGAGTCTTTAGTTAATTGGCATTTCACGGCATATGGCCTCAAGATACGAGTTCCACACGGTCGATGTCTCATGTTCTTTTTCTTTTCGTTTCGGTGGAGCAGAGATTGCGAAACACAGCAATCGAGGTGTCGAATAATTTCCGACTGACTCGTTTGAATTTTCGCGTATTTCGTGGACCTTGCACGAAATTGCTGATAAATATTCACTAACTTTGGCTAAAAACATCATCCGATGCACGTAACATGCGACATATACGACTACTATTTATCTGAATTCGGTTTTCCAATATTTTCAGATGCTTTCCAATTGTAAAGAATCGATTTGATCCTGAAAAATCACTTGTTTGGTTAACTTTAAATTTGAAAGTTTGGATGTCGATATCGATTCTCGAATAGTTTTTTTCTTTTTTCTAGTAAATTGCAGATTCTCTTTAACGATTTTTCAGATAAAATTCATCGTGCGGTTCGTACGTACGCTTTCCTCCTTTCTGCCCTGCGTATTCGCGAAATGACGTCTAATGGCAGGATCGCTAAGAAAGGTTCGAGATACATACGTTAATAACAGAAAGCGAAGATGCAAACTCTCAATGTAGCGAGACGATCCACAGAGAGCGAGAAAAGCGTAAGTTCTGGCGGTATCGCAGCTGAACTTCCAGATCGTTCGTCAGGGAACTCGCGGATGGACGGATTTTACGTGTGACTCGACTGAGTTCCCTCCATCCTCTGCTGCATCATTGTAAGCAGCAGTTCGGAGTACTGTTGCATCATATTGACCACCTTACCCTGATCCTGACCGGCGAGTAGCTCTTGAAACGTGGCGGTCGCTTCGTTGACGACCACGTTCTCGTTGCTCGTCACCGATCCGTCGTTATGGGCCTGGCCACTGGCAACGACCAGTCGTAGAGTGCGCATCGTCTCGTTTACAGACGACTGGAGGCCGCGCAGCATCGTGTCCCTGTCGATGCTCGTTCCCTCGTCCTCCTTGTCTATCGTTAAACGTTTGTACAGCTGTACAACGTTGTCCGCGGTTCGCGTCAAATCGTCTGCGATTGTATTGCACAGCTGAGTCGACACTATGAAAAGAAGACGATGTTTCAGAGTGTTGGACGTTAAACGATGCTATGCTGGAAACGCGTTGTCGATTATGATAAGGTTCTCGCGTTGAAATGAAAGGGAGTGAGACCGTGACAGGCGGAACGCTTACGCTTTCGACAACGCGATATACACCGTAAGCAGATGCTACAAGGATCAAAGAAATGTAGCAACCGCTTCGCCAAATGGAGGAAAGGCGGATGAAATCGTGCAGCGTGCAGGTTTTATAGACTCTAAAATCCGTAATGAGACCATGCTATTGTGGTCGAAATCTAGAGACTCGGGTAGTGAGTGATCTAACGATGAGGGAACTAGTTTCTCCGGATCTATGCGATGATCTAATTAGATGCAGTTTCACGACTGCCACTCTATGCGATTACGTTATGGCTGACGTTTGTTCGAATGGTTTTTCGCTTTGTCCATAGCATGATCACTTACAAATTTTTAATACACTCAAAGACTTATTATTTTCACAGGACAGCATTCTCAATAGGTGTCTTTAGTTTACCTAAAGTTTTATCCGTGCCTACTGTAAGAGTAAAATTTTCATTAGACAACAATGGTTTACGCGATCGAACGGTAAGCAAATATTCGTTAATAAATATTCTTTTTCTCGTAATCTTGCATGCTTACACTTTGAAAAACGATAAACGATGATCATGAATCGTGACAAACGAAACGAACGAAAAGAGAAATAGGGAAGATAGTTACACTCGGCACTAGCTACATCGATGGCACGATCGGTATCTTTGACTGGCAGTTCTTGAGGACTGGGATCCAACTGATTTCGATTGGCTGCCGATATCCTGCTGCTCGCATTTTGTCCTATCGTACCGTTTCCATTGCGACCGTTCGCGATGACCGTCGTTGAGCCCGATCTTCTCACCGTTGTACCGGGTAAACTCAAGCTACAAAACCAGGAGTACAACGATAAATGATGTCGTTGAACGTCGTCCAGATCGAAAGAATGAAAATTTCCAAACTTACGTTGCAACGGAATGGTCGATACTGATGCTTCGAGGTCTCGGAGGAAGCGCTGGCTTTCCACCGTTTCCATTCGAGGACGTGTCCTCCGAACTCGAATCTTCTTGATTACCCACTTGACTTAGATTTACTGAAAGAGTTACAAGGAGACGTTAACGAAAGGAAAAGAACATTTTTTGGCGAAACGCGACACAGTACGACGATTACCACTCGAGTACGCTCCCTGCATGCCTCTACGTCTGAGAACAGAGGGCAAATTGCTGTTGGAAGAGGAACTCGTCTTTATTTGATGATTAATTTTATTTTGCGAGCTGATCGTTGGCCTCATAAGTCCGCTGATTCTGTTACTGCCGGTTTGGTTGTTCCATCCTCTTCCGTTTCCCACTCCGACATCCGATTCGGAATCGCTCTGCAAGGTAAGGTAGCCGTCGTCGATCAGATGGAAAATTACTTTTCGATCGCTTCGCGTAACAAAAGCGGTTTTCCGAGAACTGTACCTGATTCAAAACACCGACGCTACTGCTTCTCGTCATATGTGAAGAATGATTCTTCGCTGAAGCATGACGAGATTGGTTTCCGCTATTCGCGCTTCCTAATCCACTTCTCGCCGAAGCGTTCGTGTTCTTATTACCTACTTTTCCTGAAACTGTTACCAATCGTTACCAAAAATTCCACCTCTCGCGAAACTTTCATCTACGTTCACGTGTAAATTGCATTTCTACGAAGAGGTTCGTTCCATAAAATCAATGCGCAAAAAATAATGAACATTCGTTATAATATACAAAGATAAGAAATATACGTAAAATAACTATTCGATGTCTCGAACGTCGTAAGAATATCGATGACCGGATGTCGGTCTCCGTTCCGACGTAACGAACTTTGCGAACGAACGTATTCAAAATATCATCGATGCATCGAAAGACCTTTCGAAACATCGAAATTTTCATCGATACTTGTAACAAATATTACGTTAGTGGAGGGTCGTTCCAAAATTCTTTTAACAGGAGATCTAATTCTGTTCGGTAAGAAAGTGAAAAATGTTTGTCAATGATTTCTAGACGATTGGAAAAACCTTCGTAAACGTGGGACACAATGAAAGGGTACCTTGTATCGGGCCATGCAGTAACCTATTTGGCGGGCTGACGGAAAGATCACTCAGCGAGCAGGCACGTCGCATGCCACCCCGCTCTTCTTCGCTGTCAAAAACTTTTGACGAGATTCGCCCCCCACTACTGCCAACTGTCGACAACAACACGCACACACATGCACTAAGCTACTGTTCTTTCGTATTATGTCAATTTGTTTGGGTTTTCTCGTGACATTTTTCTTTTACAATTATTTATGTACATTTTGCGATTTACAGTATATAGCTTTTGATAGCATAAGAACGAAGTGGGCTTTTTTCTCTATCATGCATATTGCGGAAGCAATATATATATATATATATATATAGAATAATAAATATAAGCCGCGAGATTCGAACTGTTTTCTTTTTTTGCATATTCTTTTAAAAATTACGAAATATATTCGATCGTCTTCGAACCCAGAATTTCGTGAAAAAATGTCTAACGCAAAAACGGTCTAGGGAGGAAGCGGGATCGAACTACATAGTAAGGATAAAACATGCCATGTCGATCCACGAGTCATGCTAAACGTAAAAAAAAAATTTTTGAAAACGTACGTATCCTTATCGACGAAAGCATTCAAACTGAAAAGTACAACTGCAGCCGTCTTGAAATAAAACGATCAACTGATAACTTTCTAGGCGAACGATGATAAACGTCCAATGGGTACCTCAACGATAACTATACGTGGTAATACATTCGCAATAAATAATACAGGAGGAAACATAATTTTTGTGAATCGTGCTGCTAGAGAAGTGTCGTACACCCGTATATACAATTTCGACTGTATCGTCGCAACATAAAACGGTACGTACACCGAACAGTCTCGTAACTCTAGTTTCTCGATGCATTCGACTATTTGAGAGTGCCTTTTACGATAGCTTTTCGCGAGATGCGCCTTTCATTGCAGGATCCAGAGCGTAACTTTGCGAGACACGGACGATCGTGCAGCGAAAAGCCTGGCTTGTTTCTCGATGTTAACGATTCGCGAGATTGCTCGAAATAAAAACATCTATAGTCATCGGGCCGTTTCAGACGCTGAATTTACCATCATACCATCAAGGACCGAAACGTTTTAACGAAGACGTTCACACGCTAGAGGAAAGTACGACGAATGACTATAAATGTATGTTTTCGCTACGCAACGCGAAGAGCCTCGACTGTACACCGAGCGACAAACTAGAGTAGAGAACATTCGTCTCTTCCCTTGTTTCTCAAGTACCTGTGTAAAGATGCTTAGATGGGAGTATGGCCTGATTAATGGTGGGCAAGGTTTTCGTCCACTTCATGTGACTTTGGCATCGCGAAGCTGGAGGCCACATTCTTTTTGGGGAATTCGTGCAGCTCGACGCGGACGTCGAGGAGCCGCTCTCCAACATCGATCTATCCATCGCGGATGTGTCCGCGAAATCGCTGTCGTCTCCGCCAGAGTGGAACCTTATGTCGCGTTTCATCCCGAATCTGCCGTCTCGCTCTGCCTCTAACTTCGCGAAATTCTCGGCTTCCTGGCAGTGCGTCAGTCGCATGCACTTCTCCTTCATGAAGTACTGCTCGCGTCTGACCAGGTTTTCGAATTCCTTGGAAAGCAACTTGACGGTCCCTTCGATGGCTCGAGTGATTCTGAGATCCACGTCCAGATTGTCGATGGGTTCGTTCGCCGATCGCGAATCCGGATCGTTCTGCATTCCGACTGACTGGGATTCGCGGGGCGCGCAGCCAGCCTCCAACGAGTCGTACGTTTCTTGCGTGTCTTTCGTCGGGATCTGATTTTCAAAACAGCAGACGTGGGAAGAGGAGTCTCTTTGGCCCTCGGTCATGTCGCATCCTCGATGGGAGGAGTCGTCGGGATCGAAACCATAGTTGTCCATCGGTCCACCGGAATCGTACACGCTCATTTTGTCCGGTCGACGGGTTTGCAGGCTGTAGAATTTATTTTTCGCGTCTTTGTCGTTGTTGGACTGTAGCGAGTAGTTGGACGATTGTAAAAGCTGTTCGATTCTCTTCGAGCTGTGCAAGATCTCCGGTCTCTCGTGCTTCGCATCCTCGTCGTTTCTCCCTGGTCTCGAATTCACGCGTGACTTACTCGCGTAGTCGTCGGGTTCGGGAGATTTTAAACGAGTAGACTGAGGCGTGGGCTCCACGTTATACTTATTCCACGCGGGACGCGCTCTGTTCCTCATGCTCTGCGTCCGAGCAGAATTTCGTTTCGGTTTCGGTGGCTTGTGAGCCACGAAATCATTTAGTATCAGCATCGACTGTGGCTCCTTGGACACTTTCAAGCTGTTGCTTCGCGACATCGTGTCCGATTTGGTTCCGATTCTCATCTCGACGTTCGCGTCGTTCCTATCGTTGAAATTGAATTCGTAGTAGATGCAGGTTGCGGGCTGCGCGCCATCTTCCGGATAGCTGTTCTCGTTCGTCGTCTTGCTTATTCTCGTATCCTGAAGAGATTTCGATCTAAAGACCGCGCGACAAGTGGTCGCGTCGCTCGCGGAATGCTGAATCTCGTTCGACGGTTCAGCGACGTTGTTAGGATTGCCGCTGTACGTTTCCGAGTTTTGTCTCTTACGTTTATAGTGAGAGTCGAAGAGCATCTCGAGAGGCGCGGACTTGACCAGAGAATCGGAATCGTCCGTCAACACGCTCTCCGTGCTTCGATGATCCATGTTCTCCTGCAACGGGAACATCTGGTAATCGGACTCGTCCGTTAGGATGCTCTCCTGGCTTCGTCCGGCCTGTATTTTCCGACGGGACAAAAAGAAACTCGCGCTCGAATGCCGGTCGTTGTCGTAGTTGCCGTAATCCAAAATCTCGGCGCTTCCTTTCGAGAAAGACTCTACCGAGGCATCCGACAGAATGCTCTCCTGCGAACCGGTTAGTATTCGTTTCGGGAAGGTCTGATAGTTGGCGTATGGTCTGCGATTGTCCTGCTGATCGTCGACGCGGACGTTTATCTGGTAATCGCTGACACATCGTCGCGGTGGATTCTTGAAGTCGCCCTCCAACGAGTCGTCGCTGAAGTTTCCGTTTCCGTCGTCCCCGTCGTCTATGGTATCGTGGAAATTTTCGATGTTGCGTTCGTTCATGGCGGGAAGACTTTCGAACGACTTTGCTATGTTCTCCATGTCCTCTTCGTTGTCGTCCAATCCGATGAAGTAGCTACAGGATCTCCTCTTTTGCGCGAACCTAGCGAATCGACTCACGTTCTTTTTACACTGTTCCTTCAAGAGCTTTAGCTCCTCGCACACGGGCGACTCGGGCAACGACTGATTCGGTTTATTCAACGACAGCTTATACTTTTCAGTTTTTTTAAGAGTCAACGTTAACGGACGACCAAGAGACGTTGGTCTCGCCTTTTCGCTTATGCACGACGTGGTCTGACTTTTCGACAAGCGGTTCTCGGTCGGATTGTCTAGCTTAGGTAGCGCATTTCCCACACCCGACGCTTTGTTAACGAGTTGTTGAGATTTAAGTGGAGGTTTTGGGTTCGGTATAGGTTTGCAAGGATTAATCGGTTTCGAGTATTGAGTTTGCTGACCGAATTTGTTGTTACCTGTGTTTAGCCTGTTCGAACGATGATGCTTCTCCGGTATGTGGCTGCTCAAATCGGATATGCTTTGGCTGGTTTTTAACGACGACTTGTAGCCAACCTGTAACAAGAAACATACTTGGAGTCTGTTACAATATTCTACGTGTATTTTCGCGGACCGTTTTACTCGTTAAATCGGATATGCTTACGCTTTGCAATTTTCTCCTAGTCTCTTCTATTCTCCTTTGCAATTCCTCGCGCTTTTTCGCGACGTCCGCGTCGCCTCTCGCCTGTTTGGTTGCGTTCATCACCGCGACGTTGCGAACTTTGTGGTTGCTCGTGCTATCGCCGCCACCGCTAAGTCTGCAAACGCGTATCGTCGCGTCAGATACCGGGCTTTGCGACCAATTGAATCGTTTCGAGACGAACAACGATTACCTTCCGTGAAACTGGGAACTGATGCTGGTTGTTTTTTGACATCTGTTGGTAGGCTCTTCGGCACCGCTCAGAGATTCGAAGGCGTTCTTCAGATACTTTTCGCGATGACTTTGCTTTACCAGCTGATCGAAACCTTCCGAACTGGCCTCCGACAATATGGACAAAGGATTGCGTTCGGCGCTAGGGGTTGAAGCTCCTCCTTCCGAGTCCGAGTCGTCCTGGCTACCGGACGCAGTCAACTCGCTCGTACGGCCGCTCTCCCCGTTTCTAGGCTTCTTTTGCCGCCTCTGAGACCTACGGAACGTAACGTAACAACAAAGCTACCGCGAATGCGGTATGCTACACCGTCTAGTCGCTCGACGACGTACCTCCGAAGTTCCTCGACGTCCATCGCGTTCACGGTGAACTGATTCGACACCGTGTCTTCCGGAGCAGGATAGTACATCAGTCTATGATGAGACTTTTCGGAACCGGTTGTTCCGTTCTCCCCCTCGGAGTAATCCTCGACGTCGCCGTCGTGCTCCGTACTCTCGTGATCCTACGCGACAACAATCGTTTTAAAAGACGAACGACTTTTTCATTTCTTTTCGCTTCTACATTATTGTTATTTAAGCGTGAGTTTAACGTGTCCGATTTTTAGGGTTAATTGCAAGCGGAAAACATAAATAATTGGAAAAGCGATAATACGTATAAAGACGAGTGCGTCGATTGTTGGCATATTTCATGTATTATTCGTGTTTTTTCGTTCACTGTATATTACTGTTTGGCGATGCTTCGCTGCTGATGTCTCAGGCGTTAATGAGATGTACCTCAAATTTAAAGCTGCCGAGACTGCTATCGTCCGTATGGTGACGGCTCCTCGACAGACGTGTCAATTCCGTGATATTGCTACCCCTAGTTACGGTCACGTTACCACCGATCACCTATGCCATCGGGTGAAATAAAGTAGAATCAACGAAAAAAAAAAAAATAATCCCGAACGAATAACTTTGCTGCCAAAAAATAACGGTCAAAGAAACAGTGCGCGTCCTTGGTTTCGTAAGCGTACACAACAAAACACACATACAACACACGCACGGGGTGTACCAAGACAAAATTATCGTAATTATTTTGTTACTGGGAATCGATTAGTACCTGCTTCGTGTCGTCTGCTAGTTCTCTGTAACTATCTGGACAAGGTTGAAACACGGTCTCGTCCCCTTCCTAAAACCAGTTATCGCGCGTTATACTACCTTTATTAATAATTAAGAATGCCGTTGTTACGTTATTATTAATCGATTAGAAAGTGTACACTTATTCAGCGGTATCGAACGATTCGAAAACGAACCCTACCCTTTTGATGACGATCGTTTCCCTCCTGTAGTCGCTGCTACACTTGGTTTCGGTTCCGCTGTCGATCGAGCTGTCTTTGGATCCGCCACCACCGCCGCCTCCGTCGGAATCGATCGCTCCACGAGGCGGAGGGAACGGTATGATCTCGTCGCTGTCATAGACGGACTTGACGGTTATACCGTCTCCCTGTTGTACCCTTTGCGCCCATCTACCTTTAGGTAGATCAACGCCGACGGGTCTCGCATTCGTCCCGAGTATTCCAGTTTCGTCGGTGTTTACGGTGTTTATCTGCTTTTTCGCCCAGAGTGGCAATTGACCCACGCTAAACCTGTAATCCACGCTTGCGTTCGAAGGGGTAGGATTCGCGTTTGGATCCAGAAATTCCGGCGGTGGCGATCCGAAATTTTCGTTGTCCAACTGTACGTCGATTCCCGTGCCGTTCATTTGCGGTGGCCTTCTGTCGACAGATTCCAACGCGTTATATACGAACGGAACCGACGAGATACGAAGGTTCGAAGCAAGGATCGAAAAAAAAAAAAAAAAAAAAGGCGGACTACTTACTTTCCGGCTCGCATTGCTTGCTGAGCGAGACGAGCCTGCATGGTGACGACCATGTCGCGTGGAACGCGCCAGACGAAAATGCAGCCATCTCCACTGGCGGATACGAGGTTACGGCAGTCGGGGCTAAAACGCAGCCCGGTCACCAATTCCGAGTGACCGAGCATAGTGGCCATACATTCGCCGCTGTAGTAATCGTACACGCATAATGTTTTATCTGTACACGAGGTAGCTACGTAAATTCCCGATGCATCTGAAATGTAAACGCGTGAATCGCGCAAACGTTGAGAGGAGGAACGTACGGCTATGTGACAAAGTTAGCGAACAAAGTATCGAGCGAGGAAATCTTCTCTCACCTAGGACGACTTTGATGAGGGATCCGTCTTCGCTGACGGATCCTTTGAACGTTTTGCTGTGTTTGCCAGTGGACACGTTGTAAACTCTTATATTTCTATCTTGGCAGGCAGTTAGGACATGTTTTTGACCGGAATCGACTTCCATGTCGTACAAGGTAGTCTTTCCCTGAGCATTGTGACCCCTGGCGAACTGCGGCATTCCCCCTGGCGTCTAAGACAAGGAACGGTCAAACCAACGATCGTAGATAACAGAGACGAATCGAAGAATTAGCTCGCTCACCGATTGCAGCTGTCTAAAAATAATACTCTTGTCGGCACCGCAGGACACCATCTGTATCTGATTGGCCTGGCTGCTCTGATTAAAGAACCTGACCGCGGTAATGGAAGAACTGTGATCGTCGAGCGTCTGCAAGAAATTGTATCCCTGGTCGACGCTGAACACGTGGATCAGTCGGTCCCTGGAGGCGCTGGCCAACAGCCGCGGTGAGTCCTCGGAGTATCGCGAGAATTTCGAGTATTCGAGGCAGAGCACTTCCGCGTCGTGCGCCTCGATCAGGCACAGCTCTTCCAGGGAAGAGAGGTCGTGAATTCGAATATTGCCGGATCGATCCCCAGAGGCGAGATGCTTGCCATCCGGACCGATTCTGATCGATCTGACTCCGTTCCGACCGTCGTACGAGGCGTCGCTCTTCTCCGTGGATCCGGCGGCTGCCAGGTCCAAGTCCTTTAGGTACGTGAGCTCGGGATCTATGTACAGGACCTTGAGTAGCTCGTTGCTGTAAATGTTCCGTTTGTAGAGCGTGTCGGTAGGCGACACGTCCTTCTCGAGGTTCCAGACGCGAATGGTGTCGTCGCTGGAACAGGTGACGAAACTTCCCGGCGGCATGCTGCCGACGGAATCCGTCCCCGTAGGATACATCTCCACGCCCCAGATACACGCCGAGTGATAGAGGAACGAGTGCGACTTGCCGACCCGCCTGATATCCCGCACGTCCCACACGTAAATACTATGGTCGTTGTATACGCAAGTCAACTTGTTGTTTTGTTCGTCGAACGCCAGAGCGATAGCGTCCGGATACCTCGCGTTCCCCGGATGCTGAGACATGTGACTGCAATCGATCGTCCAAGCGTTAACAAATGCACGCGAGTCGAAAGAAAAGAGTAAGAAAACGGAAAAGCATCGTCCTCCTACCTAATGGACAATCCCTGAGCAACGTCCACGCCTAGGTAATGCGTCCTCGGTAACGTGGTAACGAATTGAAGAGAACTAGGACTAAAGCACCTCACGATACCTTCCGCGCACCCGATGAAAATGTATTTGTCTCCAACGGCCATGCAATTGGCGCTGGTCGTCTGAAAAGAGAGAGAGAGAGAGAGGTTTTTCGGTGGCGCGACGATATCGTAAAAACGTTTCCCAATCCCTCGCTACGTAACAACAACGGTTCGAGTACTAGCACAGGGAACGTCTGTAACGTCGAGTTTCTGGTAGCTGTACTCACGCGAAGCTCCACCCATTTGTCCAGAAGCCTTCTGTTATTAAATTCGCACAGTAGGCCCGTTTTGGTGATCGCGTACGTGGAATCTGCCATTTCCCCGCGACCGCACGCCACATCCACGAAATCGTTGTTTCTCTGCTCTCCTAATATGGCAGACCGACCCATCAAAGGCACGGGTTCCTTATACTGCGCAACAAAATTCCCTCGATCACCACCTTTTCTCGTAACCGTTACTCGGAAACGCGGGATACGCATTGACTCGAAAGCAAACAAACAATAAACAATTACCGAGTTAATTTCAAACGAAAGCGAGTAGATCGGTCGGATGGTAGGAGAAACAAAGGGAAAGAATAATCATCCAATTACCTTGGCACTGCGCGAGTACTCGAGATACCAAAACTTGACGTGTCTGTTGCCCACGGTAACAAAGTAATTGCCGTTTTCCGCGAAGCAGACGGCCTTCACTTTGCTCGAGACTTTGTTCGACGCCACCTTAACATTGTTCCTCCAATCCCAGACGTTGACGATCATATCGTGTTGAGAGCCCACGGACACCACGTACTTGTTGCTCGGTGAAAATGCCTTGAGAAGAGGAAATCGTCAAACTAGGCGACTAGGTGGAAAGAATCGAGTCGAGAAAACTGTTGGTGAATTAGGAATATACCTATCGTAAGAACGGATATTTCGGAGAAAGATCGTCGTGCTCGAGGAATCCAGGGAACGCAGAAAAGGCGATAAAAGGGATACCGTTGTCCGTTCGGTGAGAACGCGATTTCGTATTCACGCGGGTCGGTCTTGTCGTCGGCGTCGAGACGCCTTGTAACCGAACCGCGCGGACGTGGACGCGCGCGTGACGCGAATGCCGACGCTGGTAATTCCTCGGTAAAACGCATTCACTCTGCGAGCAAGTTTGCTTTCGTTGGTGGAACCGATTACCCTCGAATCGGATCGTTTATCGCGCTCGTTTTCCACGTTTCGAGACGGAACGCAAATAATTTTCTCTTTCGAATACTCGACGATGCTCGCGACCAGTTCGGAGCTAACCGCGAAACGGTATTCGTTGCACGTTTTCCTTAAACAGAAAATTTCACGGCCACGAAAACGGCTTGAAATGACGCCTCTTCGTGAGCGTGTCGTGGAGATAAAAGTCGCGGACCTTAATTAACATGCGAAGCAATGGCGTAGTCGTTGTAAGCTCGTCACGGTCGTGCGAGTGCAATGGGCGCGGCTCTTTCTTTCCATTGTGAACATTCAGCACATACTCGCCCGCTCGCTTGTTCGTTCGTCGGAACGGAAAGCTTAAAAAGCTTTTGACGTTTTCGCGAGGAAGCAACGTCGCGGCCGGTCCCCGCGAACGCGGAAGGAAGTAGCAAATCCCTGGTCGACGTTCAACGATCTTTCAAATAAAATCCTCGTCGATCGAACGACGATCGTACGATTTACGTAAATGCTGCGTGTCGCTTTCGCGGCTCGAAGAGTCTCGTTGTTCGGGACAATTGGTTCGCGTTGTTTCAACGACGAAGAAGGACGGTATAATCGTGTTACTCACCACGCAGTTGATGCCGTACTTGTGCCCGGAAAATTCAGCGATCTGCACTGCATTGTACGGATCGGAGATGTCCCAGACACGAACGTTCGGCATGTGACCGCATTCGCCCGTCGCCAGCAGTCTACCATCGCCGGCGAGCGCCAGGGAGGTCACCGTTTTGCGACAACCGTTCAACACGTGGGCTTGAGTATTCTTGCGAGGGTTGAACAGGACCACGGTACAACTGCAACAACGGACAAGATTTTCCAGTTAATTCCAATAGTTTGTTCGACGAGTTTTTCGCGGTTAAGCTCGCGATAAAACGCGGCTTTCTCTTCGATGGTTTCACGGGGTCCCGTCCCGTCACGCCGCGCCGAGCGAGCACGATACCGAACGAGTCGCGACACCGTTTTGTAACGGACACCGATCGAGAATTCAACTATCGAGAAACGAGTCGAACGCTCGTACAAGATGAGATCGTAAATTAGCGTTTAAATCACCGTCAAAGCGCGGAATCGTGCTCCGCTGTTACTCGGCTGGTCGGAATTATCCACGAGGGTATCCTTAGGGTCGTGGACTATCGATCAAACTCTTTGTACCGTTGAAACTGTGGAAAGCGTCGATATCGGTGCGTTCGCCGATTTCTACGAACGCAGAGTACGAACTCGATACGTACGTATTCGATGCGAGAACGGTCGACCGTTCGAGTTCGCTCGAGCGCGATCTTGGCGAAAGAATAGAAATGGAGTAGCTGTGTAAGACAACGGTACGGTGAGAGATAGGATTATATCGTAACAGTACACAGGGAACGTTTCCTGCTCGTGGCGTGTAGCTGCGATTTGTTTTCAGCAACCTGCTAGCTTTGTCGCCTGGTTGCATCGCGTGAAAACGTTCAAGCCGCGCTCGACTATCCGAACAGGAATTAGTGACGCGCGTTTGAACGTCTTCGAGCACTCGTGCGGTTTTTGGTCGATTTGATAACGCACCGGGACTTTACCGCGCGCGGTTTCGAGCCAACGAGATCCAAGATTCGAGAGACGCGGTGTTTGCGGTAATGCGAAACGCGACTGGTGCGACACGTTGTTCATCGAGCCGATTTATCCGTCACTGTCTACCTAAACCGCAACGTGTCAATAAACTCGGTCCCACCGATCGCCGTTTCTTCTGCGTGCTACCATTTGTCCCGATGTTACGCTACCTAAATGCTGACATAACGCGACACTAGCCGCAACGGAGTTCGCTCGACTCGGAGGATGGGAAACACGTCGATTTGCCCAGACGGCGACGCAAGTTTCGCTAGAGTGTTATAAAGAGAAGCAAAGTCCGTGATTCAAGGATGTTTCTTGTTCCAAGTTCTCGCAGAAGTGTTCGCGATAACAAAGAGAGCATTCGTCGGATTGAAGTCATTGGGTGCATTCGGTGAATAATCGTTAATCCGTCAAAACGTTATACCGAGTTCCTTATCGCGGAGAGATGCAACGCGAGCGAGTAGGCCACGGAGAGAAACAGTTGCGAGCACGCGAATGATTCAGTGATTGGAAGGAAAAGGATCGCGGAACAAAGGATTCTCGTTGAGAATCGCGAACAATTTCGTTCGGAGATCGAAAAACCGTGGCCTCGTTCGTATCATCGAGCTATCCGACTGGTTCGCTTCCGGAGACTCGCGCTCGCGTCGACCGCCATTTACGTCCGCGTTTCCGGTCGCTTCGCTTTCGGTTCGCCAAAAGCAAGTATCCGGATAGCAGCGGAGGTTAAACACCTTCCTGCCGTGTCTGTGGCGTAACGGATCGACCAAGTCTTTCTCTTCCGAGTCGAGTATGTCGGCTAACCGTAACAATCTCTGCCAAACGTTGTTAATCTCGCGAACCATCACCGCTTCCTCGCGTTCGCCTGTAATTTCCTTCGAGATGTGGCGCGGTGTGGCGGACCTATTACGTTGCAAAAGAAAAAGATCCTCTTTAACGAAACGGAAGGGGGGGGTTTAAGAGAAACACTGGTGTCCGGAGAAAAGTAACATACTCGTTTCGAGAAAGGTAAGTACACGCGTAAGTTGTTCGCTGCTATGGCTCGCTCGAGTAGCGGTGCGCACGCGAGGGCTACTTTTGCTCGCATCGAAACACCGCACCGCGTGGGAGCGCGACTTCGAGAACGTCTCCAATTTAATTCGAATCCCCATACTAAATATAAAACGAGCACGAAAGGCGCGCGTGGAAACTGCGGAGAGATCGTGGCTCGACTCGTACTCGGCAATTTTCCCTCTTTCTTTTTCTGGAACAGTAAACTCGAACCAAACTAGAAAAACGACTCGCCAACGTTGTTGCAGAACTTTCCCGGTGCTGCTTTGGAACGTTCCTTTTCCTAGTTGTATTTTTTTTTTTCAACTCCTGCCCTCCTCGTCGAATCAAGCAAATTTGAAAAGACGAAGAAGGACGCGGAGCCGGTTGCTCGAAAGCGACGGAGGAACAAGGAGACTTCCGATCGAAGCGAAAAGCTCTATTCGGTGTGTAGCTTGGATCGGGTTGGAGCAACTCTGCTGTGATGGCGGCTTTAAGCCTTTTTGTCACGGGAACGAGCGAGACCTTTCTCGCGACGAGAAACTAAGAGAGGAGACCCGTCGTCGCCGACGCGACGAGGCCGTGCGAAGGAGGCACACTCACCGTACCTACGACCTACTGAAACTAGCACGCTGGCCACGAGCTACGGAATGGAATAGCGCTGAATCGAGTCGAGACACGCGACCGCACTCTGAATAGAAACGAAGACACACCTGGATAAACGCATGCTGCGATCGAAGCGTCCTACCCGACACTCGCGAGGCCAGAGTTTCTAACGTTCATTTCGAAGCGATAAACAACCGTTCGCCAGAGAAATTAATTGCTCGACGTTTCGTTACGCGAACACCCTATCGCAACGAACTCTGTTTCCAGTCTTCGATCACCTGTGATATTTAGATCTCGCGGTGTTTCGCAGCGTTGTCGAGCGCAGCAACGGTAAGGAAATATCGGTTTTACAGTTACGGTTTGTGGAAAATAACGTGTTAAAATACTCGGCAAGCGAAACACCTCCTGCGCTTTTCATTTCCAGCCGCTGCGCTGGACTCTGGCGCTAAGTTGCGTGCAAAAGAAACACGTAAGGTCGACCAAAGGTATAAAGGTCACTGGGTCGATTATCGAGCATGGAAACCGGTCTGCCGACAGCGTGTCCGATAAGTTGGTCGGTGGTACCCGGCTGATTTAGAACGGCCGATCGCGAGTTCCCGCGTCGATCTTTCCTATCTCGATGACAGCGACCGGTCACGAAACACGTTCCGTGACGAGTAACGCGCGTTTCGCGATAGAAAAGCAACATCCACGAATCCGTCTGCCATTTCGCGCATCAACGAACTTGAAACTCTGGACAGCGGATCGAACAGTTGTTCCTTTAGCTTCGCGGAACGGCATATCGACGGAATATAATTTCGTTTTCAAATGTCACGGCGCGCAGCAGCGTTTCTTGCGATTGCCGACGCGCAAGTAGAATTCCAGTAAAACTCTCGTTTTCTCGCTCATCTCGTACGAACGCGTAACACGTTTGTTCGCCAGCCGGAAAAGATTGTCCCCCTGTCGTTAATTCCAGCAGTGTATCGTTGGTACAAGAAGCGACACGGTGCAGCGAGCGGTCGACCGCGTCTCGTAATTGCTAATACGAAACTTTCTTCGTTTCGAGTGTTCTCGCGAGAACTTTCGTTGCCTTCGGCTTCGACGGCGTATAGCCGAGAAAACTGAGCTCCGGCGATAGGCGTTCCTGCTCGTTGTTCAACGAGTTTTCGAGCAATTATCCAGCGAATAAACGTAACAATACGAGTCGGAGAATAAAATGGTCGCGAATAAATTGGTAGCGGTCGAGCGATTCGCGTATGATTTTCGTGTAGGCGAAGGTGGATCGAGGAAAATGTTGATCTGGATACCCGTTCGCGGCCTTGAAGGAAAGTTCAATCTCGATTTTGGAACGCGCGGATGGGAAAACGCTCGAGCGAGCATCGCGTAATTAGCGTGAAATGAAACGCTCGGAGGTTTCCGTGAGCGATCGAATCGGTTGCGGCATATGACGTTCGAGCTTTCGTCGCAGCCTCGGAGGATTAAACGGTACTCTTGCTAGGTCTGATACGAAATTACTTTCAGGGTAATCCGCTTTTACTCCGAAGCAAAGTTTCCATACATGTACCAACGGTTGTACAATCTTTGCGCGAAATTTTCTCCGTCGATTAGCGAAGGATCGTCTCTCTCGATTAAACCGACAGAATCTGCAACCTCGATACTGGGAAACAGAGTACATCGAGAAACCGGGAAAGCGGAACTTTCCTCCTTCGTTCGTAACATCGCGGACGCAATGTCAAGTACTTTCTAACCTTGGAATCGCGCGCTCTCGACGCTGTTGGTGTCGTTTTAACGTACATGCTCGCGTCGCGATTGGACGTGTAATTGGATTATAGCTAATTATCCGCGGAAGAAAGCGAGAGTGCCTTTCGTTGGCAACGATGTCGCATCCGAATACGTTTCAAAGACTGGTCGCGATGTCGGTACAAGAATCTTCGATCGAGTCGCGCGTCGAAATAAAATAAAAGTGCGCGTAAACTCGCGCGAGCATCCGGTTGTACAGAGGACGAGTAGCTTGTTGAAACGTTCGGTCGACTGCCTCGCGCAAAGCCGTACAGGTTGTCTAAAATCCTATGGTCGGAACGAACTTCCGTAGTTCGTTGAACCGTAGGCGTGAGGTTTCGAACAAGCGATAATTAGCAAAGTCGCGATTAGTCGACTCGTGGCACCTGTAATTTGCGTACCAGCGCCAACGACGCGGCTTCTTTGCTTGTTGCCTATCCTTAATGCGTTTAACCGGAGTATTATCGCGTAACGGACGATTTCTCTCGAATTAGGAGGTCGCGGTTGCCAACGAATCTTTTCTCGCAGAACGACGAATCGAATCGAATCGAATCGAATCGGAACGAAACGGAACGGAACGAGGTAAAAATGTTCCCAAAAGCGATGACATAAGATTCGCTCGAGTAACAGCGCGAGCGATAATCGGACGCGTCGAGAAATGCAAAGCACGCAACTTCCACCTACTTTCGATCCTACAGAGTTTAATTCACGCACGCGTAAGCACGCGTACTCCCTGCTCGAGGAACGCGAGAAAGACGCAAAGAACGTAGCCATGGGAAGTCTCCAGAGATTGGCAGATCGATCGAGAGATTTAATTGTCACCGATACGCGAGTATCGGCAGAGAAGGATCTCGGACATGGAATCTTTTGGTCCATTCACCTCTCTCTTGACCCGATTTCCGACCGAGTATCGTACATAGTCGCTTGCATTCGACTTTGCCGCGTTGCCAAGGCGATGGCGAGCCGTTCGGCTCGGGCTTGTTCCAGACGGGAACCAAGTTGCCTACGATTCGCGAGATTTACCTCGCGAAAATCTAAAAATTTAGAAACGCAACGGGAACGCGGAAAGAAAGAATCGACGGTGACGCGGGCAAAACGCTTCTTTCGCTACGCAGCGTGCGATAAACCAACGTAATCTCTTCATCGCACTTTCGCCATTCTTTCATTCGCGCGACCAAGGAAGAAACAAACCGCGAGGAGTTTCTTTTGTGTTGTCCGCGTTTATCCGTGACCAAAGGAATCGCGCGTGCGTTTTTTTTTTTTCTCTGCTGTTCGCGCTAACGAACTCAAACTTTCTTTCGCGGTCGCGCTTTGTAAATGCACAGTCGGAAACATCCGATCCGTAGAATCCGGTGATCCGAGAAAGATCCAAAAAGAAGCTCTCGACGGTTATCGGTTCGCAGAGGTGATGTCGGTCAGGTGCGCGATCGAGGTAAGCATCTCGTCGTCGAGATATCGCGCTTCGATATCGCCGGCTGATCGCGATAATCCCGCTGTTCCGTGTGCCGCGTTTAATGCAGTCTCTTTAGCGTTTCTTCTCGCGGTCGTTCCCACGAATATCGGCCGGCCTTAAAGTCAGCAGATTTGTAACACGATTCGTGTCGTTAAACTCTCTGTCTCTAACCCTACCTCTATCTATCTATCTTTCTCCTCTCACATTGTTCTAATTACGGCTGAAGAGGTCTCGAACGTAACGCGCGAAGAACAAAATTGCACGTTTGACGCGCGATATTTAATCGCACTCGAATCCGTGAAAGTCGGAAGGGGACACTAGCGCGAAAGGTATGAATGGCGAAGCGTCATGGGATCCGCGATACGTCGAAGGAATCGATCAGAGAAAACGATGAGACCGGTCTTAAACTCACCCGGCAGGATAGGCGACCAGCTCGCTGGTCGCGTCGCAGTCCAGGGCTGCATTGCTCGACACGGTTACGCCGAGTACACGTTCCAGCTTTATCTGTAACAAATGGGAAGCAAAGTTACGGTACAATAATAATTTCGAGCGCGTTTAATGTCGCGACACGATCGAATTCGAAAGGGGCTATTCGAACAAAGGGTTTTATCGTTGGCGTAAACAGTTCGGTTACCGCACATACGTTCGCTGCTAGAAAGCGGCGCGCGGCGGTGTCTCGACCGAAACCATGAATGCAACTCGTAACGATCGGTGATTCGTAGCGACTTTCCTTCGAGGGACGATGAAAAGACACTTGCGCTCTCCCTGAAACTTTCATCGATCATTCGTTTGTAATTACGACCCACTGAGCCAATTCCTTGCAAATCGACGCAACGTCGGCGACGATCGACTCGCGAAAGCGAACGAGCTCTCGTTCGTTAGGCTTTGGCTTCGCGGCGACGCGGGCACGCCAAAGATCGAGACGAGTTTGGTAATCGAAACACCGAGGATACGATAGGAAAACGTTCAACGTTCATATCTCGTTAAAGTCGAGCGGCGTTGAAATCTGAAAACGGAGAAAACTCGAACGGTTTCCGTCGATTCGTAATTAGCCGTTCCATATTTTCTACAAATCTCGCGAACACGCAGGTTTTCCGGTGCAGTGGTTTCGTTCGATGCTGCCAACGTTACCGCGAATCTGCTTCTTCGAACATTACTTACTCGGAAACGGAACGAAACGGTTCTAAAGTAAACGACAAGCTCACCGCAATCGATGCAAACGATTAACCGCAATCGTTGCTCCATTAACAGACAGTAAATCGAAACGAGCGATCGCGTCATGGATGCTCGAGGCGATCGTTGCCGAGTCGTCGGCGAGTTCGTTGTAAAATCCTGCCATTTGTATCAGCGGAAGTTACGCGCGGATTGTATATGGTTCGCGGAGAATCGAGATCGGCGTAGGCAGAGACGAGAGCTATGCTCGCGTACCTTGATTGCGGCTTTCGTGCGACATTGGTCCGTTACGCGGTCGACTAGGTTGGATATCGCGTAGGCGTCTAAACGATATTATTTACAAAGACTCGCTGGGAAAAATCGTCCAAGATACCAGGAGTAAAACGGCATTACGAGTTCGAAACGAGATCTTGTTCGCGTAACGACCGAGCGTCGCGAGAAAGACGGAGAACGTTGAAAATGAGTAATTGCAAGGAGACAAATTTGTAACGAGCGGTCCTTGGAATCGGGACTCGATTACTCCGCGGACGATGCCGAGACTTTCTCTCCGATTAACTGCGGCTCCGAGCAGCGGCGCATTTGGGCTGCTAAATTGCTTAATTGTCCGTGATCGAGCTCGAAGAACAGGATAATTGGCGCGGAGTACAACAATGAGAAATCCGTCTAACGACGGAGACCTTGGAGGGAAAGTTGGCGAGCAAGGCCCAGAAGCAGGACACGCGTTTGCCAACAACGTGGCTCGCAATGAAAACCGACGGCAGGCGTTTCGAAAGAAAAACATGCCCCGCGTGGACGATCTACGATCGCTTTGAAACGACCGCGTTAATGGAATCGACCTACACCTATCGAGGCGCGCGAGATTCTTGTCGATGTTTGCGAGCACCGTCCGCCGTTGGTCCATGGAAATCGTAACGCACTGGATGTGGGCACGAGCGCGCGCGTGCCACGGATTTCTGTGTATGTACATCTATGGTCGTTGGACGAAAGGTTTCGCAACACGATCGGTATTGCCGGTGCAGTTTCGCGGAACACGCGCTGGAAAACGCACGGTGTGTCGTAAGGTGCGCGTGACCAGATGCCTTATGCACGGATGCCATAAAACGACCGCAACGTCGTCCAAGGATATACCGACGACCGATTCCTGCAAATTTCACGATACCGATGCCCGAACCTTTCGATTACGTAACTTCCTGCCAGCCGAACGTAGTGTAACATATACCGAGTACATCTCGCGCTGCCGATCATCAATCGAATAACAACTGTTTACTTCGAGACGAACCGGTTGCGGTTGCGACGCTTTTAGCGATGATTCAGTCAAACGTCCTCATCCACGTTAACGCGCGATAATCAATTTTTTGCACGTTTCCTTCTCCCTGGATACGCGCGTACCTATCGTTCGTATCGTATTCTAGACATCGCGGGTAACGAAAGTGGAACTCGTCGGCACTGTTGACGCGTCTTCTTAACGAGAGACAGAAAACGGTCGCGGTTGCCACCTGATGGATTTCCTTTTTGTCACGTTCCTCTACAACTTTCGTAAACCCATAAATGCACATTTTATATACGTACCGGATCGCGTTTTACTATACGGGCTTCGTTGCAGAGGAAGCAAAACCAGTTTCCTTTGTTTACGTGCCGAGCATGAGTTCACCAATCGTCCAGTGACGTTTTAAGAATCCTTGCAGCGGTACGATTTAGGAATTACGAACAGCCACGGAATAACGCGAGTTTACAAAAGTTTAGGAAACGCTGCTTCAAGAGACTTTGGACTATGGAAATATACGCGGCGGCGCGATTGCAGTTTGTTCGGAAAACACGGCGAGGACGCCAGGTCGGCCGTGCGAGAAATTTGTCATTGGCAACGGAATCGGGACCGGGTAATCGATAGGCGATCGAACGCGCGGAAATTGTCCAAGATGATGCAAAGAAGCGAGGACGGGACGACGAATCGAGAATCGCGCGCCGATTCCTGGCAACCAGGCTATCTATTACGCGGTGCACCGCGCTCGCTGGCCGAGATAATGAGAGACTCGAAGAACGTTTTGTCGGTCGATACAATGAAAAGAATGCAGAAATGCATGGTCCGTTGCAACAAGGCGGTCGCGTCGGTCGGTTAAAGTTACGTGGGCACGAGCCAAATACGGATGCTCGAAGCCTGCCTTTCGATGCTGCCGCGCCGCTCGCGCGTGTTCGCGAAAACGTCTACATCGTAATTAGAAAGAATCTCGCCATGGTTCGTACCATGGCTCTGCTTAAGAAAACGCGGCACCCGAAAATTATAATCGATGCGATGTAACGATTACATTTGAAAGCGTATTAGGTAAGAGGCGAGGGATCGTTCTTTCTTCTGGTCGATGTATTCCAGCGTTCCCGCAAAAAATTTCACTTGGAGAAACGTTCGAGAAAAGGGAGGAGTAACAGGTTGTACGCGTAGTGGGAAGAAAAAAGCAACACCGCGTACGAGACGTAATTTGCGAGACTAACGCAGGCGTCACGGTAGAGGAGCAGCAGCGGTAGTTGGTGCATCGCGATTCGCGATAGAGCCTGGGATGACGTAATGCACGGCCGATGGAAGACAAGGTCTCCTTCGGCATAATACGAAGGCTTACATAATACGTGGCAGGGTTCGTCGCGTCTGAATGAAGAGAGCCGCGGAACTTGCGATCGCGTCGATCTTGCGCGCAAATGTTACGCTTCAAGGGTAATACCCATCCTTGGCGGTGATAAACCTCGCGTGCTCTTGCGCGAATAAAGATGCCGCGAATAAAGAAGACCGACCAAAGCTACCCACCCAGTTTTCCAAGGCGTTTCTTTGCACTTGGATACCCACCGAAATACTAAACGAACGGACGCGTTCAAGAATAACAAGTTATTCTATCGGTTTCTTAAATCGTTCCGAGCTCCGAGTAAAACGTATTCTTACGGCGACGTTACAGGAAAACGCTTGCACGACCCTTTGCCAACGGACTATGCAAAACGGTACTCGTTGAAACCCATGCTTGATCGATATCAGCCGCGAACGGAATTTTTCACTGGCGCCCGCCAGGAATATTCCAGACTGTAAATCAGCCGAAAGTACGCGATGAATATCTTCGATCGACGAGCATCCTCGAAAAGCATCGCGAAACGGCATACGAGTATCGTGGGAGGAGATTCTCGATGGATAAAACTCGGTTCGCACCGTGTTTTAAATACCTACCTATAATTTGCCGACGACCTTACGTTTATTCGTAGCAAAAGATAGCGTTGCTCGGTTCAGCCGAGAGGTAGATACGTCGCGCGCGTGGACCAAGCTTAAAACGGCGAAGGCAGCAAAGGTCGGCGCTTGCATGGTGTTTTCGCGGTCGTATGCATGTACGCGTTCGCGTTACCATAGCAGATCGATCTAACGGGCTATTATGAGTTTCGTGCAAGACCGTTTTCCCGTCTCGGCGTGTAAGCCACACCCTGGTACAGTTATATCGCGTCGTCGAAGAATAAGAATAAGCGAGCGAGCGAGCGAGCTGTGTCTGCTAAACGCGAGTGGAAGCCGGTCGCTGCAAAGGTGCACCGGTTAACCAACGACAGACGCGTAAATTTGCGTGTGCATGAACGACAAGTACCGGTTCCTCGAGTTATCTCGCGATATCGATAAATTTGTAACGCATTTTTTCGCGTCGCATCTTGCTGTCGGAGGCCTACGAGCACGATATCGCGTTATTCTCGATGCTTCCCATAGGAATTAGCAGGTAGTCGATCGAGCACGATTCCTGTCCTCGTAAGCGGTCACTAGGTAACTATAATTAACTAAGAAAGTCGGAACTGTTACGATGAACTTTGCTACGCGTTTCCGATCGTTTTCACCGCGGTTACGGTCGTGAGAATGCCACGGTCGGGTTAATCACGACCGTCGTCGACCGACGTTTTCTACGAGACTCGATTTCCGTTGCTTTAATTGCATCCGATGTTTCCGATCATTTCGCGAGATAACGAACTGTACGAGCAACTTGGATCGAATATCTTTTCGATACGAGAATGGAAATTACCTCGATCGTTTGGAAGCGTTTTCGAAACTAACGCTTCCAAACACCGACACCTGCCCGTTCACGCTAACTATCGCTTTCGGAAACTCTCTCCGCGTATCCGAAATCTCGAAAGCATACGCAAAGTTCCATCTTCCAAAGGTTTCTACGCGGAATAACGAAATCGAGCGGAACGACGATAATAATGGCCGCGTCGCGAGACGTCGGTGTAATGGGTACAATTTACGCTAAGGAGCCTAATATGGAACGGTAATAGCGTTGACCGCGAGAAAACTGCGTAAGCCAGCCATAGCCAAACGGTTCGTAACC